GGGGTTACAACTAGTTCGGTTTAGTCAGAGGTGGAGTTTTGATAATGCGAGTGTCTACAGTTAAATTACAATGTAGTGAACGTGTCAAGGGCAACAATATTTCTATTTCTAAATAAAAATAGTGAAAATGCGATCTTATAATTGCACGCGTCTATCAAAAGTAAAGAAAAGTTAATTTTCTTTTTTAATAAATATCCACAGTCTCTGTCGTTGAAATGAAAGCATAACTGGGAATTCACTCGCAGCAAAGTAGGGAAAAGAGCTGCGCTGACAGGAAAGTGATTACTTCATTTCAATTATTCCAAGAGAAAGTCCGTCGACCCAACGAGTTTCACACAACAAAATTTCTCTTGAAAATTCATTTGGCTCTCGTGTACACACGCAAATGCGAGAGAGAGAGAGAGAGAGAACGAGAAATGACGTCGCTTAAGTTTTGATCGGGTGCGGGAGTTATTTCAGTAAAGGGATGTGTAAAAACTCGAAAAAAAAGAGAAGTCAAGGATCGTGAGCAGAGAAAAAGGAGGGCGCCGCGCATCGTTCGATCTATACGCTTTTTCATACGGGAACGCACATGACCCTTGGCGTATATACTGCACACGATTTTACGAGCAACTCGTATCCGTCGTCATCGTTCGCTTGTGACAGAATGAGCATCGGATAAGACAAAGGATTGATAAAAGTCCAACTGAAAAATACCGTGGATTCACGCTGAATGTTATTTGATCAATAAATAATATTATAATAAATAACATTTCCACTTAATGTGTACTCGAATAAGAGCCTTCACAATGTATACACATCCCCGTATAGAAATTATCTATGTCAACGTGCAAATGGCGCATCTGATCAGTACGAAATAAGTAATTGGACATTATTGCAAACAAAGGTACGAATAAGATCAATGGATTACGTAATTCTCTCTTAATAAATATTAATACTATACATATATCTCCGAAGTAATGGGAAATTGTCTATCATACATGTTAAATTTTTTTCATTGTTTTATCCTCCGAGCCCAATAAAACGTGTGTACGTTACTTGTACAGGCATCGCATGATTATTTAACACACACACACACAAAGTCTGTTTCGCTACTTTATCTTAGTTATTCTATATAAATATGTAAAAAATACATTATATTTTCATATCCATCTCAATAATGTGGAAACAATAATAAAATTAACACCTATGTTTATCGTGCAGAGTTAAAGTTTAGAGATCGGAACGAGGCTCTAAAACAATTACGACTTCATTTATTTTTAACGAAGAGATGCCACTGACAATTTTTTGTCTCTCTCTCTCTCTCTCTCTCTCTCTCTCTCTCTCTCTCTCTCTCTCTCTCTCTCTCTCTCTCCTCTCTCTCTCTCCTCTCTCTCTCTCTCTCTCTCTCTCTCTCTCTCTCTCTCTCTCTCGAACGGCAATTTTATGATTGTTCGACAATAAAACGAGTCAGAGCTGCTCGAGTGCTCACCTAGGCGGCCCGATAAGCAAGTCGTTACCGAGTGGAATTTACGATGCTCCTACCAGTTTTTGCACTATACGCCCGTGCGAGGATTTACGACGGTGTACGCTTGCAAATTAGTATAAAGCGCGTAAATAATGCATCGTCAAGCATCATCCTTTCGCATCTTACTGTATAGCCATATGTGAAACAGAGCTCTTTGTCCAACTGCGTTTTCGCACCTCTTACAACGAGAAACCTTTTCTTTTCGTACTTCGTTGAGTATATGGTAAATACATTACTCTACAGTTTTTAAAACCAAGAATCACGATAATCCTGAATTCCAACGAAATACGTCAAAGCCTTTCACGCCCGCCAAACGCGACACCTACAGAGAAACCCGAGGCGCACCGCGCGCGGGCGCGACAAATCAGACGGTGCATGAGAATTCAATTAAAATATTTTCGCCGGACGCGAAAGCAATCAGTTCACCGTGCCGCGAGGCGACAGCAAGAAAAAAGTCGTAGGGGTGGTAGATAGGAGAGAGGGACGACGATTTAATTGCCAAATTCTACGTATCGTCACGTTATATGTATGTAGTATAGCAACGCCTCGTCGTCAAGCGCGCGGCCTTTCATTCGTCCCGCAGGGCATTTTCCCTCTCGAACAGAGACAAACCACGTTTCGATCGTTCCTCATCACCTACACATCTCACACATTTACCATGAGCGAGTTAAATTTTTACTTTTATTTTATTTTCTACAGTGATGTATCTACCGTTGCCTTTTTCTTGTGACAATTAGCTGGAAAGTGAGTGAAATGTCTAATTGCACTACAAAACTTTGTAATGTTATAGCCAATTTCGCGATCGTGACACGATGTAAGTCGATCGAAATTACGTACGATATACTTCCTATTTCAATTGAAAAATTTCAACATATCTTGAGGTTTGACGTTCATTTCAAACACATATTGATTACACAGGTCAATATTCAAAAAAAAACCTAGAAAGGCGATAGTATATTTCCGGAGGTATTCCATCTGGCTTCAGAATTGATCCATCATAATGTTCTCGAAATATCCTAACCCAAAAGCGCAAAAATCACGATCATTTACTACGTTTGAAGTTATGTATCACTGTGAATAAATTTTTTTTCTAAAAACCAGTAAAAACATAATGAAACCGCACTTTTGCCCTTTAAACCCCATTTTTTTGGATTAGAGATATCTTTTTTTTTCATCGAGATATCAGTGATTATTATTAAGTATTTTAGCAGTTTCGCAATAACACTAAAATCTCTGGTTACAAGGGTCGGGGTTAAGGCCAATGGTGTTCAAGGGTTTAGAGTTATATAGTCACAGATTACACGAGTTGGGAGCTAAGGCAATTGGGGTTCACGGGTCTAGAGTTATATCGCCATAGGTTACAGGGGTCGGGGGGTTGGGTACGGTAATTAGGGTTCAAGGGTCTGGCGTTATAACTTCGTAGGTTATTGAATCGAGGGTTAAGAAAATCGTGATTTAAGGGTTTCGAGTATGCCAGATACACATATGCAGCGATTAAACTGTTTTAATGTTATTGCAAAACTGATAAAGTACTGAACTTCAAACAATGATATCTCGATGAAAAAAACGATAACTCTAATTCAAAAAATGGGTTCAAATGGGCAAAAGTGCTGCATTGTCATTACTTTATTTAAAAAAAAATCTATTCACGGTGTTACATAGCCTTGAACATAACAAAATATCGTGATTTTCCCACTTTTAGGTTAAGATACCTCAGAACCTTAGGTAATGGATCAACTTTGAAGCCAGATTCGGATTCAGCGCTTCAAAAACCTACGAATATATTAGTATATCTTCGTACATACACGATAGTTCGTGTTTCTGGGTATTTCCATTTTGAAATTTTATCGGCCTGTGTTATTGACGTCAATGTGCGGATTACTAATCACAATAATTAAGCTTACCGCAGCTTAGTTGCGCAACCATGTAAGTTCCTCGGCTAATTGTTACATCAGCTTATTACAAGCAACATCCCGCGGTAGTAGATATAGCACTGAACGCACGCGCGCTCGATAACTATTCGCGGTTATACACGCACGCACGCACGCACGCACGCACGCACGCAGGCGCGCGCGCACGCACACGCACACATATATAAAACAATGAATCCCGTGGAAACGACGGCGCGAAAGTATAGAGTGCGTAGGTATGTACGTGGCTGCGTAATTGATGGAACCAATGAAGCTTGGGCGTACGTGAAATTCGTTAAATTTAATTGGACGCCAGTAATCCCATGGCGGTGTGTGAGTTTCCGAATGCAACACACGCATCACCTTCCAAATTCTTTTCCTCGTCAAATCTCCCTGATGGCTCGCAGTGTACGCATTTGCGTCAGACGCACGCAGTATTTTGATTTTGATTTCAACTCTTTTGTACTCGATTTCACTTTTTTCACTATAACTCTCTTTCGGACAATTGATTCTCCGCGAGACAAAAGGGGATGCGGCACGTAGTCATCAGAGGGATTTTACTTGAGCCGATGATGTGAAGCTACACGCATACACAACTGTGCACGTATGAGTTTGGAAAATAACTTGCGTTGAATTGTTTACAAGTGAAAAGGTCATAGGATACATCGACGAACAAATGTCCAATCAAAAATTTATATTTAAGTTTAAACAACAGACTCAACAATTTCCGTTTTCAATACCCGATAACTGCTATCGATATGGCAAAACAACATTCATAAATAAAGCTAATCAAATCCAGAACATGTAAAGTCATGAACGAATGCATAAGCGTGTACAGCACAATAATAGATTGAAAATGGAAAATCCATTCCCGGTGTAAAATCACGAGACGATCCTAGCGAGCAAAGGCGATAGATCTTCCGATATGAAATGTGACCGATATGTGCAAACGTAAAGAGAAGGTTCATACCTGGCAGTAACAGTAGTAACAAAATCGAATCTAATTTCGAGTGCTTCGACTTGCATTAGCGGATTAATGCACTCCGCCGCAGGGACGTATATTTGCATGGCATTAGAGAGAGCCTGGAGGACCTTCCCTATATAATGCCACTTTATCCCTTTGATTGTCGGGCCTAGCCGACAATTGCATTATTGGCACACACAGGGAGGACGCACCGCACAACGACGACGACTCTTGTGTCTCGGGGCTAAGTTGCGTACTACCGGCCGAGTCTATTGTGGAATTTTCGGCAAGCTGCCGAACGATGGACAGCTGCGGGATTCAATTAATCCTGCCGACCAGCTCGATTCCGAACACTTCGCCCGATTGAGCTCACAGATTATTGTGCACGGCACATTTCCGAGATGTTGCCTAATATCTGTAATAATGCAAAGGCTGCAACGGCTTTGAAGTGATACAATGCAGAATAATGCAAGTGCGATTAAATCATACGTCGACATTATCTATTGGCCTCTTCTGTCTCGCGTACGATTTTTATTAAATGTATACGGGAATTCGTGGAGAAAGGTTTCAGTTTTTAATAAACTAACAAAGATACTTAGTTTCATTGTAATTACAGATTTGTTTATTTCAGTATACAAATTAGTTGAAATACATCACTTTTCATTTTGATATAGTTGTCAAATCAACAAATTCAGTCAATTGATGTTGCAAATGTATTAGCTCGTGTAAACTGTTCCAAAAGCGGTGCTTGAATATATCGATTTCTTCGAACAATATTAGTGGCAGCATTTTCCTCTTCAATTAACTGCCGAGTCCAAAAGCTTGACCATGGTATGCTCTTCCGTAGAAACTCCTTGGCGACGTGTACATTCATAAAGGTAGCCTATCGATCGACATTGAGTGGGAGTAGAGGCGAGATGTCACTTGGTGCGTTTCCGCTTCGCCTGACTTGATTAATCCACGCGGCATCACGAAATTACGTTGCGCGCGTCTTTGATGCCTCCTCCAAGACCATGGCTGCACTGCTTTGATTAGACAACGATGAATTTAATCAAAGGAAAGCTTGGCGCAAGTTTCGCGCGCCAGATCTACGTGTGTATATGTGGCATCGTGAACTTTGTGCGCATCTTGCGATAGTGGCTATTGTGTGAGCGCGCACTTCGACAACAAAACTTCCCGGAAAATATGCTATGCGTGTTGTCGACTTTGCGAGACGAAAGATTAAATGTTGGTGCCGCAGGTACAACACAAACTTTTAAGCATCTCGAAGATATTAGTTAAGACCAAGTGGTATGAGATGAAAACAGCAAGCTTTATGAATATCTAAAAAGACTAATGTGTCCATGAAAGCCTCATCTGAAGAAGAATGGCTGTCTTCATGAGCACTTAATCATTCCTGTCTGACATCAACGAAGAATCGTTTGCATTTCCCGCTAATTACATCGCGACTCCCCTCCTCTCGAGAAAAAAGTCCGCCAAAACAAAGCATCGAATTCGCGGTGCTCACGCGATATGCAAATCCGCGCGCGACGCGCCAAGAGATAAGTGCATGAGCCGCCCGCGCGATCCACCCTCGTAAATCACGGGCACGGGAGCTTTTGCAAAACGACACCAATCGCGTGTCTTTCTCTCCATACGCTTTTGATAATTAAAGAGGCGCCGCATGCAGAGTGCAGTGGGAATTCATTATATGCTTTACGAGTGGATTTTTATTCCACGAGTCTTGTTACGTTATGAAATATATGCGGAGTGACGTTTACGACCAGCTCGTAATTAACCAAGTTTGCTTTAAAATAGAAAAGGAAAAAAATTTTGTTGCGATGATAAGATTCGGATTAAAATTTAATAAAATTACACGTTTACTTCTTATTCATAATTCAAAATAATAATTATTTCTATGCCTTTATAGGCATATAATGGACATAAATTATAATCTCACAAGAAAAATTTGTCTGATTTTTCGTCAGGGATGAAAAAAAGCGCAACTTATTAGTAATTAGAAAAATGTAGAATTAAAAGATAAAGAAAAACACTAAATCTCATTTGCGACTTGTTTGGCAAATCCGCGCTGTTACATTTGGATGTTAATTGCCTTGAACATAAATCTTTCCGTGCGACAGTCGCGCTAATTCATCGTGGTATAGAGCAACGACAAATTAACCGAGTAAACTGTGAACACGTGAAGCCTAAGGGCCAAACGCTGTTGCCAAATGCAATCGAATTAACGGTATACATGCGCTCCAATGCAAATTAAAAAATTTTCAAATACAAAAGAAATGCCTTTGATATGATTAATTATAAAATGATTAAATAGGGTTGGTGAATAATTTGGTAAGGTCATGCGCCATCTGAATAAAAAGGAAGTAAACTTGTATAAAATTAGGGTGAAAAATAAAGGTCGTAAAAATTACCGACTGGGTAGTGCCGGTAATGAAGGCTGATAAAAACTAAATTATTAAAATTTAGTTTACAGATTTTATAATCATTCTTCACAAAAAATATAATTACAATTTCATTTAATAACTATATTAAAGTCTAATACCTTAAAATAATTTATAAGAAGAATTTTCGTCGACTTGTTTCCATCTGATGTCTTCTACCCTGGATAATCCATTCATAATTTCCATATTTACTATCAAAAGTCCCATGTTGCAAAGATCTCAATTTTAATGTGAATCTTGGGCCCAGTTCTTTTAATCTCGGTTTGCCAGATTTTTGATTAAACTCATATCTGTATTGAAATTGTTTGGTATTCCATAAAAAATGAAATCGAAATAGTAACCAAAAAGCTTCTTACCTATGATGTCGGAAGAAAATATAATCACGTTGATTGTGGAATGTAACAACTCTTCTGCCTTTAAATTCTGGTTGATGATGGAATAATGCACCAAACATTCTAGAAACTGTATAACCAAGACGAGTTGTAAAATTGTTCAATATCACCTCTGGACGATGCTTTGTAATTTCTTTGTGACTTCTTTTCAATTCTGGTGTAATTTTAACATTGCTTAATTTACAGTGCATTGTAGGACCATCTGGCAAATGAACAATTAACATACCATCTAGTCAAAAACGTTAAGGAAAAATCAGTTCGATAAAAATAAAAGTTATTTTAATAATGAAACAGTTTATAGAAGTTTATATAAAACAACTTTCTGAATATATCTGTAATAAGATATGTAAAATATTATTAGAAAGGATACTTGGTTTGCATTGGTCTTCATTAATAACAATAATATCTGTAAAACCATTTGCTATACAGCTTTTGACCATTTTTTTCACACCAGATCGATTTCTGTACAAAGATACCGAGTTTGGAATAATTCTTGTTAACTCCCTGCCAAATATTCTTGTTTTTGTGTGAGGATTATCAGCATAAGTGATCAATACTTTTGGTTCATAATCTTCTTTGTAATAAGAAGCAAACTCATCATGCTCCATATCAATTTTGATTTCTTCATTCTCATCATTATCTATTTCACCATGAATCATAGTTTCATCTTTTTCTCTCAAACTTTCAATAGTATGAGGAACTTGTTTCGGCTCATCTATCTGTGCTCTTGCTTTTCGTCTTTCCTTCTTGGCTTTTTTCTTTTCTTTTTGTAATTGCTCATTTTTCTTCTGCCTAACAACTTTGCACTTTATGTGATTAACGCCAGTTTCAACAGGTAATATTACCTTATCCTTTTTATCACCATTTTCCTCTTTAATTTTCTTTTGCTTCAACACGTTTAGTGGATTTACCACTAAATCTTTTTTTATTTTCATTGCTTTCGAACAGCAGTAAAATCACAGCACAATCTGCAAAAAATTATATTAGGCTATTTGATATATGGTGTCGAGGTATGTCAACATGTGCAGCTAGACACGTGATACTTGGAATAACAAATTCTCAGAAAATGTTCGGCTACTCATTTTCATTGTTTCTCATTAAAAAATATAAGTTTATTTTAATTATTCGTAACAGTTTAATATTAATTTTGACTTGCTTTAACTTTCTACTTACTTAAATCTAGTAATACAAATAATTAATAATAAATAATAATAAATTACCAAGAAAAACTCCACAAATGTATATCCAACATCGGTCATCATTTAACGGTGAAAAAAGGAACTAATACGTGGCGCATGCGCATAAGCTAGAACATACTAACTTAATCTCTCAGTGGTTTAAAATTTAGCGCGCTTCATTAATTTAATCAAGAAATACCAATAATTTCCATGAAAATTTGGCATTTAAATTAATCGGATACACAAAAAGTACTGTACAATATTCGTTGGTAAACAAAGTCACTATTTACATATAAAATATTCGTTAACAATATCGTACACTAATGCCAGTTTACTGTACAGTGCATGCGTTTTCATAGCATGAGTCAAAACATAAACGGATGTAAGTAGGTATAAACAAAGTAAAGCTATTTATTGTTAAAACAGTTGAAAAAGAGTATATTGTAAATATCGAACGAAAAAGTAAGAAGGAATAAATTACAGCTATGAGAATAGCGCTTTGTCTTTGTTTTTCGATGCGCAAGCCCCTTGGACTATAATCATTAGTGTGTGTATCTCCATCTATATTCTCTACCTGCTTCGGCAAATGGCTGAGCATCCGAAATCGTCTCCCTATAGTAGAAATTATAGCCAATGGGTACTCTTGTAATTGAAACAACATCGGTATTCTCTCGTCAGCATCTCAACAATCAACATCACCGCCGGACGCATCATTATTCATTATCATTGTCGTCGTTCTCGCCGCAGTTTGGAGAATAAACTCAAGCTCACACACGCGCGCGCCGCTTGCTCGTGCGTGTACTTAATACAGCTAGCGCGTGTGTGTGTCTCTCTCTCTGTCTGTCTTTCTCTCTCTGTCTCTCTTTCTCGGTCTCTCTTTCTCTCTCTCATTCGGCTTCCTCGAGAGAGACAATACAATAGATCGCTGGCAACGAATTGAAACTGTACAAGCAGCAACACGGCGTCGACGACGAGGAGACCGGTGTCGAGCGTCGCGCGTCCTCGAAGCGGAGGCGAGGCTGCTGCTGTTACCGTTGCTGCTACATCAACCATGTCAGGCAGTGATAGCCCGACCTTCTTTCACGGCCAACCTTGGTCCAGCTGGATTGAGAAAATTGGTCGCGACAAACCACTCAGTAAGTTTGCGTCCTTTTTGTTTTTTGTCTCTCGACCCCTTTTCCCAACCGTGACCTCCAAACGCATCCTGGACATCAACGCCGACGAACATAACCTCCAGGAGCCGCCTCTTTATCTTCAGGGCGTGTAGGAGTAGGGCTACCTATAACATGCTGTATATATATAAAAGAGAGGAGAGGAATGAGCAGGATCTGGCTGAGACCTGAAGGGTGTGCATTAGCCATGAAAGACGCTCAATGATGCCCCTTTGCTTTCTCTCCCTTGCTAAAACGGCTAAAGAATGTTTTTTGAACGCTCGATAAATTATATAACGGATCGATATTTTCTTTTTTTACAAGCAATATTTATTTACCCCCTCCCGCACCTTTTGGATTAAATATATACTTTTCATTTAAAATATTTCGATACAGTGACCTTGAAATATTGTACAAATGTATTATTATGATATTGAGTGATTTACATTTTTTTAAATCAATATGATTACTGATAAATTTATTTTTACACTATTTTATCAATGTGAAATCTAATCAGAAATTGCAGACTAAAATGTTTCACAAATTACTCATTCTTTATACAAATGCCAACCAGTATTAATACAATTTTATGTAAATTTAAAAATAAAAATTTATATTTTAGGTGATGAGGAACCAGACTCTGAACCTGCAAGTTCAGTTATGCGTCTTTCTGTGGATGGTAATTTTATTTTCTTCCAAGTTAAAAATGTTTTGTTTTCAGTTACTGAAATTTTAATATGAATAAAAATGTAAATTTACATGAGAATTAACAAATTTTTTAGATGTTGACTTATATGGATTTTGTCCAGAAAGAGACACATTTTATGGAGTTGTTTGTGAAATATGCAATACCATTGTCAAACCACAAGCTCTCACACAGCACTTGGGTAAGTATAAGGAACTAAAATTTAATTGGCGGTTGGAATTATTTATTAAGGATATGATGATAGCGAAACAGTCTTATCATTTAGACTTATGATCTTAATTGTAGTTATGATTGATAAAAGAGTGTCAGTACGAATTATCACATCCTGCATATATGCTAACTTTGCAAACGATAATGGTAGTTACATTATTTCTTAAAAATAGTGTCACTAGAAAGTAAATTTGTAGCCTAGTGATTAAAAAAATACAAATTAAGCAAACAACATTTACTTTAAGAATTATAAGTGATTTGTGCTTCTCAATTACATATACACATAATATAACAAATAATGAGAAAAGTCGTTATTAAGCATCTCGAATAAAAACTATTACAGAAAGTAGGCATCCCTCCGGTCACTCCAATGCCGCAGGCCAGACCAACAACGCGGCAGTGGCTGCAGCTGCAACAACGGGAGCAGGCAAAGCTCTAATGAAAACGCCTTACTGCAAGCTATCGAAACTGAAGAAAAGTCAGTCATCGGGGCAGCTGTCAGTCAACAACTTAAACGGCACAAGTATCAATTCCGCAAGTAGCAGTGGCGGCAACAACAAAACCAACTCGAACAACATTCACACTCCAATCAAACAACAAAGCCAACAGCAGTCACAGTCATTGCAGCAACAGTCGACAAACTCGAACTCGTCCCCACGTTCACCCCTCGAGTCCTGCGGGCCAGGGCTCGGGGGTGGCAGTCCGGTCAAAAGCCCCAACAACAACAGCAACAACGCGAGCAGCAGCAGCGCACAACAGCCAAAGCGCAAACGTCTCAAAACGGAACGCTCCTTGCTCAAGGATCGAGAATACGATCCGGACCGTCACTGCGGAGTCTGGAACGACGAAACAGGCAAACCATGTACCAGATCGCTTACCTGCAAGGCACACACGGTATCGTTGCGACGCACGGTCACTGGTCGGAGCAAGGCCTTTGACAAATTACTTGCCGAGCATCGCGCCTCGAAGGAGCCTCAGAATCAAGCGCGAACCGCCGCCGCGGCAGCAGCCGCAACTGCCAAAGTAGCGACTGCCGAGTTAGCGGTTGCACCCAGTACGCCAGCGGCACTACCACCAGCAAATAACCCCGAGCTCGAGGTGCCAAGCTCTCCACCCGTACTGTCGCTGCCGGATACATATCCACTGCCGCAGGTAATCATCAATGGTTGCCAGCTACGAACATACCTTCACCTTTGCTGCGTGACTGGTGGCCACTCTATACTTTCGTTTACCAGTAGACACATGCACACGATACTTATTGTCTTTTAACAGCGTTTTTAGTCGCCGCTTTCATTTGTTCTCTCTTTGCAGTTTGTTACGATTCGAAGTAGTTTATTGATTTTTTTTTCTAAATTCAACGAAAAAGAATGAGTTTTCTTTAACTTTAAAAACATGTGCGTTGGATGTTATTTGTTTATATTTTGTATGTCTGAAGAAAACTCTTGATACCAATTTCGAAATTCTCGTAGATTAACGATAAGGTAACAATTTTATAAAAATGAATATTATATTATTGCTCGTTTGGAAAATTGTGCTCTGGCGACATCAATATCATTGTTCGAAAAACAATGTATTTTCAGTTTAGTGGCCACCGTATTTTTAAGAGTATCAGTCGTTTTCGTCATAATTTTCATGTTATAATTAACTTTTAATCATTAAAATACAATAAAGCTTTATATAGACATTAATCACATTTTAAGAAAACGAAATATACGTAGAAATCTTGACTTGTTATCTTTCTATTTAGCTTTGTTCGTTTGAAGATGCCATGAATACAATTGTACATATCAAAGCAGTAAGAAAAGTGTTCATATCGTACGTTGTCTCTAATTTTTTTTAGCTTTGCTTACGTCTTCCAATATACGATAATGTAATTCGCATGATGGTTCAAAACGACAAGTTATCGTTGGCTTTACTTAGTTTTTTCGTTTTTATTTTGAACACATCATTTTTTTTATTTTGTGATTATTACGTATCGACAAAAGCTTACCAAAATCGACTTTAGGGATATCAACTTTAACGCGTGATAAATTTGAAAAAAATATCTGTTGAATCTGATCGTTTACGATATTCGTTCTTCATCCTCATTCATATTAATGCAAACTTTGTTTTTTCAAAGTAAAATATATTTTAGGATGCAGAAAACAAAGTTAACTTCGATCGATAAATTTTATTTGAATCTATAAGAAATAAAGAAAAGCTTTTGTTTGATACATGATCTTTTCTTTTTTATTATTACAGGCTGTTGATTTGCTTTATCGATGTCTGGCCCCGCATGGCTCCAATAAACCTGTAAGGCATGGTTTCTTTGAGTTCTTGCAATACTCGTTTACCGAATCAATAGTTCCCTCGATCTTTATTAGCAAAAATTACAATTCTCTTTTCCAGACCAAACTGGAGGAAGACTTTGCTAACGAATTGGAGTCCAGTCGAAAAATTGACACGTCGGTGGTGAACAACGTCAATAACCCGACCAACGTCAATAACAGCACTAACACCTCGGTAATGGCGCCAATGTCAATGGTCCTGCCCTCACTGTCGCCTATCCAAACGGACGGACTATCGCCTCAAGGGTCGATGCTCCAATTTAGTAGTAGAAACGTCAGCAATAATTCCAACTCCCCAATGAGCGCGGACCAGGCAGCTTCGACGCCAGTAGTTCCTACCAATCAGCAACAGCATCCCAACGAAGCAAAAACTGCACCACCGATGGACATGGACACAAGTAGCCAGGGCATTACAATGTACACGTTACCGGCTAGCAAATCCCAGGTTACAGTTCAAATATCACGTTCGTCTCAACGTAACAATGTCGTTGCGAACAACTATTCGAGTCTTTTTGAACAAAACGAGCATCACGTTATGACCAATGGTAAGCGTGCAAAAATCAGACACGAGGAATATTCTCCAAATATTCAACTAGTCGAGACCGTCACTCCGTACACTAATTTTGACGACATATCTTGGTCTAACTGCCATCCTGAGCCACTTGCCGTGAGTCGCTGGCTGCGTATCAACTCCAGCCGTAAGCAATACAACTTTAATATTCACTGACATAACGCTCTGCCAATTCCAGGCTGAGGAATAGCTTACCTTCCATCTAAAAAATTTAAGTTTCTCGTTGCTTTGTGTTTTAAACGTATATTTTTTATGTACGCTCTTCTGCGCTCTTCCCTCTTTTTGTTTATATTTTTTTTATTTATTTTTTTTATTTGGCTGATCATTGGACGATTTTTTCTTTGTAAATTCTTAGCTATTATCCACATGACATTCCTCTAAATTAATTATCGATATGATACGATGAAATGGTTTTAAACGTAGTATTATGTTGAAAACAAAAAATAAAAAAACAAAAATACGCTCAATGCTATATATCTAAATAAGATTGGATTAGTGTTACCGCTATTAGCAATAATGTAATTTTTATTGCGTATTGTCGTATAAGGAATAGTTGTATTAGCATATCGACTAATAATTGTAAAAAAGAAAAAATAACGATCATTTGACATGGAAACGTTATAATTCTATAAATTATTTAATTTTGATAAAGTCAATGTTTTTTCGTGTGATAAAAATCATGCTCTACCGTTATTGCAGCAATATTGTATAATTTCAGAATCATATTTTTAGGCATTTCTAATCGATTTACTATGAGTGTAACTTTATAAAGATTAACACAATTTTTTTTCATTTTTTCTTTTTTTTTTGTCAATATAAATCGTGATTTATCAACGAAATTGCATTAATGATAGACTAGAAGGCAGTGTTAAGTTTGGTGATAATGATTTATTATTTCCTCATAAAATATTCACATTAATGCAATTATAGATATTCAAAATTTTATTGACATCGAAATATTTTTTTAGGATAACCCTATAGTACATTACGATACAAGTGCGGGAAAATAGATTCTCCTTTCCACCCTCGCTTCGCTCGGGCGTAAACGCCACACGAGACGGGAAACTCTTTCCCGAACATGTGCCGTACCGTATTTTTTGATACGACGTGTGGAAAGTGCGATTTTCAACGCACGTTTTTTGCCGAGCGTGCGGGAAAAACGCACTTCCCGCACGGAGTGTCCAAAAAACTTTTTCGGATATCCATTTGCCGCCCGTTACATACACTAATTATTTCATGTTAGTGATCAATAGAAACGGGAATAAGTACAAAACTGAGCCCGTTCAAACTGTAAAATTACATGTTCGTTACGATTTGGTAATTTTTTGTTTAATTTTTAATAAACTGTTGGTGCCTGACGCGTGCAAATCCATGAAAAAAAATTTAGTAACAAAGGAGCACCAAACCTGATGAATGAGATTTTGTTCAACTTCCAAAGTGTCCAATACTTAATTAAATAGAACGTAATGTTATTTATTTTTTTATAATTTCTGTAAAAACATTATATAAGTTTTTTACGTCCACATAGAACGTTCACTTTTCTACTACAGTATATAAATAATAAAAGAACGTAGATGTTCAAGAACTGAAAAAGTTAAGTCTGAATGCAAAGTGTTGCGTTAACTAGTTTGGAATTAAGGAAATAGATCAGTATAACAAATTTAGCAAATAACGAAAGTTGAAATCTGTTTTTATTCGCTACAATTTGAAAATTTATTTGATGAAATAGTCAGATTGATGAGTCTTAGTGAACACCAATTTAAACTTGAAAAAAATATTCTTTGTGACTTGCATGCAAATACCTTACGAAAAATACTTTATCAATATAAACTTTTGTTATCATTTTGAGAATAATATATTACATTTGAAAATTCAGTCAATCTTGATGAAATGCCATAAATTTCCATATTCTATCTCGGGATGTTGAAAATAAAACATATTTATTAACGTGAGGAAATGAACAATCAGCTTGATTTTAACTTGCAACTTCTTATTATAAAAACAATTAAAAAATCTCTGAATAAAGGTACTTTTCATTTGTATGTTACTAATTTAGTCAACGAGGTTTTTGTTCTATTTTTAGGCTCATCAATTAATCTGCATAGACTTGGTTTTGAAAATAAGCTTTGACTTTTCCATTTCATCATTAAGTATATACATATATTTATCAAACTGTACATTTATATTGTATATAAATAATTGATAGCTACCATAAAAATTGATTTCATAATCTTTCATTTTATTGAATAAGTTACTGTATCATTTACAGTGTATCTAAAATTACCGCTCATAAATTATTTCATTATCGTATAATAATAGAGGTTATTTTAGCTATAACAAATGCAGCACTCGTAAATGTGTTGAAATTATTTTAGTAATATTAGAAAAACGTAAAGAATCATTAATATCGTTGCCATGATATAACGGTATACTTTTTTACATTAGTAGTAATTAAGCTACATCTTCCTACTTCAAACTAATATATACAGGGTGTCTCACTTTAACCTGAACAATAGGACCACTTAAAATTTGCAAAGGATTCGAAAAATGTTTCAAATAAAAGTTGTATGGTTCAGAGAGGGTCAACTCATCATGACATCAAACATATCTTCGAACTTGATTTTGAAAATTATTTTAAGATCAACTTTACTTTTTAAATAGGACCCCTTATTTTGACCTAGGATTTGAATAGGGTGGGAAATTTCACGTTTAGATGATCTATTATACGTAGGATCCAAGTGACCATACAAAATCATTTCAAGGTTAACTTTGTTTTTTGAGCTTTCATGCTGTGATGTAAGTCATTTCTTCTACATCACCCTAACATGTGTTGGGGCTGTTGGTTCGATCTGATCTAAAAAGCTAAAAGGCCTGATTTATTTGTTTGAACGGATTATCAATTGTCTAAATAATATAATAATCTTCAAAATAATTTATCAAGATATCTTAAGAATATACAAATACATTGCAATCAGGTATTATCGTTAAAAAGTAAGTTCGCTCGACGTTCTTAGTTCTAAATAATCTAAATAGAACTGCATGGGAATGGCAGCCATGTAAGGGTAACATTCCCGCAGTTTCTAATAGCTGTTTCCTAAAATTCATTTCTGTAAAGACATACTGATTGACGAGCCTTGTTCCATTTTTGCCGTCCAGTGTCTTAAAATTATCAACGCATAACTTTTGGTCGTGAAAAATTGCCTGCATTAGGCTTTTATCCACGATTTCGTGTTTTCGAGCACATCCACAAGAATCTCCTTCCATTCTTGTAGTGAGAAAGTCGCGCGGCTTCTGGTTCTGATACCATCCAGTCCTGCCAACCCTCTGCATGCTGTTACGAATAATTGTCGCCGTTCAACCATCATGTCGTTTTTTACATAATCGTTTTTTACATTTCATGAAAAACTTAACGGCATCCGACATCATATCTAAATAAAATTTTATAACCTCGCCCATTGACAATGCGGTAATGTAGTAAAGCATGTATAGATCCGGCTACTCTAACACCTGAAATAACAAATTGTTAATAACAAATAATATACAAAAGCACAAAGTGAATGTAAATCCTGACGATATGTACCCGACTTACTTTTTGTGTCTTACTGACGAATTGAGAATTCATGACGTCTTTAAGAAATGATTTTACTTGATTTCTAAAGTGATCATCAAATTTTTTACGTACGTCCGATAGGACGAACAAATAATTCTCAATAGCTACTCCTATTTCTAACTGTTGTTAAACGATAATTCAGAAAAATATTGTTCGTAGTTTGTCATGTTGGATATTGAATGCCTTTTGCGAAGGAACTCTAGTCGCTTTAAAATGGACTGAACATTGCGGGTGTTCAGCTTCGAACATGGTACTTTACTCTTGTATGGTTTAAATGGTTGCCAATCTTGAAATTAATATATTGCAATTAGATTGAATTTATGGTTTCAACAAGATGATGCTCCTGCTTACTATATTCGTATTGTACGAGCGTTCTTAAATCAACAATATCCAGATCGATGGATGGAGTGGGTTTGACCATTTGGTTCATAATTAAATTTATGCATTTCTAAAAAAATTTTCCTTGAATGGTTGGATCGTTACACGATCTTACCTTCACTAGCTGGATCTCTATGCGATCTTACCTTAGTTGGTTGAATCATACATTCGTGTGCACGTACACAAATACACACATGCACACACTCACGCTCACACCTTTCTTAGGAGCTGTGGGACCTTATAGCTGGTGGGAATAAACATTGAACTTAATCAGTCGGGATACCAGGGATTTTATACTATGTGACTCATAGATACCGAAGTAAGCAGCGAGTTGCAAGTCAGGCCCCGTCGCTGCTTAGATCGGAGCGAACCAACAAACAGCCTAACACACGCTTAGATGATGTAGAGGAAAATGACTTATATCACAACATTCAAGCTTAAAAAAAAGTGGACCTTGAAATAACTTTACATGGTTTTCCGGGTCCCATATGTGATACATCATCTAAACGTAGAATTTTCAGTTCTATTCGAATCCGGGGCTCAAAAATAGGGGCCCCTCTTTGAAAAAACGAAGCCTTGAAATGACCTTGAGAGATCTCTCGAACCCAACGTATAATAGGTCATCTGGAGGTAGAATGCCTCACTCTATCCGAATCCAGGGTCAAAAATAGGAGTTCCTATTTAAAAAAATTAAGTTGACCTTAGGATGACCTTGAATATAAAGTTCAAAGTCAAATTTGAGGTCATCGTGGGTTGATCCCCTTTGAACCATACAACTTTTATTTAAAATATTTTTCGAATATTTTGTAAATTTTTGAGTTATCTTACTGTTGAAATTATAGTGGGACACCATGTATATAAATACAAATTTTCAACGAGTGAAAGTATAGATTTTTTGACGCCAACGAATCTCAGATAATCAACCTTAGTAGTTATAAATTTGAACAAAAGTTCTTTTACCAACTTACTGAATATTTTCAATTTTGATTTACCGATTCATTAGATTCAGGAAATACAGTTTGTACCTTTGTATCTGAGATTTTAGTTGTGTGTTGTACATACAATTCATCTTTGTACAGATACAAGCAAAAAGTGACCGCACAGTGTAATTATAGTTTAGTTACATTTATTGTGTGAAATTATTCATCAACGTAATTGTTAAACTATCAAGTTTGGGTGTTTGAAATTTCATAGCATTTTTCAACGTGAAAAACAAAATTATTTTAATTACTTTTTAATTGTCAATTTAAGTACTCAACAACACTTGTTTTTAAAAGGAAACTACTAAAGTTGTTGAAAAAAAATGCCTAAAAGTATTAAAACGAAGATAAATAGTTACAAAACCATTGCTACTATCAATAATCTATTCTATAAAAAGAAAGAAGAAAACGAGAAAAAAGCGTAACAAAAAAAAAAGAAGACTACTTTCCGATTGCATTACTTTCTATGAGTACGTAACTCATATTTAAAGACAATATCGCATCAGAATACCCGATTATCTATCCTCGTTTATAATCAATAATTAATCATATAGCCAACAAAATATTCGTTCCTTACTGAAAAAAACTTGAAAAGTATAAAAAGAGTGATCGAGAATGACTACATGTCGATAGCTATTTTACAAAATTTATTAGGAGCATTCGGATTACTATTTTGTTAGTATTATTGCCGACTTGCATTGTTTATTACGTTACAACGTGTTCTCTTATGCTGAATAAATACTTCAATCAGTATTAACGACTCCCGCTTCATTTTTGTATTACGAACTCATTTTTTGTAAGTTGCCAAACCGTTCTATCGATCATCTCAATTATGTTTATTTTAATTGTAAATTACTAATTGAGTGCATGTTTGTGTGGTCATGCGTGTATGATCTAAAACAGTGAGTGAAAGACACAAATAAAAATTATGACTTCTCATCATAGATTGTGATATTTAATATGTGAATGTACATTGTATGTGTACGTAGATTAACAAAGAGTGGCGCAGTATGGGTCACTATTTCGAATAATGTCGCAGCTCGATCGCCGCGGCCGTATTACGGATTTTTGTTCCGTTTGAAAACGCTTATACATTGTCTACATTAAGAAAAGTCATCTGTTGTTGTTCGATTAATTTCGGAGTGTGTAAAAAAGTAATAATAAATGGGAATCAGCCTGCATCTCTGCGTGTGTCTAATGCAGCTTGAGATACGAAAAAATGCATCTGTATACGTTTTCTTTGAAATTCAATTTTATGCGAAATACACTTCCTTATATTGTAATTATAGTAATAAGCGTAGGGATTATTAGTTCGTCTAGATTGTATATGTACGCTGATAATTTATATGTACTTAGACTTTTGGTAAATAAAACATTATTGTTTTAATCGAAAATAACGAATTGATTATCTGAACAATATTTTACAAAAAATTCACAAAGCTTCCGCTATCGCATTGATCCAAGTCGCAACGGCAAAAGCTCCCGCATCCATTCCTTTCAAATATTGCTCTTGTTTGACGTAACTTGCCCTACCCGCTCTAAAACCCAATTATTTTTTTAATAATAAAGTACAATGAACAATCATTTATTAGTTTCTATTTTTACCTTGGGATCATATGTTTCGTTGCTTTAGAGCATTCATTAGCCTTTGCAGCAACTATTTTAGCCGCTTCCTTGTACGTTAAAGATAAGTGTTTATCCAATTCGTCTAATGAGGGATTTAAGACGTCGATCTGAAATCGTAAACAATTCGTTAGTAATGATGTAATAAAGTGACTTTGACGAGCATAAATATTAACCATCGTTTTATCTCCCAATCTAGCTTTACTGTATTTCGTTATGCCATTGATGCCTGCTCGCCAAGTTACAGACCATACTTTTATCCAGTTATCGACTTTTTCATTCTTTGACATTTCAGCAGCTGCAGTAGTAAACATTAAACTGTATATTGCTCCAGAGGTGCCACCCATACGGTCCTCCGCTATGTTTGCAAGTTCTGATAGTAGAGACGACGGTTGAAATAGCGACAACTGGTCAATTGCCGACATTGCTCCTGTATTATTTAAATAATCATTATTTTTCAAAAAAACCTACAATGAATCAAATATTCACCAACGGCTAGATGTTTCAAGGTAGTCCCACAATCTCCATCTCCACAGCCAAGGTCCAATTCATTGATGACTTTTTCTTTTGCAATAATTGCCTCGCAAGCTTCTTGCAAGCAATTTTTCAGTAATACTTTTTGACTTTCAGTCAAAGTGGGACCATGAGTTTGCTTATGTGGTCTTTCTTCTTTTATCGGCACTTTATAGTAGTTGGATGGTAGACTATAAGAACAACCTGGCCATCTCGGTGCTTCGGTTTGCTGGTCAAGAGCATCCAAAAGTAAAACTTTATCCTTCTCCGGTAGCTTGAGGATAGATACGTGCATCCCAGCACTGTCTAATGATGTCATCAAAAGGCCGCAATAAACTCGGAGCGGTAAGATGTCCATGTTCTCTGAGAAACGCAAAGACACACCAAAATGTATTCCATAGCTGGTTATTTCTTAAATTTATATAAACTTACGGAGCTGTGTAACGACCTCTTTTACGACGACACCTTGTTCCAATTGACTGAGACCTCCGAAATTATTGACCAATACCACAACCGAGTCTTCTTTTTGCAGCTTCAGAGCTTTCCTTATCGTATCGATCATTATAGCAACGATTTTCGATGCAGACTGTAGTTTGATTCTTTTATAGCCTGCCTCTCCGTGCAATCCTTGTCCAAAATTAATCTCATCATCTGCAAGCTCAAACATTCGACCGCGACCTGAATGATAAGAAAATATTATATCGACTTTTTGAAGCGTACTCTCATGTTTGAGTTGTGATAATATTACCCGGGATAGTGCAAGCGGTCAGTCCAATGGAACACGATGCTGTATCATCAGCAACCAATTGTGCGTACTTCGTGACGTTTTCAAGACTGTATCCTTTCTCAGCTAAAGCACCTGCAACTTTCAGTACTAACATAATTCCCGGTAGAGCTCGTTTTCCTGCTCGGCCGAGCTCGTTATCCGGAACGCTGCAGTCTTCACCGACTATTACTTGTGCAACCTACATTCCAATTTTTTTGAGAATTTTAGATACTTGCATGATTTTTTCTATTTCTTTCTTTTTGCAATCTCGTATGTTAGTTTATTTTTACTTTTAAACCTGAATTTCGAGCTCTCTCGATAGCCAGTCCAAAGTTCAAACAATCTCCGGTGTAATTGGGAATAACAACGAGACAACCGGCTGAAAAGCAACTTTACTTTAGAATCGAGCTTTCCGATTAACTTTTCCTGCGTTAATTTACCAGTGTTGTTTGTTGAAGTACATTGAATCGCGTGTAAGATATGGCTTGAAGGTGGGGAAGCGAAAATAGAACCAGAAACCGATGCCGAAAGCATTCCAGATCCAACGAACCCTGTACGTTATATTAATATTTTTGCATTGTTTTTGGAAAGAGCGAGACGATGGCGAAAGTTGAATATTAAAAACCTGCTGTGAATGGTTCGTGTCCACTGCCACCTCCACTTATCACAGACACTTTCTTACTCGGTGCATTCCACTGAAAGATTTATTATAATTCCAAAGATTAGTTTAGTAGTATTGACGTATCAATTAATATGCCTACCGCGGGTTTCAAAACGACTCTTTTTGACGTGTGCAATTCGAGGTGAGGATAAGTTAATATACATCCAATTAACGATTCATTAACAATGTCTTCGACGGAGTTAATTAAACTTTTACCCGACATATTTGAAAAATAAAAAAATTTCTAGTCTCACTATATTTTTTCAACTTAGACAAGACTAAAATATATATTGCTGAAAATGCTGCGAATATAACTTTGTACTATAGAAAACGATGAATTCGCTGGAGAAAAAAAACAAGTTTATCATTCAACGACAACATCGATGATGGACTGAAGTAAACCTACTAGATTTCATAATGCGTCTCTGATCCAAAAGAACGGCCTGCGCGCTTGTGTGCGTGTTTCATTGCTCAATGCGTTTACAAATTATGTAACGCTAAATAACGACGACCTTGTAGTGACTTTTATTAACTATAGGTTCATAGCATTATATGCAATGCAAGCAATCATTATTAGCAAATTAAATTTAACAAAAGTAAAATGTGGATCGACTATTATTTCTAAACTATTGTAAATCTTTTTGACGTAATTTTATATAACATTAATTAATTAAGAACATTAATTAAAACCTACAAATGTCGTAAAAAAAAATTATTTAAGAAACAAATCTACGATAGTAAAAAATGTATGGATAGAGTTTGTTAAAATAAAATAATATATTATTGAAAATAGTAAATTATATATAATGGTAAACAATTTATCCAAAAACTTTCAATAAAATTATAATTATTATGTATAGTTATAAATATCAACGTTAATTATGCGTTTTTATATAGAAATATCTCTAAGATTCATGAACTTTGTCTTGCTTCACTTGCTTTTTGTAATCCTTGGCAATGCTTTTAATTTGCTGTAGGCCATCTTCTAAAAGCTTTTGAAATTTTTCTCTTTCAACAGGATCAGAAGTGCTTAAAAATTGTAATACTAAACCTACAATGTAAATAAAATGTTTAAATTAGTAATAAATTTGTAAATGATCATATAGTACATAAAATTTTTATTCTCTTACTGTGATATTTAGATACAGCTTCTGATGCAGATTGTTGTAAATACAGCTGGAGGAAAGTAACAATATTTGAAACATGTCTTCCAGACATATATAATATATTTTCTGTTGCAGCTGTGAATAATATTGCAGTTGTTAAGTGCAGTGCTAAAGCTGGATCCTGTGTATTAAATAATTGCTCCAGCAGTGCTTCTCTGTGACCAACAATAATTGCCTTATCCTTCTTTTTATCGTACTTTTTCAAAACTAAACAACAAACCAATAATGCTGGTTCTACAGTATTCAAGAATTCTTCAATAGAATCTCCTGCAAGAGCTTTATGTAAGTTTGTCAATGGTTCTTTGACGTCCTTGGGTAAATCCTGAAGCATTTTTTGCCTTGCTTCTGTAGTTAAGTTTGGTGAGCATTGTATAACATTTTGGTGAGCTGCTAATTTGAAAATTTCAGTTGCAAAATCCACAGCTAGAGTCTTTAACAAATACTTAGCCATTGTTGTTTGATCATTTTTATCCAAACACTTTATTCCTTTCTCAAATACTCTTATGTTAGATATCAATACATTAAGACGATCATCTAGGTCATTGAGATTAGTAGTTTTATTCTTTTGCAATAATTGTTCAGCTACTACTGCTATGTATTTATTAAGTAATAAGTGAAAGTGAGTCGCTAGTTCGTCAACAAATTCATTCATGTCAGAGAAGTTCGCATCTTTATTTAATTGATCTTTAATGTAATCTAAAGTAAATAGTTCTAAATCAACTTTATTGTTAGTTATTCCTGCCTGATCATCCTCTGAATTGTCAAAATCGTGATTCTTGCTGTTATGATACTTTTTCTTTGTTGATTTGGTTTTTGTTTCTCTTCCTTGACTTCCACCACCAGCTTTGCCAGTGGCTGCTTTCTTTCTTCTTTCAGCTTTTCTATCAACTTTAGTATCCACAGCATCCATTGTCCTTGATTTTAATTTATTTTCAACCACTGTTTGGAGCCACTTGCCACTTTCAACAGCTTCTTTAGCTTTCTTCTCAGCCAATGGCTCTAATTTTTTGTACAAAGCTTGTAAATAGGCATCAGATACAATTACAGTTGTTGCAAAAATATGAATAGATGATTTCATTCTTGAAGAAGTTTCTTTCAATAAAATTTCAACATCTTCAGGACTAAAGACTGATGGTAAAAGAGGATAAATATCAGTGAAAGATCCAGTAGCTACAACATCTTCAATGTTGGCATCAACTTGATCAATTATCATGGGACCAACTACTACTGTATCTAGTTTAATCAATTTCTCATTGGGAAAATGACGTTTAACAAAATTCTTGGGATCTGAAATTCCTAGCCTTGTCAATGCGTCATACTCTGAAAAGTATATTTAAAAATGTCAACAAAATAACTAATCAAAATAATTATTTTTTATGATAATGTTCCATTTTTAATTAAAATTATACTAACCTAGATACCCATTTTGCTTATAAAAGTTGTCTACCCATTCACTTTGACTCTTTGAATAAATGGTAGGAACATAAATACTATTACTACTTTGCTTGCCAGTAACAACTCCTGGTACTTGTTTTTTTTCTTGCAAAGTTTCCAAAATAGCTTAAAGAAATGATCTTATGTTATTTAAAGTTTCATAATAATATTAATAGACAATAATATAAAATAAGTAGAAGCTTACCAAAAAATATTTTTTCTGGAATAGAACATTGACCTAGAACAGCTAAAATTGGAGTAGGTTTTGTTATTGCAGATAAGGCTCCTCTTATTTTAGCTTCATTCCTAGCAATATACCCTTGATTGTAGAATATACGTGGTTCTTGTGTATCTTGTTTTCCAAAGATTATCTTTCCTAATTCTTTTTCAACTAAAATTTGTAGAAATTCAGCAGGTAGATCATAAAAAAGCGTCAAGTCAGCTATATTTATAAATCCATTTTGATTGAGCTTATCATTAATTTCCTCAGCTATTTTATAGGTATAAGACTTGTCAATCAACTGTCCAAGAATTATTTTCGATCCTTTATCATGCTTTTCAATATCAATAGCTGCTTTTGTAACTTGGGACAAATCAACATTCAGAATATTAGCTAATTCAGTCAAATTGATACGACCACCGTGAATGTACAATTCATCTTTGACTTCTTTAATCAAATGTTGTGGAGTTACATACTCTTTACCATCATTTGTAAATATCACATCCAGTAATTTAGTTTCAGTAAGTTTCATAATAATTTCAACACAATTGCGCTCTGATAATCTAAAATAATGTTATTATAAATATAGATATTTTAAATGATACTGCTTTAAAAAAAAATTTGTTTAGTTATCTAGATATTGAAATTTATAATTACTTTTGTAATGCATTACTAAGCTGTGCCTTTTGAAAATCAGCAGCTAGCCTTTTCACTTCATCCCAGTCAGCGTTCGTCATTTTCTGTAAGTTAAATTTCTATTGCATCAGAATTGTATTTAAAAATTGATAATTTCTGAAGAAATATAATAAATATATACTACACTAAAGTTATTCATCATTCAATAATTAATCATTTAATCATCGTATCAAATTATCAATACAATATGTTAACCAACTCGTTTTTCCACGTCAAGTTGTTTTGTATCCTTTCTCATTTCAGTTTTAGTCTTACTTACAATGAAACTGTAATTTGATTCAAGGTTTTACTCATTTTTACGTTCAAGCACAAAAATCACACCAATCAAAACAGCTGTTTCATTCATGTGATTTTAGACTAACCTTTTGGATTGTTGCCTGATTGTTGTGGGCTCCGAAAAAGTAAACGGTGCAGGACAAGTCTTTGCAAGTTGCAATACTTGCAGCGACATTGGTAAAACGATAATAGAAAAAACTCTCGATTTTTGGATGAAGATTTAATTATTAAAAAATAATCGTTGTGTCTATAAGAAATATTCTAAAAATATTCAACGACTAATATCAACGGTACGAATATTTATTACAAATCTAAAATACCAACCTTCCAAAATATTTCAGTAAAATTATTTTACTATCTTTTTTGTTCAATAAAACTGAATAATGATGATTTTAGTTATAAAAAATTGTTTCAAAATGAGCACAAATCTATCAAAAAAGAATAATATGAAATTATTTAGTCATTATCAATATCAACAACTTATAGTAGATGGAAATAAATATTTGATTGGTGCATGCAAAACAGATGAGTTTCTACATATTCTGCTTACAGATCTAACAGATTTTTATGAAGAAAAATTATCAAAAGAAGATAGCATGAAAAGAATTGAGGTACTCTTTTTAATTCTATGAAAAAGCCTTGCAAGTTATAAAAATTTATTTTTAATTGAAGGAATTAAATCCTCTTCTACTTGACTGTGATATTGATGAAATCCTTGATGATCTATTAGTGAATATTCCAAAATATACTACCTCTTGTAGCTTGCAATATATAGAACTTGAAAACCAAATTGAAGGTGGATGCTTTTGGTTTCGAGTAAATTTAACAAAAGTAAATCCACAACCATTTCTTGATCAATATACAGAAAATTTCTACACTTGTTTGTCAGAACTTTATCATAGATATAATTGCTTATTGGATTTAGTAAAAAAAAAAGATAAAGAAATTGATGAATATAAAACACAAGGAGTCAAAATAAATAAAAGTAAGTTTATGAAACTTGTTTCATTAACATGTATTAATTATTTTTAATTTATTTTTAGGGAGTTTAGTGACAGATCCATTCAATGAGAAATTTTTTGAAACCAAACTAAAAAATGTAGAGACTAAACAGAAAATGGATATATTTTTAGAGACTATGATTTTTTTAAACTCAATTAAAAAATCCAATTTAAATGATCCTTCACAAAAAAATAAATCTGTGCATATTGAATCAGAAGTAACTGTAGGAGTTTCCAATCAGCCTTTTACAAACAAGGAAATAGCTGTAAAAAGGCCACCTAGTAGTGATATGAGATGTGCTGTAATTCCGAGAATTGCGAAAAAAGCCAAACAGTCTAAGCAAAACTCATTTTTACAGCACATTTAATATCTAACTGAAATATTTTAAAGAATTATGTTAGATTTTTATATGTAATAATAATGGTTAATACCATGATCAATTTTTTACGTTAATTTTTAATGGAATATTAATGACCGTGCACATATTTAGGTACTCTTATAGCTCTCATATTTAATGTATTTCGATTTATATTTGGCAATTATGTAATTTATTTTTATAAATTTAAATCTTTTCTTTCATAAAAAATGATTATTTTTCAATATTAAATCAAATTCAATTTGGAAAAACTTTAGTTAACATTAACATTTATTGTCAAAAAAAATTTAAGTCCACCTAAAGTGAGCATAGGATCTATTAGCTTCACATTGTCTGTATAATTCTTGTTTCTTTCGAATAACTCTTCCCTAAAAAAATATTACAATAAATACAATTGCAATAGTAAAAAATTTATAAAATACTGTATAAAGTACCTGATTTTTGGATGCATCTATCAACTCATAAGCAAATCTATCATAAAAACGAGCAGTATCTTCTTTTTCATTTCCAGCTGCTATCAACCAATTTATAGCTAAAAAGTTTGCTCTCTTATCAGTCAATGGTACAGGAACCTTGAAATTGATAATATTAAAATGTGAGAGAAAAATTTAGCCAAAACATTTATACAATTAAAATTATATTTAAATTTCTCACTTGATATGATTGCCCTCCTTTCTTTATTTTCATAAGTTCTAATACAGGAGTGCTATTTTCAATTGCTTTTTGTAAAATTATTCTAGGATTCAATTCAATCTGTTCTTTTGCTTCAGAAGTACTAGCTTTGTGATACTTTTCTATTTGAATACGTTTTATATTTTCAAATGTTCTTTCGACTAACATTCTAGCACGATCTTTATTACCCTCTTTTGTTAAATAGTTTATAAGTTTACTAAAAGAAAAAAATTAATCCTATACATGTTACATGAGTTATCTCATAAATATCAAAATTTTACCAACTTGACTAAAGGATCATGAAACTCTGATGAAGTTTGATTTGTAAATGCTGGTTTAATAGGTAAATGTGAATATTCTTTTAATTCCCCTGAAGCTTCCAACTCTTGTTGTGTGTTTTTATCGTAGATAGATTTGACATACGTTGGTGGAAAAACACTGTAATTTCTTGCATGACTTGTGTTTTTAAATCTGCAACTAAATAAATAAAATGTTAGGATATAATCAAAATCAATTTTAGGTTATATTTTGATTTGGAACTTGAAATTTTTTATATGTGATAGAATAGTTTATTTTATAATTAGTACATTTACACGAGAATGAACCTATTATGAAACATTTTTATTTAACATAACACTCGTTACCTGCATGACGGTTTTACAATAAATAAATGAGTATATTTGATCACGAGTATTCGCATAGACGCCATTTTTGAAACTGAATTCCCGCGATCAATCCGGTATTCCGGTATTTAATATATTTTGGAGCTTAATCATTTTTAATTATGTATTTTCGGATACATTTCATTTTTCAATTTTTTACACGATTATTTTTTTATTGTTCAAATATAATAAGCAGTCTTTATTGTATTGCTATTATTATATTTTTTAATACGTATAATTGTGTAAACAGAACATTCCAATTTAATAAAGAGCTATTCAAAGTTAACCTTAAGAATCAAACACTCATCAATGAAAACCACAAAGCTGCGTGCACTAAATAATGCACCCTTCCAAAGTATAATCAAATAATGAGCAGAAGACGGTGAATTATGCGCGTGCGCCATGCGTCCCTCTTCGGTTCGTTTCGGTGTGTGATATACGAAAAATCACGAATTTATAACCTAGTCTCACACAAACGAAACACACACTAAGTGGTCGCGGGCAATCTATCGCGGTGTAGTGGACTTCGGGTATTCACGTTACCATCGTCGCGGGCGAAGTTCTTTTTTTTAACATCCTGAAAGACGACGACGACGAATATCATTCTAAACATTTAGTTGATTAATCAAAGAGTCCAACAACAAGTGAAAAGTATTTTCAACGACAACGAGAATAACACAAGAGGATGCACCCTCGGCGTCGTGGCAGAGGTTCCTAAGGGACGCACCACTCTCTTCCTCAACTACTCGGCGCGACAATAATGGCCGAGAACCAAGGAAACTCGTCAGGTAAAGGTGAGCCTTTTTAACGACATTACTGTAGCTACTATTTCCTATAGACTTTCTTTGATCTTGTCGCTTTATGTCAGTGCTAATCAACTTTTCATTCCGGGTTTTCCAAGCGATAGATAAGACTCGCCTGGATGTTCTAACCTAGATAACACCCACGCATATACCCGGGTTTTTCGCGTTTCCATAGGTATTTGTTGTTTTGTTGCTACGATTTGTGCTTGGAACTTTGGTAAATCTGCATTTTAATCAATATTTATTCAATCGGAGTGCTTGGTATTTGGTATATACACTTACTCATCGTAAAACACACGGTTCTAAGAAAACTGGTCAAAACATTACTATCAAAAAGTAATTATTTGTCTGTGATAAGATACAAAATTTACTTTCTGTTGTCAATATTTCAATGACCCACTGCTTTAGATGTATCAAATCAAAATATTATCATTTGTCACTGCACATCAATATCCAATATGGATATATTTTTCATAGGAATTATGTTTATCTTTCAAGCAGCATCCACCCATTTGATTATTTTATCCCAATGCAGGTACAGGCAATAGATCATTCAATTTATCTGGTCTGGATTTCAGAACTAACTCTGAAGTTCAAAATGATATGTCTGGTATGTTTAATGTCAATCAGAATAGCTATAATGCATAGAAACCAAATTTAATTTGATTTATTTAATTTTTTTATTAGCTGAAAAAAGGAGACAAATAAAAATTGGATTTCAACCTCAAGGTGTAAACTTGCCCCATTCAAACATGACAAGTTCTAATTCTATAACTGGAGCTGCATGTCCTGTAATGTCGTAAGTAGATTACAGTTAAAAAGATATTATTAGTATCTGTTATTTCTTTAAAGATGAAGAAAATTATTGCTTAGCAGGATCTCACGTCCAAGCTTGCCTTTAGCCATACCAAAACTTCCTGCAAAATCTAATGTTGTGACTCAACCACCCGAGTTCTTACCAGATAAAGCTAGGTAAGTTTGAAAGTTTCATAAATTACTTGTAAGGTACAAGTAATTGTTCAAGATTTTATAAATAATTTTTAATAAAATTTCAGAGATAAATTTAGAATGTGTCATTCCATGCAAAGCACAGGAAAATTACAACTTAGTCCAGATACAGTATATGATTTTACAAGTGAAGATCTCCAGGATCTGGGAGAAATTGGCAGAGGAGGTTTTGGAACTGTAAATAAAATGATACATAGGATAAGCAATACTGTCATGGCTGTGAAAGTAAGATAATTTTGTTTTGCATTCTAATTAGTATAAAAAGATTTATAATTATGAATTATTATTAAATTTTCAGAGAATTCGTTCTACTGTAGACGAAAAAGAGCAGAAGCAATTATTGATGGATTTGGAAGTTGTCATGAAATCCAATGAGTGTCCTTACATTGTGCAATTTTATGGGGCTTTGTTTAAGGAAGTAAGTTGATATCAATCAATTGATACACATTTTAATTATATCAATACATATTTTACATTTATTTAATTAGGGAGACTGCTGGATATGCATGGAATTAATGGATACTTCGTTAGATAAATTTTACAAATTTATTTATGAAACATTAGATGATAGAATACCCGAAGCTATTTTAGGTAAAATCACAGTTGCAACTCTGAAAGCATTAAATTATTTAAAAGAAAAATTACGGATTATTCATCGGGATGTCAAACCAAGTAATATACTGCTTGATAGAGGAGGTAACATAAAGCTTTGTGATTTTGGTATTTCTGGTCAGTTAGTGGATTCAATAGCTCGAACTCGTGATGCCGGTTGTAGGCCTTACATGGCTGTGAGTATTTAATTAACTACTCACAATATAAAACCAATTATCGAAATGACGAATTATATATGGTTTAGCCTGAAAGAATAGATCCTCAACGTGCAAGAGGCTACGACGTAAGAAGTGACGTATGGTCTCTTGGTATAACATTAATGGAAGTAGCAACAGGGTCTTTTCCTTATCCAAAATGGAATTCTGTGTTTGAGCAATTATATCAAGTTGTGCAAGGCGAACCTCCAAGATTATCTCCCAATCAAAACGGAAATCACTTTACCATGGATTTCGTTAACTTCGTGAATACATGGTAAAAATTTCAAATATACGATTAAATTTATCATAAGAATATAAATTCTCAAAAGATTTTATCGTTTTTATTTTATTGTTTTGTTTTTCAGTCTCATCAAGGAAGAAAATCAGCGTCCAAAGTACAATAAACTTTTAGATCATCCGTTTATACAGATGTCTGAAGGGGCAACGATAAACGTAGCTGCATATATTGGCGGCGTTTTGGACAATATGGCTAATAAAGGTGTTACTCCTTTCACCACGAACCAGCCTTAAAATTATAGACAAGAGAAAATAATAAGCCAATAAGAAATTTAAAAAAGAAAAGGAAAAACAAAAGAATACGTGTGCGATAGGGAGCATGATAAAAACGAATGAGGGAAAAGAAAGATAATAAACCTGTTTCATCGTTATTGCAATCCTGCGTTTCCTATCCTCAATTGCCGACGTAATAATATAATTAGGAGGACCAGAAGATTCTCCATCATAGCGTAATTGTAATTAAGCGATGCAACATCATTTTAGAGCTCTACTTTCTGCATCGTCTAACACTCGTACACGTAATGCGAGTACGTTAAGGGATCTTTATCTACGATGTTTCAAGTAGTTCGAGACTATCAAAAAACACAATAACAAAAAAAACGTTAAAGAAACATTTTTGAATAAAAATAAAGTGAAATTATATACATATTACAACGTCCGGACAATTTTGCACAGTTTTATTATACACAAATTACTGTGCATAGTAATATTGCCAATAATTGATTTTCATCATAATACTATACATAATAGTTGGATGTATAATAAAACCGTGCACAATTGTCTGCACGCCCATATTACACGGTCGCATTTACTGAAGCAGTGATGTAATAAGCTTTATAAAAAGCAATTGATTTCTTGATTATATTTATTGCCAGTGCATTTACAAAAATATTGAAATTTAAACAAAAGATTGTTGATTCTATGGTAAAGAATTGTCACGTATTCACACGATTTATACTCAAGCATTTATACGCAGCGTATATCACTGTTCAAAAAAAGAGAAACAATAAGAGAACTTAGTCATTTTTTGATGTACGAACAATTGTGCACGGTTTTATTATACACATAAATTATTGTACACAGTAATATAACTAATAATTGATTCACACCATATTATTATGCTTAGTAGTTTGTACATATATATAATGAAATCATGCACAATTGTCCGTTCTCCGTAATTTTTTTATTGTACTGACAATTTTTGCAGTTCATTACTAATATTATTGCGAAATGAGCGTGAAATTTGAGAGCTATGTTGTACAATTTTTCATTTTTCTCTTTATTATTCAGGCAATAAAAAAATATGAAAGGAAAGATAGATTACGTAATTGTATGAAATAATCAAGAATTAAACGCTTTTCTAAAGAATATTATTCAGAGCTTCTCATGTAAAGTGATAATAGATCGCGTGCGATTGTCGATATTATAGTTCGGTATCGAACTGCTCGAAAACTAAAAAACAAAAAATTTATAACGCATTGGGATATTTAATTATCATTATCTCCAGAAAGTGAATAAGAGTCTTCAATTCCAAAGCAATCAAGATTACCACTTTTATTAGATAAATACAACAGCCATGTAATGCAATGTACACCGCGTATGAGTTCACGCCTTTCGAATTTTTTCTAAGAAACACACCAAGTTAAAGAAATACACCTGTACACATATGCCATTTTGGAGACGTAGTATCGCCAAAAAGACAGGTCAAATTGTCTTGCCTGTTTGTCCCGGCGATGTTTGTTAGATTAAATGCTTATTGCGTGGCATCATGAGTGAAAACCGAAAATTCGAGTACTGTAACTTAAGATAAAATAAATTATCACAGAATGAGTACTTCGTGATATAATTTTTTGTAGCTTTTTTAGTTCGTCATGCACTTTCTTTTTATCTTACATTTTCTGTGAACCCGTCTTATATATCTCTCTTTTTATTTCTTCGTGCGTTTGCTTTATGTAAATGACTGTATTGAATTATGTGGTATTTTCAAACTTGTCTTATCAGAAGTTTCTGATGTGCTTACCGCAGCGTAAAAACTGCGGGTACAGCTGCACGACGATACAAGAGCATAACTAGCATACAACTTCTTTTTGACCAACGCAATGTGGGTTTTTTCTGTCTAAAATATAATTTTTACGGGAACACTTTAGCATGACAAAAGACTTGGAAAAATCCACAGAGATGATAAAGTTGTTTTTTCAAGTGAACATCCTGATTATACCTTTCTAAATTTGTAAAATATTATTTATATTTTCATAATCATAAATATTCCTTAAAAAGTATTTCAGTGTTGCTGTATGATTTAAATTAAGCTGAATGATGCAGTTGAACTGTTTTGATTAAATTAGTTAATTAATTATTTATTGTTAAATAATAAGTAGAATAAATCGAGTTTGGTCAGGCGATTTCAATATTGTTTTTTTATACTTAGCAATAGAAACTAACACATATTTTCTATACTAATTGTAATTGAAGGTATTTGACAGAATGACTATATCTAAATTACTGTCGAGAAACAAAAATTCTTCTATTCGTAAACAAGCAATTCATAAATCGCATTGGTATTCTGTCTCTGAAAAAAATCCTCTTACAATAAATAGCTTCCAGTTTCCAAATCGAAATTCAATTAAAATGGAATTCTTTTTGTAACAAGGTGAATATGGTCTTAATAATGTTACAAGTGTATTTTTTCATAAGTATTGTTCTCTTGTTATAAGAATATTGTTTTCACTACGAAGTTGTACTCCGTACAAGTCGATACATTAGAAAGAAATTTGTTAACGCTAACTTTTTAAACGAAAGATCAAAAGCAAACTTCAATTTTTAAATTTTATTTTATTAACTTTCTTTGTCGTATTTACTTTTTTTTTGTTTTTGTACTTTACTCGTGGCTTTTCATCCAACATGTATAAAAAAAATCACTATTATCTTATAAAAAGTAATTATAATGAAAAAGTCGGTCCACCTTTAATTATTAAAAGAAAAGCCTTGTTGAAAAATTGTCGGTCAAACAATGAACAACAAAATGATGAATTCTCTAGCGTGTAAGCAGACACAATGCTCATCATCACGATCTAAAGCATTCATCGAATGGCTTCTAGCAGCTAGCCAAGGTAATCAAACTACTCCCTCTCTGACAAGCTCCCTCCTGCGTAAGAGAATCGAGATCGACATCGCGCACTGTAATCTCTCCCTCGGCAGGTAGTTACATGTATATAGAATGCTCGAGGGAGGTGAAAATCGATAATCTGACCGGTTCACCTGTTAAACCACGCCGAGAATATGGCGTCGTCGGTGATGTGGCGTCGCCGAGCGGCTCTTGCGCCACTCGTGTATTGGTCACTGTCGACCGTTCGTCCCCTCAGTCGCGGCGAACGTTCGCCAAACTCACGCTACGCCACGAGCGTACGTGCGACGTTGACGAATTCGTTCGTCACACTCGCAAGTTTTTCCTTGTACGAATAAGTGGATTCGGTTTTACTTTCATTTCACGGAATATCGGGCTTTCTTTTAAAATGGACGAGCTTGCAGCAAGTTGACTAAGCGACAATGCTTCCGAAAAGAGCTTGCGCGATATCGACGTCGGTTGTTTTTTCACTTAGTCATTCTGCCGCGGGGCTTGTAAACTGTGCAGTGGAGCTTTAGTACTTTGCAAGTCCGGCTTGGCCAATGTTTAACTTTGCGATTTTGCAATGAAAAATATTGCTGGTAATCACTAGACGGCTCGCCAGGATAAGCATCACTTTGAAAGCGCATAGCGCATCGAATCAAGGTGAGTTTTTCATCGTACTTTCAGCCTGTTCTTATATTATCAGCTTCTCTCTTTAGGTATCGATCAAAAGCTTTGGCCCTTTTCTACTCATTCTAAAACTTTTAGTCTTCGTTCCAATCTCATTTTTATACTCTCGATAATCAGTAGCTAGATTCTATAATCAGTCGACGTCAAACAAGAAAAAAGTAGATTCTCGATCATCACAAGTTTTTCAAATAGCCATAGATGTACATTGATATGATGACAAGTATTAGCCGATGAGCAAGTGGTAAGAATCTTGTTATCTTACAATTCACACCGAAAATCACATTTTCCATCGAACATACGGATCTGTCTAGCTTTATAACCGATTCAAGCTCCGCTCCAGGCCGAATTATGCTCGAAAATTAATTCCAAGAGCCGGGCCATATGGTCACAATAACGAGCTAAATGAAAGAAGTCGGAGGAAACAGTGGTCCGACCGCTTTTACATTGAAATAGAGTGGCCGTGTTGTATACGCTGTGCGCGCGAGTTGAAGCAATCGATTAATCTGAATATTTTATGCCGGCCGCAGCTCTCTCACTGGCCTCTCGGGCAACTATAGCTAGCTTGTGTCGTGCTTCGAGGGTGCTTTCTTGTCACTCCTCGTAGCTTTGCTCTTTTTCTTTTCGTCGCACTGATAGCTGCGCTCCGAAGTGTCGCTGCTTTGGTACGAGTAGAAGTTTAGCTATCGCTCGAGAAAACTTTGTTCGACGTTAAGATCATCGCAAAATGCGCTTGCTTGCTTCAATTTCAAATCGGTGACTCGCGTTCTATTTTCTTGGGACCGTGATTGTAGGCCACCGTCGATGTGGACATGCAATCGTCGATATTCGACAAACGAGCTTGGAATCTATTTTCACGTGCGCCTTATTACATCCTGTTCGTATCGTTGCTCACTGGCATAACGAGTGATTTACGCAGCTGCTGTAACAGTTGAAAGTAAGTATATCGGCTGTCATTCATTTTGCGCAATCGGTATTCAGCTAGAAAGAAGCGTGTAAGCATATAGTCATCGCAAAACAGCCTAAGTCAAATTCCCAACCGATCATCGTACGTAGTGCTTGGCACGTTAAAAGAAAGAAAGCGAGGGAGCAAAGTCTAACGATAGGAAAACAAATGGAAGCGGGTGGCGGCGGTTGAGTCAGACAACCTGGCTGCATAACGTGAACGAGGCAGGTGGCAGGTGCGCTCCTGCGTCAACGCTGCCGGTGCGCGGCCACACGCTCTTTCACTCTCCCTCGTACTGTCGGTACCCCCCTGCTCGAACTTGCTCAGGGGTCTGCGAGACCTACCTTTCCCCTGCCCCGTCGTTGCTTTTTATCGCGCGGCTATTCTGTTTCTCTTCTTGAAATTTCTGTCTTAAAGTCGACGAGTACAACGCACCGAGCGAAAATGCGCGAAGAAAAGTATCTCTTGCGATTAACGAGTAGCAGTGCGCAGGACGCATTAATGAACGTGAGACGAAAAGACATAGACGGATGATCAAGCGCGTATAGTTAACGACAGTGCGAGCAAGAGGAACGAGAGGACAAAGAGCAGCGAGTTAGAGGCAGGATATACGGCAAATCGGCTATGATTATTTCCACTCGGCGGAAGCGCAGATGGTGTTGCGGGACGTGGGCATTATTATACTGGCGCTCGACGGCAATGACTGAGCCACGCGTCTCGGCAACGCTCGGCTGCCTCGCTTGAAAAGGCGCGTGTGCCCCGCCTGATCGGCGGACGCGAGCCCGCCGCCGATCAGCTACACACAAACAACTAGCGTCGGTTTGCTTTTTCACCAGTTGATTACAAGCACGCGGACAAGCTTCTGCTACGTTATTGATTTGGCGGCTTTGTAGAACGATCGTCGACAATTGTAACGCAGCATTGTTTATAACGCATCGGCGATTTCGAAATTACTGCTTGATGCTACGCGCATAGAATCTAGCCAACTTGTTAAACGAAATCATTAGTTAATTTCATTATTTTTTGAAAGCATTATGGTATTGAAGCTTGCAAAGACCCTTAAATAATAAGCTACAAGATGTATCTCAATTGCAATTACAAACAGAGGGAACTACGGAAAAAACGTACATACAAGTAAAAATGCAGACTTGGCAAAGAATGTTGCGGTAGTCGTATATGTCTTGGATCTTCCTGGAGATTATTGATCGGGGGCAAAGATACGAGTCTTCCGTCTTACTTTCTACCTTCGCCAGTGGGCGTCATATATACACACAGCGACGCTTTATGCTGCGAAGAAAAAATAAATATACAAGCCTGCACAAGCGATATTATTAAGTACATTTTGTCGGCCGCACTTCAGCGATGAACTTCACTCGCATCTATAACTCTAAGTGTACATCTTTACTGCTTCGACGTGTTCGCATAACATTATGCAAGCTTTCCATGAACCCAGTAACGCAAGTAACTTTTTTTTACATTAGATTATATGATAGACGTGTAACAAAGCTATCTAAATCAAATACTCGAAGATAAATCCGTTTAACATAATAATTTCTTACATCAAAAATTTGCGAGAATTGAAAGTATTTGAAAATAAGCGCAAATAAGGTTACAGGCGCAATCTGTTTCCAATACTAGTTGCACAGAGAAAGAAATTTAATAGATAGTAAAGCAATAAACCCGTTCATAGACAGAGATAGCCATCGCCGAGTTCCCGCCTCCATCCCACCCGAAATAACGTTCTGCAGCAAGTAAAGTGGAAAACGGCCGCCGCCGCAACGTCCGGCCAAGTCCCACCCTCTTTGAAGATATATATGCGGATAGATATATTACTACACCGCGTTCAAATACGTCGAATGGATATTCTTTCTTTGACTATTCGGTTTCTAAAAAACGTACTTTCCATCCACGAAAGCAAGTGACAATTTAGTTACATACGCAACCCACATGAAAAAACGAAACACGTTGTCCACGTTATCAAGATGTCAAGTTCGTCGAACCGAAAAAAAAAGAAAATTGACGGGTAAAAGAGGAAAAAAGTACACAAGTTTTGCGGAGTCTGCGCTCATATACGGCTGGCGACGCCCCAGCGACGGACGAATGGCTCGCGTCCGCGTCGTTGGCCGGGAGAGGCTCACATCCATTGGCGAGGCCGCCGACGATCAATGGAGGCCACCACCACCTCTACCACCCGCCGACTCTTGAAAGCCAAGCCGACGCTATGGTCGCCTTTCCACGCAGTTTTCAGATAATACGAGATTAAACATTTCTTTCTCTTGCTCGTTGCACTACGTGAATAATACAGGAAGATATAGCGGTTTGGAAAGTTTTTGTGTCATTGATCAACAATTTGACTTACTTTAAGATAGATTAATGTACTATAAGTCAATTTAAAAGTGATTTATAGACTCAACAGTCAAATATTCATTAATCACAGATCATTTGAAGAATCGGAAGTGAACTCCATTTTTAGGGTGATTTTTATGACAATCTTGTCGCAATATAGAGAGAAAAAGGGAAGCTTATTGTTGAGTTTATTAATCGGTTGTCCGCCTGCAAAATATTATTTTGAAATCCTCAGTGATCAGGTTAAATCAAGAAAGTGACCGACAATCGAAATGTACCATAAGATCGACTAACGATCAAAGGATATATCAACAACTCAATCTCGTGCAATAAAATATATCCAAGGCAACGAACGAAAAAAAATTAGAGAGAGAGACCAGTAGGCAAATTGGGCCGCAGTGCGGTGCTAACTTCCGGTTTCAGCACGATTGAAACTCACCCTCTTCGCATTATATAGCGCACCTGGACGTTATCACGAAATTGCAGCGCAAGTTTCGACTGGTGAGCTCAGTGCCTCGATTAGCCGAAGGTAGAAGGTAGAAGGCCCTTTGGCTTAAATCATTCGGACAATTATTCTCTGGAATGAGATACAGTACGGTCGAATGAATTTTGAAGCGATGCATTTTCATCGAAAGAGTCCTAGTTATCCAATAGTGCCTAACGTTCCTATATACAAAAGACCGTCGACTTTCCGTGTTAATCGCAAATGACGTGTTAATAATATGTGCATACGGCGCGAGCTATGTATAGCTGATAAAACGCGCGCACGGGCTAGTATAGTCGAGTGTAGATGGAAAATGTAATTGATGTCACAGCTATAAAGCGAGACAATCGATTCTGCCTTGATATAGAGGCTCGCGATGTCGTTCTAGATCTCCATTGCGCGTCACGTGCTCTGTACACGCGACGAGTTTGCAAAAAATGTGCGTTAATATGACTTGATGTGCGAAGAAAAATTGCGGAGCGTCCTCTAGCACTGTAAAAAGGTCACAAGCTGGCGACAGCCACATCTGCGAAAGAGAGCAAGCGCCCGCATCGGCTTGTAGGTACGTATCGCTCGACCGTTTGTGGACCCCACCGCGACGTATATGTAGCGACAGACGACAAAGATCTCGTATAGAGGGTTGCCGAGGAGAAGCAGAAGAAAGTGCTAGACGTTTATCAGCGGTTGAACGCCACCCGACAAAGCTGCTGCACTGGACAAGTTATGCTAATTTATTCGACTTTCCCGACTTGCTCGTGTGCTCTCGATTTCTTTCAGCTGTCATTATGTTTTAATAACATCTGTTGTGGCTACTGCTAGGAGAGGAGGGACATTGTCGTCATACACGAAACTTGGTTTTCAGTTTCTACAAAACTATACGACCCGCGGATAGCTTGATATTTTTTCTGATGAACTTGAAATACACTCGAGGCCATGAAGGCATCAACAACTATATAGCGTAAACGGCAGCCACAGTTTACTAAAGGTTTAATAAATTAACGTCAAACGATACTTCAACTAATTCTAATTACGGATAATGTTAGACTCGAGACAATTCAAAATATACTTCCCCTTTGCGAATCGCTAGCACCGTAAGACAAAAAATTACTTCCAAGGTCTTTCCCTCCTGCAGCCGCATTAAAAAAAAAAAGAGAAAAAAAAACAACTCAATTTTCCGCGGACCAGTCCCTGCACGAAGGAGAGCCGTGCGCGTTGGCGGTGGCACGCGCTGCACGAAAGGTGGCAGGGTCCACCTGCGTAGCGCCGGTAGCAGCAGCACCTGTCGTGCTATAGTGGCGTGTGTATTCCACCGCACCGGCGTCCGACGTCAGTTCAGTCGAGCTCGGAACATGCTAAGGCTCGTGTCGTTGTTCTGCCAAGCGGTTCGCTATTTGTTCCATTGCCTCTACCACAAGAGGCTCGCGAATAAACGTCACTGGCAGTTTTGACAGACGAAAATCGTTTATCACAAGGTTCGGTTGCGAGGGAGAAGGTAACCATTGCTTTCTACGTCGATTTTGCAAGCGCGCGTGACACTCCTGAGGATTCCAATGCGCAAAGTGAACGTTGGCGAATGAAGAGTCGTTGTGTACAGTGAGACCAATTGCTACTACTACCGCTGCTGCTGCTGTCGCACTTGGCGTTCGTAGGGGGTGAACATACGGCGCTCATTATGGAGAACGTTTTCCCTCCATTTTTGCTCGACGCTCGCCGTGGCAGTTCTCTCGCTCATCGTCATTCTTTACCGTGGCAATCCCATTGTTAAGCGAATTTTTGGCATTAAAAGTCACGTGCAAGATTTATTTGCTGGGGCTTTGCTGTTCTGTAGATTTTTAGCTTGACACGGTTTGGAAAAACGTAAAGGTTCGAACAGTTCATTGAATAAGTTCTCACGCGAAACGTTCTATTCGCTTCCAAATTGAGCACGGTCGATAAAACGTAACGAATAAGTTTGAATTTGGTGTCAGTGAACGTATGTCATGTCAATCCACTCGAAGCAAACGAACATCCATTTGAAATGCATTAACCGTACGAAAGCTTTCGTTGAACTTGCAGATAAGTCCTAAAAACACAATAAAAAAAGGAGAACCCTCGGAAGAAGAGGAATCGGCGTGTCATGAGAGATGGTGAGAACAAGGTACGGATGTATGGCCGCGGACATGGCTGATAACAACAACGACGATCTGAAGGTGAAAGAGGATCTTGACAATGCGGAAGCAGCGGCCACCGCAGCAGCGGTGGCAGCTTTGGCTTTGGACGCTGCCGAGGATAAATATGGCGTGGAAGCTGAACTGACCAATTTGACGTGGCTTCAGTCGTTAGATATCACGACTGCTTCGGGACTGCCCACGCCCCCGTGCTCGCCCACGCCCCCACCCCCACCGGCTTCACGGCCAACCCCCAGGCAGCAACCCAAGAAGATGTCGCCTCTGCTCAAAGCTCAGCTTGGTTCGTCTCTTCTTCCTTCTTTTACAATTTTTCCTTCTCTACGCCACAACAAATTTATAAAAGTATTACTTAAAAATTGAACCTATTACATATTGCAATCTTAATTGTTCAATGTGAACTTGATCAAGTTTATTTAAATTCATACTTCAAAAATGTATAGAGGTTTGGTTTGTCGCTATATCGTACTTCATCCCGCAGGAATATCATTGAGGGATAATCTTCTATTGATCCTTTTACAGACATGGCAGAAAATGCAGATAAATATCTGATGGATCCGAACATGAAGCCGCCTTATTCTTATGCGACGTTGATCTGTTTGGCAATGCGCGCAAATAACAACAGGGTCACGCTGTCCAATATATATGCGTGGATCAGAGAAACATTCATGTACTACAGAACGGCAGATCCAGCTTGGCAGGTGCGAATGAAAGTAAAGTCTATCATAATCATTAATGTACAATTCAGTTAAACATTACAGTACTATACTATTTCGATAAAAATAAAAGTTGAGTACTGCTCAACTAATCATCAATTGAATTTTTATTGTGATGAAAAATCATGAATTTTTGAAATCATTCATAGTATATTCAATGTTAACTTTGCTGAGAAAATCAATAACTCATTCGCATCTCCCGCCCGCAGAATTCAATCCGACACAACTTATCGTTGAACAAGTGTTTCGTAAAGTTGCCGCGTTCGAAGGATGAGCCTGGTAAAGGTGGTTTCTGGAAATTAGACTTGGAGCGACTAGAAGAAGGCCGACGTACGAGACGACGTAACAATTCATCGGCATCGAGACATTCGCGTCCATTGCCAATTCAACGCTTGTCCATGGCCAAAGACACAACTGATCATGTCACCAGGATTTTAGGAAATAATAATGGACCTAAATGCGTGGTGTTGTACGAGACGCCTCCCAGTAGCGTCTCGCCGCCTATACCAGACACTTTGCCTGAGGTGCTTGAATCTACACAGGTCAGTTTTGGCATAATTGTTGTTAATAAAATTTAATTTTTTTAACATTGATTTGGTTTTCAAATGTAGCAAACTATTTTTATTTCATAACTTTTTGATTGTGGAATTTAAGTGAAATAGACTAATAATAGTCAGACAATGTCAATTCATGGATTAGAATTGAACCTGACCGACTAAAATGTAAATTGTAATGCTGATTTATTCTTTCATTTGTCTATATAGATGAATATCAGCGAAGAAGACTTTACAGATCTGTTGATTGAAAGTGCAGCTTGGACCGATGGCGTGCCAGACATGCATCAACTCGAACTCTTCAATTCCGTTCTTGACATGCTCTAATCTCCTTTGACTTGGTCATTTTTTACTCCATTATTAAACTTGAGCCGCGGTTTATACGTTTTGGTAATAATTATTTCCAAATGTTAATATTTCACGCACTCCATACATATGCTATGGTCCAGTAAATGAAAATAGAAAAACTTGTATCATTGACTTTTTAGCATTTGCGATAGCTACAGACGAATAAAATTGCATTTAATTTTCAGTTTTTGTATATTTGTGCCAATATAATATTCAGTTTTAAATAAAATACTCTCATTTTTCGGACAATTATCAACTGGATAACTATATATCACGTATACATTTCTAATATACATAATTAAGATTTCACCATACGATCAGATATTGTTTTATTCATGTGCAAATAATTTTATCGAAGCAACGCAATGATGATTTTTCAAGGATTGTACATTAATTAATTAATTACTATTATTATTATTATTATTATTATTATTATTATTATTATTATTATTATTATTATTATTATTATTATTATTATTATTATTATTATTATTATTATTATTATTATTATTATTATTATTATTACTATAAGTATCGATGTATGATGATGTTGCAAGTCTTCTAAACTTTTTCAATATCTCCTTAAGTAAGTTTTCTGTCTAATTAGGCATGAATCGTATGAAAAGGAAAATACTGAATTTTTTCAATGTATGTACGTAAAACCATTTTGATTGATTATAATGATTTACACATGTAATTATTTGATAATGAAGAGTAGTTTGAAAATGTCTGAAACTCCAATCAATTCTTTTATGCTGTATGATTGAAACTTTGATCTTCAGTTTCACAGGGCAGTAAATATAGGTATTGAGGCTATATTATGTGTTGAATTTTTAATAATGAATTAATATAATGGTTTTAGTAATTGGTATCAATGAATTTTGATAATAACTGAAAGATAAGAATAATTTCTGTCAATAAAGTTCATTAAAGCGGTCAAACTTTACGAACAATGATATTCGGTAAATTTAATATTACATAAATTTTAAGTTAATTTCTGTTATTTTGAATGAAAAATGCGTCGTAGTTTTAATTTTGTAAATATGACAAAAAAGATATGATAATTGAACTTGTAATATATAGAACTTAGTAGTTTTTAATTAATGATATTCGCATAATAAAGTCAACAAAACATTGAAATATAAGTTTCGTCGCTAAAAAGACTTGTATGCCCTACAACCTCCGTCCAAAGATAACATTAGTAAGATATGCTCATACAATTCATTCATACAATCTAAATGAAAAGCATATTAAAAAAGTGAGTGTGAATAAGAACTTAATATAATTAAATAATTTAAGCACCTATGATAAATTTATTTATCGTATAAATGATACCGTAAACTAGAGAGTTTTCTGGATTTCATCATTTAGAAATTTGTGCAAAAATTAATTAAATTATTTATTATTGATATTTAATTTATCACAATGTATTGATTTTGTTTAACTGTAAAATTGCAAGCCATCAATAATATTGCATGAGATTACGCTGCGAATAACTGAAATAATCAGGAAAGATTTTTCCATTTTGAGCTGTAGTTTATGAGTTTTAGCAATTACTTGCATGAGTGCATAACTTCCAAAATTATTGTTACATCTGTAACTATAAAGGAAACCTACTCGTATATCTAGATAATAACACGTGAAAAGTATACGTTCCTTTTGATTTTAATTTGATCTATAATTTGTATGTAAAATGTAGCATGCAATACTTCAATTTTTAGTATCACATTTCATTTCGAGATATTATCGTAGGTAACTTTATAAAATTTCCATGTAATTAATTAGGATGTAACGTATAGAATACTTATTGATAAAAAAAAACAAATATGTATCACCAGAGTGCCATTTTAAAAACTAAAGGTGTATTGTATTTATTTGAAGATTTGCAATGAATTTGGATTATGTGCCTTATAGGGAATCAAATAAAAATATGTTTGTTATTATTATTCGAAGGGTAAAATTGTCAAAAATGCTTAATCAACAGTGTATTGAAGATCTGTTTCTTTGTGTTTCCAATTGAAACTGTAGAAAATTAGTAATAGTAGTAATTATAATAAAAAGAATCTATATTCAAGGAAATATTTCATGAATAATTTATTACAAACCATTAATCATTAGATTTTTAATTAAAAAACATTAATAGTCAATTCAAACAATTACTTTTTATTTCAATCAGGTAATCAGTAATATTATCATTTATTACATAACTGACGTGTATAACTTCCAAAGCCTTGACAATAAGTAAAAATTAATCTTCTTTAATTCTTAAATTAGGAAACAAAATATTTGTACGCTTAATACGAGTACTGCATCGCAGTCAAACGTTTAACAATTACAATATACTTCTACAACGACGCTTTAACGGAAAATTATAGTATAGTATTTGTAAACATAAAATTTCAAATCACAATAAGTGATAACTTTATTCTACATATATTTCCACCATTTTTGTTATATATTATTGTACTTTGAATCCCATTTAAAAAATATATATGAATATACAATAGCTGCATAAGTCAAAATATAAATTTTTTGTTGTATCAAACAATTGTGCAAATTTATTCAAGATTAGAAGCTTTGCAATCGAGAATTCATGTACAATATTGTACAATTATTAATTTACACGCAAATAGTTTTGTTTCGCACATTAAAACAACTATAAAAATATATATTCATGTTAGAACATCTAACGAAGGTACAATGGAATGTGATAATTATCGGAAGCCACCCAACAGTAATTTACGACTGTGGTTTAACTAAAAATTAAGTTTCAATTGGTATTTGTACCTTATGAACCGTATAGAATGGTCAGTATATAAATAGCTTACTCATAAAAGACTTACGAAAAATCATTCCTGATGGTAATATTTAAAGCAAAATTCAGTCGGAAGGTGATACTGCTATCACCTATTAACTATGGAAGTTTGCGCAAAATCTTTGTGCTTTGTGTTGCAAATCTGATATTCATTTATAAAAAGCATTATTCATGGCATTGGTTTTGCTTGTGGATAGAATCCAAAGTTCAATCGCAAGTTTTCAAGAAACAGGAACGTTAAAATTGTTTGAGGAGCAAGACGGACAAAAGCTGGAACGTATCCCTGAAAGTGAAATAGCACATTAATATTTGCTAGAAAATAAAGTATTAAAATGATCCCGTTATATGACTATATAATTAATATACCTTGAAAAAACCTACAGGTCCTAGTTTGGCTGTATATAAAATAATTTCCATCATATTCTGCAATAATGAAAATTAAATACTATTAGTACTCTATTGAAAAAATTGTATGGAATTATATCATTTTACAAATATATAAACTAACTTTGTATTCTCCAGGTTTAGCATTCATGGCACGAGTTTTCAATACATCTAAAGGTTGGGTCATAGTTGTGGCAATGGCTCCCTATTTAATAAAAAATCTACCATGAAATTTGTCTACTATGAAGGTATTATATTTTTTTACAAATTTTTTATATACATACGGCTAATAAGCTTGATAGAAAATGGGTTGCAGTATTGTCTTTGAAGTAATTAGTTTTCAAAAGAGATAACTTGATCTGATCATAAAAACTCAACTGACCCATAGTCATAAGAACAGCTCGGCCAGTTGCAGTAGAACATCCATTAAAAAGCGTTTTAAATCCTTCTTGATTTATTATTTTTACAATACCATTTCCAGCCCATGTATAACTAAATAAAATTTAAGTTTTCATTCATTGAAATTAATTTCTTATTAATTAATTTGAAAATTACTGTTTTTTGTAGCTGTTTAACTTACTTTCGCCTTTTCTCTAAAGGCATTTTGATATCATTTTGCATTCTAACATTAACCAAATCCGCAGGAGTACCAATAACACCACCAGCAGCACCAGATATACCAGCCAATACAAATTTCTGGTAAAAAGGAGCTGGATTATCAGGTGATTCGATAAATTGTTTTCCTACCTATAAATTCAAAATTTATTTTAAACCATGAAGTGCCGTTAAGAGTGAATACCAGATATAATTACCTCATAAACACCAAATCTAACTGTTGAATATGATAATTGCCGCAGTAGAGAAGCTGTGAGTCCACTGTATAATGCTGTGATTCCCTGTTTTTTCACTATATTTAATGTTAATTTAACAATTGATATTTTTCCTTCTTGTTGTGTTTGCAGGTGTACCTGAAAAACAATATTACTTAGTCTTATATAATTATAGTTAAAATTGCAGCAACGCAAACACTCAGGTTGACATTATATTTAGTTACACAATGTGTAATTACTTATGCATCTATAAATCATAAAAGTAATATCCATTACAAATATTTACAACTGCTATAAATTGTATTATTTATGTTTTAATGTAATAGGAAAATTTCTACTGCTTCTATTTTTTCAAATAATAAATGAAACATTTTTTTTATCAAAGTTAGAATTATCATGAAAATACAGGACAGAATACAAGAAATAATCACAAAAAACTACAGATCTTATTTTTTTTAATAATATGATATTTGAGCTTAACTTATATAATCTTACCTTCAATAAATCCAGTGGATGAGTGACACATGCTGCACCAGCAGATGCTAGTCCACCAAAATACCATCGTGAGAGCTTTTTAGTTTTATCTTGCACTGTCATTGTGAAACAAATTCATCCAATTTTGAACCTTTAATATCAATGTGAAGGGTAAAGATCATTTATAAGATATACTCAATAATAGTAATTGAAAGAGAAGCATACTTTTTTTACAAATACTTTACTAGTAAGAATTTTGTTGAGTCAGCATGTTCAACTGGCTAAAGGCACCTTTGGTGGTGTCGAAGGTCTCTGTGAATGGAAAAATAATCATTGTAATGTGTTGAATAAACAGCTGGTGTTGTATATAATTAAACTGACTCTCTGCATGCATTAACACATTGTCGCATTCAATAGAAAAAATTCAACGTTATTAAACTAATAAAATGTAAGCTTCATATCAACATTCTTCCGTTCATTTATATTGATCGTATGATATCCCTCAATAGAAAAGAAAATTTCATATCATATTTCACGAAAAAATGTTTATCACGCGCACGTTTTCGCCGCTGCTACTTCCATGTTTCATATAGATTCATGTCCTACGCAGAATCAAACCTACGATCAATGAATATTCTCCAATGGAAAAAGATAAATCGATCCTAAGAAACGTATGAGAAAAGCAAGTAACGTGTATGTACTTACGTGTTTTTCTTTTGCGCGATGTGAAAACACCACAGACAACCTTCGTGGCGAGCGCCTAGCCACTGACTGACTATACTAATATTTTCACTTTTCGGGCTGGCTCGCTGCTATACTGATTGATGCGCGCTGGACAAAGTTATGTTGGTATTGATGGCCCCGCGCGCACGCTCGTGTTATTTGGTGGTTTATTCAATGATTTTACAATATTAGAAAATTGATTGATATCTCGCGCATCGGAGATACGCCGATTTTGAGGTCGATCAAATGACCTACTTCATTTGATAGTAAGTATTTCTATTTTACCTCCTTACTCATGTAACATCAAATTGTTATTTTACGTCATAAAAGAAACATTTCAAAAATAATTGTCAAAGCGAGGAAGTGTTCCTTGTATCGTAGAAAATACACAACATTATTCTTAGTATAGGTATGGTTTTATCAGAAATAGTCGTTTTAATGACATATCTGTTAAACAAGCCTATCGCACTTGTTACTTGCACTTTAATTAGCTTTCAGACGATAATCAAACATCCAGCAAGTGTTTGTATCGCATTGATAGCACACGCCAACTGTATTTTATACACGCGCGTGCATCGTCTCCGTAATCTGAGCATCACGTGCTTTTCATTCTCGTCAATCAGCTAAGAAAGAGATAGAAAATCTTGGAGTTCTTGAATCACATCCAAGCAATGCGGGAGCGACATTTTTGTTGCATTGTCGGTTTAACGACCGCGTTTACTTGAACCTTACAAATTCAAGGTTCTGACCTCAAAATTTGCCAGATTATTCAATACTCTTTAGCTTTTCTCTTCTCACCAAGATAAAATATAATCTATATGTACGTTGCAACGACGTGTTACGTAATGGGTGATTTGGATATATGCAACGTTAACGTTCTATAGAGAATACATTTGGTATAAGATCTTTGGGAGACTTTGGGATATATATGAATGAAATGCATGTTTTTTATTGTATATGTAACAATATTTATTTTATTGTGTAAAAAGTTTAACAGCATACTTTGAATTTTTTTTCGGTAAATATACACAATTTCCATAGCAACGCATAAAAGACAGATAAGAGCTATACACAAAATAAATCATTATGTATCGATGAATGCGTCACACCTAATATAATATTCAAATATATTAGCGGAGATAAAAAATTTAGTGATGAAAATACAATGAATCTTTTTATAATTGTAGTGATTAAATATATATAAATTCGTAGAAAAGATATAAAGATACTTTATGAAATATATGCGGTTGTTTATTTTTTTCAAACTGCCAATAGACAGCAATGCCGATTCTAATTTGAAATGCTACGTAGACTGGGTTTGGTAGTTTTTTTTCTACTTTCCTGTAAATAAAATGTTCAAATATCCGCTTTACACAATCTCTTTTCTTTTATAAAATTGGTACTTTGTTTCACAAAATCGGGACTGAGATTGCAAAAAACACGCAGAAATTTACGCTTCACCAATAACTAACACTTCTTTTCCAATGTATGTATTTATAAGTCTCATTACTTTCTTCAAAAATATAGATCGTAACACAGTATTAAAGTAATGAAATAAACTGTTATTAATGCAAATCGTGCAGAAAGACGAACAATAATTTTATCGAGAGCAAGCTAACTGAATGTTCGTTATAAATTATTTTTAACGATCAATCAAATTGTTAGAAAATCAATTTTAGTAACTAGTATTTTTTGTTCATGAAGCGTCCATCTACTTTAAAGCAATATTTTTAACTAAGAACTTCTTTACTAATCCGTATTATAATTGTATTGTTTCTCTACTAAGTAATAACAAGAATTAAGTAATCATTAAGTGTTAAGGAAATCAATTAACAAAAATTAACAAATAAGCGGTAAATCTTACTAATGATTTCCAAATGGTATTACAGTAGTAAAGTAATATATTCAATAAATTACTCAATTAGTTGAAAGATTTAACTGGTTTCAATTTGAATCTTTCCATGATGATAACATTGTTTAAATTTCTTTTCATTCACAAATACTTCAAATCTTAATTTTCATTGATAAAAGTCAGAAAATTACAAGAAATCTTGAAGTATTCGGAATATAGGGTATAATTTTTTAGTAAAATTGAACTATTTTTTTTAAAACGCCATTATCTGAGATGGAACAGCACAATCACCAATACTCATTCTATACATTGCCATTTCAGTTATTCCATGATAATGCACAAAGGCAGCTGCTATTACCAATACATGGAAGATTTGGTGACTTTGGAACTAGAATTAACAAAACATATTCTGATTATATATCATAATATGAAATTGGAAAAGTTATGCTGTTATAGAGACTCTGGTAAAATAAATAAGAATATAGAATAAATTAGAAACATTAATTTTTCAGTCATAACTTTTGTATAACTTTTCACTTTATTTATGATTTAGTTATTAGCGTCTATTAGATTAATACTAATAATAATAATAATAAAATAAAATTGACGGTTTCAGAGAAGAAAAATTGATTGTTTCATTTAATATCTACACTGATATATAATGTAAAAAAATTTACCCAAATATCGAATTTTCCAGGGAAAAATCGTTCAGGAACACGTAGAGCATAAAACATCGCTCCTAATATGTATAGGCATCCCATCAATATTAACCAACCCAATGAAGCTTGGCTCACAGCTTTGAACCAACCTTCTGCTACAGCATAATGAACAGCTGGTACTACCTGAAATTTTTTATTTTATATTGAATAATTTGTAAATATCACACAGAAAATCAATATCAATTAAGAGGGAAGTCTGCTTTAGGAGGCTTTAAAAATCGATTTTTTTATAGCTTATAAATCTATTTCCAATACATCTAAGAATGTGTCTCTAAATTTATGAAGGCTAATTCGCAATATTTTCTAAGATACAGTACTAAACGCAGTAGGATGTCGAGAAGGTATACGAGCGTTCGGGCAGCTGCAGCTGCTCTATGGTTCGCGCGCTCTTCCCCTTGGTCTAATTAATCCGAAATAAATATCCCTATTTCAGATATACCTAAGAAAGTATAGAAGTAGTGTGTCAAGGTATAATATGGATTATAATGGTATATTTCACGTCTGCGTATATGTTTCTACACTCTGCTAAGTCAACAATAAGTCTTGCTCCGAGTCTTGTCGAATGTACATCGTTACGAAATCATAGCAAGCAATCGTAAACGTACAAAATCAAGCAGTGATCGTATTGCGAAGCTACTAAAACACAGATTCCATGGTAATCAATTCCTAAATAAACCAGATGATGAAGCGTGCCATACCATCAGTAGCACAAGAAAATTAGCCAGTGCGAATACCGATGACGTAATTGTACATTTAGCCCACTGTTACAGAATAATTAACTTTCTTACAGTGTTTCTTGCAATTGCTTATTTAATATTGTGCAAAACTTGTATGCGAATATAACATTTGCAGACAATGGTGATTAAGACTTGGGATTTTAAATTGTTTTGACATGTTTGTGTGGACAGCAAGGGATCAATTCAGGACTGTTAATACACACCGGTTTCGAAATAAATAGACGGTCTGTGTCTGTGATGAGGCTTCTTAGTGTTGGATGAGAAGATGTCAATGTGTTTTGTGTACTTATGGATATAAGTAACGGTTTGGCGAAATCAACATACGATAAAATAGTGCAGCATTTATACTCAACGTCTAAATCAATATTTCAAAATGCCTGTAAAAAAACTGTCAAATAAGAGTAAGAAAAAAATGTAAAATTAGGCGACCAGCAGATCTTTTAAAAGTTTCCGGTGACGGATCGTGGATAAACGTGGCTTCACTTCCTTGTTGGTAAAATAGTCGATCTCATCGTTAAAAGAAAAGTTAATTAGACAGTGACGAATTTGAGGAATAGTATGAAGATCATAAAGAATTATGCTCCTCAAACCACGATGGATAAACAGAAAAAATGGAGGTGAATTCAATCGTGGAGAGGTTTTCAAGATTTGTTAAAAAATTCAGAGTAATGTATAGGAATTATATCGGCGATGGTGATTCCAAGACTTGCTAGTATTCTCAAAGTGAATCTATATGGAGAAGATTTTTTTGAAACTAAAACTGAGTGTGTGGGACATGTGCAGAAGCGCAGGGGTATTCGACTCCGAAATAAAATGAAGAAAGAGAAATTCAGAGGTAGAAACCAGTTGATGGAGAACATCATTAAAAAATTAACGATCTACTATGGTTCGGAAATCAGAAGAAATACTAATTCTGTTTAAGATACGAAGAAAGCTGTTGTGAATGGCGCAAAGCTGAAGCCGCGAATTATCTTGCAACTTTCAAACATCCTGCTTGATTGATTGACGAAAATATAGAGAGATACATTCGTCCAACCTACAAAGAGCTCTCAAATAACAACCTTTTGACGCGATGCTTAGGTGGACACACGCAAACAGCAAACGAATCGTTTAACTCAACTGTCTGGCGCATGTGCCCGAAACATCTGCATTCTGGCCAAAAATCGTTGAAATTGCTGTTTACTTGACTACAGAAATTTTTAACGAAGGGTATTCTGCAATATTAAGTACCATGCAGCTGCTTGATTTAAAAATTGGTCAGCAATGCACGATGTTTGCCGATAACGTCGACATACAATGTGTCGACAGGGAAAATCTCGTTCATTTTTCTGCAGCAAGGAATCTCGCATGGCCCGCAGACTTAAGCAACTGTAACAAAATGAGTATTTTGAGGAAGAGTAAGGTCTTTTCTATTGTGCAGGAATAGCTGATTAGCGTGTTATTACTCTAAAAAATCAATAATTACTATTTTTTCTTATTATAATCTTTAAGAAAATTAGACAAACAATTAAAAAAATAAAGCTTGTTAGATTTAATTTCTTATTCTTTTTTGTGTGAATCTAAAAGGTTCTTTTTTTCAAACCTAAAAAAATTTTTGAATTTCATAATTTTTTCGGGATTTTCTTGGTTCACTTCGAAGAAAAATATATAAAAATTAAAATTTTATTTGATTTTTTGTTTCAGACGACAATTGCGAGTTGGATTTTGTTCGCCAATTGAAGACTGCAATTGCGAGGTGTTGCATAAAAATGCATGAAAGTGAACTGTATTTTAATATTTCAATCTAAAAAATATTTTTGTTAAGTTAAAATGTACAATAAAATAGTGTGAAAACTTCGCTACAGTTGCTTTATTTTTTGGACCTACAAAAATTCACAAAAAACTGCTTTATTTAGGTCTTTTAAAGCAAGCTCTCCCCTTAATTTAAAAGAAAATAAGAAAAAAACAGAACTTACCCCACTCAATCCAAAACCCATGAAAACTCCTGCTCTGAGGAACCTATATTTAGGTTCTCCAAATCTTTCCCACAAAGAAACTACAATGCTAGTTATGCCAAGCACAACTACAACTGATAAATAAATCACTTTTGGTTGGAAATCACAGTAAAATCCATAATACAACCATGGAACAAAACTTCCCATGATAAGCATAGCTATTCCACAGTAATCCAATTTTGAAAACAATTTTCCTACACATTCACTGTGACAATGAACAGTGTGGAATGCAAATGACATGCCCAAGCAAATTATAGCTCCAGCAAAAAAGGTACCAATGACAACTTTTTCTTCCCATCTTATATCTATATGCGATTGTGTTAAGAAATAAATTGCTATGCCAATGAAAGCCACACATCCTGCAAAATAATTTTATTTTGAATTTCCTAATTTACAGGTTTTTAAATGATTATTTGCTTTAAAAATTTTAATTTACCTAAAAGATGAGTCCAAATGTTTCCAGTTTCAGTATGAATGCGAAAAATACTTTTGAAACAAGCATTGAATGATGGCAATGGTGGTCGATGACCAGCATGAAGAAAATCATTATCTTGTAACCACCTTGGAAGGTGTCTAAAATGACATTGTTTCCAAGATGCTTCCAATACCTAAAGTTATAACAATTGTGCATTAGAAATTTTATCTAGCCATCATGAATGAAAACATTTATAATAACATGGAGGTTATTGTACCTTTCTAACAAACTCTTCAGCTTGTTCAGCAGCATTATGTGCCAATGCACCAAGATCAATTTCATCACTTAATACTCCAGCTTTCAATACTTCTGTCATCTACAAATACGAAATATAGCACGTTATTAAAATTTGTCTAAACTAAATTTTAATTAAAAAATTATTTTCACATGCATACTTCACAATCCAGAAGACGGTCATCTTCTGGAGTAGATGGTAGTGGGCAACCAATTCCATCTTCTTCTTCAGCCAGACAACTTGTATCGTCATCATCTAATAACTCCTTTACTTCGTGCAAACCTGGAATATCACTGTTCAATGACACTCTATCACTCCATGGTATTCGGCGACGAAGATTGCTTTCTTCTGTTGATTTGTTCTCATAGACTTTCTCATTCAATACATTTCCATTCATATTTTTTTCATCCAATTGACATGCTATGAATTTGTTTTCTTGTGACAAATATTCTTTATAATTTATTTCTTCAATTATTTCGTTTTCATTCTCCATGGTTATGTGAGAATATATTTGTAGTTTGTTTTAAAAACACTTGTTTATCACCTAAGAAAGATTTGAAAATTCGTTTATTTATTCCAATTTTAATAAATCCATAATGAAATATCTATCACATATGGAGTGTATTCTTAAGCAAATTTAAAGGTAAAAGTGTGTTCTGTAACTACTCAAATGGAAAAAAGTGGATAACAAGGATTGTAATTAGTGTTTAAGGAAAAACAAAAGCCACAAATAGAACTAAAATATCAAGTATAGGGAGAAACTCTGTGTAGCTAAAAAAATAAAGTAATAAAAGGTTATCTTTAACTCTTATCACTAACCACGAGTTCAAAGTACAGTGTTTGAAAATCTCCAAGACTTATCAGAGCTCTACTCGAAGCAAAATGACCAATGTTATCTAATTGGTGAATTGCTTATATTAGGAGCTATAGGTCAAAAATATATATCTATATGACTAACTCTTGTGACGCGATAGCAGGCTTAAGCAAGTTTAGCGAATTAACAGCAGATTAAACACGACCCACTAGTCTATCCGCTTAATTAAATTTTCATCTGCCTTATACACACTTCCTGGTTAGCTTTCTATGCTCGATCACTTGCGCGCCGAGTTACACTACAATACGCATTAACATTCATTTTCTTGTTATTCATAGTCAAGAACCTAAATCTATTGTATAAAGAAATTAACGTACGAAAGACACACGCGTAGTCAGCCATCAGACAGCTGACGTGATAAAAATGTTAATATACAAGAAAGATATACTTGTAAAAGAGAAACTAGTGAATCGTTACATTTTAATATGGATTAATAAATTTGCTTCAAGAGACATTTTAGCGTAATTCTCACGCTAAACATACTTATTGCAAAGCCAAATATTTTCAAGCAATAATTTACTAACACGATCATCTTTTATCACACCTACCTTAAGAACATCCAGTCTGGAACTACACTATGCTTGGGTTACTGTCACACAAGTAGTCAGCAATTTATTTGAATTACACAGCAAATTTTGCTTGCCTACACACTGGTTTGGGGTTTGATTTTAAAATACACGCAACAAAAAAGCTATCCGATTTATTTTTACTACACAGACAAACTACTACCTCAGTACGACCTGTGACGACTTTCTCGCGCGTTAGTACATGCTGCACTATGAGAATTGTACTGTACTATACTGATAGAGACGTATAGTATGCGTACAGTACAGTTCATATTAACTGACGTATTCTCTCTCTCTTTCTCTCTCTCTCTCTCTCTCTCTCTCTCTCTCTCTCTCTATATATATATATATATATATATATATATATATATATATGTATCAAAGCATCGTAGCGCCCTCTGTAGAAATTTTTTATCGTAAGAAGATGAAAGTCAATATCATGCAACATGTATGAATAAAATTCTAATTTTGTATGCTAAGCATGATTTCAATTTCTTTACTTATATAGAACTATGTGTAGATAAAGAATAGAAATATACGAATTCTAAAAATATTTCACTTACCATGAGTTACATTCGACGTACGTTAAACTCCTTTACTATACATAAACTTATTAAAAATATAAAATTAAATCCAAATTTAATGATTTTTTTAAATAAAATTAGTTTGCAATATGTTTAAAAAGTGATTATTAATTTTAGAAATTCCAACCGAAGAATGCCCTTTAACAAAAGAAAAAGAAAAATGCTCCATAAGTGATTGCTGTGGATTCAGATCCATTACGTGCTCGTTTGTAGGACTTACAATTGTTATTACAATTGCACTATCTCTTCAGTTAGCTTATGATAGTAATGCATTTCAGGTACGAATTTGTAATACAGTCAAGAAAATTAAAAGTATTTATTAATCAATATTTGTTATAGAGAAGATTAAACGTCCATGGAGCAGTTGCTACAGACTATACAAATTGTTCTCAAATTGGCACAAAAATACTTTGGAAAGGTGGAAATGCTGTTGACGCTGCCATTGCTGCAACTCTTTGTATGGCTGTTGTAGCACCATATAAAACCAGTCTAGGAAGGTTTGTATTTTAAATGGTATTTTTCTGTAAATTCTTTAACTAAATCTTATTATTATTTTTAAAAGTATGAAATGTACTTTTTATTATTTTAGTGGAGGCTACATTATGATTTACAGTCATAGAGATAGAGAAGTTCCTAAGTTGATAGATTTTTTGAGTAATACTGTACCTGGTGTGTACTCTAAAATATTTTGACAATATTATAAATAAGGTATATAATTTAATTACTTATTTACAAAATTGTATTTTTTAGATGAATTCTTGTTACATAAAATGAGAATCCCCTCTATGCTTCGTGGATTACAATATGCACATACTTTGTACGGAAAATTACTATGGCAAGAGGTTGTTGAACCTGCTATCCAGTTAGCACAAGATGGATTTGAAATTTCAAGAGACTTTGCTCATGAAGCTGTCATAAATGTAAATTTAAATATATTTGGACGTGTCAATGCTGGGGAAAAACTAACATTGCCTACTCTTGCAAAAACTTTGGAAACTGTATCAAAGTTTGGAGTAAATGGTAATTTTTAATAAAATATAAAGTAATTCAATATTTTTTAATCAAATAAATAATTATATATATTTTAGATTTTTACAATGGATCATTAGTCAATCAAATATTTTCAAGTAAGAATGTGAGTGAAAAATTGTTGGATGAACTAGCAAATTATAAGCCAGATGTCATTTTAGCACAATCATCAAATCTTCTTCAATATTCTATTTTCTATCCATCAAATTGGAATTTAATAAAACCAATTGTAGATAAACTAAACGAGTTAAACATTTCAACAGAAAATGCATCATCATTTGAATCTGAGATTATTGCTGCTGAAACAATGATAAAACAAATGCATCAACTTAAAAACCCATTCATCAATACTAGTAAATGACACTTTCAAATTATAACAAATTATAAGTAATGACAATTCTTCAATAATTTCATTAGCAAGCTATTATTTTATTTACAGCTGAAACTAGAAAGTACACAAGTGTTTCTGTAGTCGATTGGCAAGATACTTATGTCGCAGTAACAACGTTAGTATTGAAAAGATAATAAATTATTTAACTTGTGAAATCTAACAATTTTGTGCTTTCAGAGGACTGAATGAAATAATAAACTTAGCTTATAAAACTGATGCAGGATTTTTTTTTGACACTTTTGATGACAAAAACTCATTGTTATCATTATCACCAATAATATTCTATGACAGTAATACTATATGTGGATTACGAGGCATTTTTGGCGTTGACGATGCTTTGGTTGCAGGCCAAATCCTTTTCAATTTAATTTTGCGTTCAATGAGTGTTTCTGTAGCAGTAGAATATCCTAGGTATAATTTTTAATCGAAATTTTCTTATTTTTAGAATAAAATGCTCTCACAAATTATGTATCAATTGAATATAATGCAAAAATTACTTTCCTCCAGGTATTATTTGCTGCTTGATGGAATTGCAATAGAGAATGATGATAGACATTCAAGTAGTAGACTTCTCAGAGATAGTTTAATTGCTATTGATTCAGTATCTAAAGTAGATGCTAGAATGCTGATGAAAAGTGTAAATATTATAATTAAACGCAAAAATTTTATTACCGCTCATTCCGACAGTAGAGGAGATGGTTTAGCTTCAAGATTTTGAAAGTTTCAATTAACAACATATTTCATATGATATTTTACACTAAAGAATGATAGGAATTATCCTATATATCCTATAATAATTTGATAAGTTAATTAATGGTGTTCAGAATGTATTATCAATAATGTACAAAACTAATTAATTCCGTCCAAGCTGTTTATATAAATATTTGCAATACGCATGAAAAATTTTTTTACTAACCATTTTTACATTGTTACTTATAAATAAATGTTATAATAAATATTTTATAAAAAGACTTTTGCCTATACTCTTTATTTTTGTAACATCTTCATCTCTATACATAAGGTATGTATAGTATATCACAAACAATTTTAGTTGGTTGAAAATGTATAGTTGTGTTGCTTAAAAATTTGTTTTACAGAAAAAATTATTATATTTTATTATAAGAACCAGCCTTGTTATGTACATTTTTCATATTTAATTGTTTTATTTTTGCATACATCGCACTGGCACCCAATACAATAATGTTGCTTAACCACCATAAAAATGGTTTTGTTTCATTGTACCAATAAGTGGCAAGAATAGTTTGTACACAAGCTTTAGCAGTACCACTGATATTATGAGTTAGTGGAGATGTTACTTTAATTTGTAATGTTGTCACATATCCAATTGCAAATCCACATATACCTCCAATCAACATTGCACACCAAAAGTCATAATCCTGTAATTTGTTGTAACTATTCAAAACGTGAAATTCTCCACTAAAGAACATCAATGGCAGAAATAGTACAATACTGTAAACATTATTGTAGTAAGACAGTAGCCAAATTTCTTGATTAACTACTGGAAGTACTTTTTTGGTATAAATTGAGTATAAAGAAAGTGTAAGAGATCCAAGAACTCCATACAATGTTCCAAGTACAGAAAAAGAACCTGCTATATTTTCCTGGTCTACACCCAACCAAAAACCAAAAATTATAACTAAACAACATATAATTATTCTGAGAGAAGATTTTTCTCCTGTAAATAAAATAATAATACAATGATCTATCAGATTAATGACATTTATTTAAAAAATAGATTTTTGTTTTACTTAAAATTGTGTAAGAGAATATCACATTAAAAACAGTTGTTAATGACCTTCCAATAAAATAAAAGGCAACTCCAACATATTTCAAACAGAGATTGTTACTTGCTATCATACCAATAAACAAAACTGACAATGGTAGAACCTAAAACAAAATGTCAATCTCAGAATCTGGATATAAATTATTTTTATGAATATATTAATTAATTTATCATACTTTTCCAATAACATTAAATGAAAATGGGGTTCCTTCTGGAAATGAAACATATTGAGGAAAAATATTTGAGAAAACTTTCAGACTTAGGCAAATTATCACACTTGTTACACATTGAAACCAGGTAATAAAAAGTGGAGCATTAAGATGTATCTTATCACTAGATAACAATACTTTATTGACAAAGACCATTGAAATAGAAATAATCCTAAACATGAAAGAAAAATTAATATAATATCTAAATTATTGTATTAGTATGAAACATACCAGTATAGCATTACAACAAATGCTATGTATAAATATTTATAGGACGTAGTTTTTCTTTGGTCCATTTTGATGAATTTAACATTAAACGATCTATTTTACTGTTTTTCTGAAGAACTTGTTAATGAATTCGAAATTATTTAGTCATCTGTCATTCTGCAAATTTGATTTAATGTCGTTGCATATTTTCTTCGATTTCAACTTAATTATCACCCGTGTATACATAAATTATCGCTTGCTTCCTGCCAAAAGATCATTATTTTTTAAAAACTCTATTACGTGTTGTAATAATAATAATAATAATAATAATTTTACTTTAATAAATTGTTTATGGTGAGCGGGCATGGGCATTCTGCTTGTATGTAGCTTACTTCACGCCATCTTCTACTGGCGTTAATCCACAAATCTTGAATAAATTATACATAAAATAATTTGATAAATGAATTAATTACCAATAATAATTTAGGAGATTTGATGCGGATGCATTGTCAATAAAATATTAATTAATTTTCAACATTGATACTTTTCCGTACAATGTGTCACTTACTTTAGCAAATCGGCACTTTGCAAAACAAAACACTGATTTCAGATAGTAGCGCAGAGTCAGCCAATGGTCGTCGAGATCCAACGGAATAACATGGTATAATAGCGGTGCAGTGAACTCACTTTGGTAGTCATCTGGCCGATGCCCGGGGGAGCCAGATCAAGATGGCGGAGACGCTAGCTGGTAAGCTGGTTGTCGTAAGTGCTTTTCGTATCTATGCAACTCGAAACCTTGCCATAATGTACGAAAGCCGAAATGCAAATTGCCCAGGTGATTACAAATAATTTTGTGCAACTAAAGTTGTGAGACCAAGTGTAATTTCGCACTTCGCAGCTGCTTTTGGTTGTACAGGTGAGTGTAGTGTAGAATGTACTGTGTAAGAGAGGCAAGCAGGCATGTGCCTGTATGTTCCTACTGGGTATAACGGTGCTATTAGTGAGAATTAAATTAAACATTTAGTTATTGCGGGAAATTATTTTATTTTTACGTTAATAGCGTTGTTTATTATATAATTTTGAGCCAATTATTTGTTTGTATTCACGTGCACCGCTGCAAACTACCACATGCAGATTAAATATCTGTACATTCTGCTCTCGGCGTATGTATTTACATTTACACATGCCTGTGTAGCGTGTATTTATTGTTACAACGTTACTGCATGGTTTACTGATTGTAAAATACAATGTAGTTATAGCAACTAGAAAGTTCAAAGGGCTGATAAAATTTGCATTGCTTTTTTGTGATCATATAACTTAATACTATACGATTTATCATATTTCATATATATCACCGTTTATTTATGAAGTTTTTATCAGCATGTTACAAAAAGACGGTCTATTCATAAATATAACCTATAATTGATATCGATTTTGCTTTGGAATGAATCGATGGATGTAGTTATTTAAATATTTTTAATTGAACTAAAATTTTTCCAGTGCTGACTTTTTCTTACTTGTTTCTTAAAACGTGCAGTGTAAAGCTTCTTCAAATAAGAACTTGCAAAATAACAAAATCAACCAATATTTGCTTTTTTTCACAATGTTCATGTGTTATAATTTAGCTAATATCATTTTACAGGTATAAGTCAAAATGACTACTCAATATACAAGAAGTGTTTTAAAAATGGTGGTAGCTCAAATTTGTCAGACTATTGGCTGGCATTCTATTAATTCCACACCACTGGAATTCATGGTTGATTTAATGCAGGAATACATTTTTCAACTTTCAAAACTTACCCAACAATATGCCCAAGTTTGTAAGCGAATTTAATTAAAAACACATTTTTAAAGACTTTCATTTTATAATATTTTCATGGAAAACTACAGCTCAAATGTTTTGTTAATTGTTACGTTACAATAAATTGTTTTAAATGCTGAAATGAGAAAGATAATTAGGGGGGTATTTAATACTTTGAAATATAATAAAATATACTACAAATTTTGTGAAACAAAAATGACTATCGTTATATTTTTTTTTTCAATTTCATCAATCATTGATGCATGAAATATATTAAAATTCATATTAGTAATGTTTTTTAATACTTTCAATTTTTTTAGACATTAAATTACTAACTTCATATATTATTATCAATCAACATATCAATTAACTATAAATACACTTAAGTTGAAGATATTACAAAGTAAAAGTTTTCCTGTTTTTCAAACTTTGATAATTTCAATGTTTCTTCTCAATTTTAGTGGGAAGAAGCGAATCCAATTTAGATGATTTAGGTTTAGCTTTTCGACATATGAATATTGATTTACAAGAATTAGCAGAATATGTTAAAAATGTTGATTCTGTACCATGTGTCGTTGCTGTTCCAAAATTACCAATTCACAGAGATAGCCATTTGAATTTTTTGAAGCCAGGCAGTCGAGAAGTAGTGACTCGACCTGTTTATGTACATGAACATCTACCTCCTATGTACCCTGGTTCAGAAGGTAACAATGTTATTTTGTTCTTTTGTTTCTATTTTTGGGAAAAAGTGAAACTAAAATCATTTCAAATAATTTTTATTTATAAATGATTAATTTTTACAGAAGAATATCCAGCAGAAGTTATCAAAACAGAAAACGAAAGTGCAGTTCCAACAAATGAAACAATAAATAATTCAGAAGAAGACTCTATCGAAAATATCACGCCGATCGCAAATGGTCTCGCGAATGAAGATAATTCAAGCAAAGTTTCTCCACAAGCAGTATTCAAAAGGCCTGGAGATCCAATTTCGTTTGATGGACCAGTTGTTAAACGTATAAAAACAACGGATGAAGGACGTCCTCTTCGTGAAATACACAGCGTTATTATGACTACCTCTGGTTTCTTATCTACTGCGCGAGAAGGAAAGCTTCCAGAGGCAAGAACACCTCAACAGGCTCGGACAGAGTCTCCTCCACCTCCACCCTTACCCACACCTTATCCTCCTAATCCTCCTGAAGCAAACAAGGTTGAAAAAAAAATCAAAAAGAAAGTTTCTGTAGGTTCAGAAGATGGTAAACCAGAAAATAAAGAAAACAAAAAGAAGAAAATTCCCAAAGATATATTATTTAAACCAGATGAAATTAAAGAAACTAAAGTTAAAAAGTTAGCTGGTATGAAAGAGTTAGCTAAACTTAAAGTTTTAAAAGGTACTAAAGTTGGAAGTCCTAATCTGGCCGGACCTTCTGCAGGTAAGTTTTAAAAAAATATATTTAGTACTTTAAATGATATATATTTAACATTTTCAACAAATAATTGTTAATTATTTCGTTATAGGTAAAGTAGTTGGCGACAGCCCGAAGTATGTGAAAAATGCTATTCCGAAGATGAAAATGGATAAAAGTGTCGACGTCGTGCACCATTCTGGAGTTCAAATGGTGAACAACGTTAAAGAGGAATCTGTTGACAAACTTCCGATCGAACCAGACAAACAGAAGCTGACCATTTTCAAAAAAATTTCCAAATCTAAAGATGATAAGGATAGAGAACAATTAGATTTACAACAAAAATATAAAGAATTGAACTCACGCGAAAATTCACCGTGCGTCTCAGTAGACGACGACCGACATCGCAATGACGTAACTGTCAAACAGGAGGACAAGAAGCCAAACTTCCAAAATACAGTACTGAACAATAATATTTTGCGAGCACCTGGAACGGAGGATGGTATGTCACACTTGATGAGTCCTGGTTCGGACGTGTACATTTTTGATGATATATCATCGCCAGGAACACCGAGTACTCCGAAAACTCCTGAGCTCAGCCTTCCCAATGTACCTTTCGAGAAAAAGAAGAAGAAGGATAAAAGTGGCAAAAAAAAGGAACCAAAGATTAAACCTCCGAAAAGTTCCATTAGTCCAAAGAAGGTAATCAATTAATGATTTGAATATATTTTTACTGAATTATCATGGTTGTTTTCATGAATTGCACTTTCAGGCCCGATGGTCAAACGACTTGAACGATGCAGCCGTGCTGGATAGGCCAAAGACTCCCCAGGGTCCAGAGCAGCCACTTGCCCGTGATATCAATGCAACGCCAACATTACCGATACCATATCCATTTCCTCCAACTCCAGGCCTTATACCTCCACCAATGTTTCCAATGCATCCCATACCAAAAGATATGATGAGACCACCAAATCTTGTACCGGGAATGTTGCCAAATATGTTGCAGCAACGTTTTATGCCGCCTTACAACTACGGACCAGGACTTATTCCACGGCCTAGATTTCCCATACCTTCTATGCCTAGAGGTATGTCAAATGCTTTTAACAATCCTGTGATGCCAGGTATGCCACCACCAGCTCCACCGCGGCCACGTTTTCTTAAACCAGAGCCACCTAAAATTGAAGAATTAAAACCTCCAGTAATTATTCAACCACTGCCGCAGCCAGTTCCTTCGTCATTTGTCGAGCCTCTTCAAGTCATTAAATCTGAAAAGATTGAAAAATCCGACAAGGTAAAGATTACATTTTATTTTATTAAGTAGACAACGCACAACTTAATTTGATTTCATTAGAAATCCAAAGAGCATAAAAAAGAAAAAAAGGATAAGATGAAGAAAAAAAAAGAGAAGAAAGAGAAACACAAAGATAAGGGAGAAAAGATTAAGGAAAAAAAGGATAAGCTAGAGAAGAAAGACAAATTAGAGAGAATAAAGGAAAAGAAAGAGAAGAAAGAGAAAAAGGAAAAGAGAAAAGAAAAAGAGGTGAGGATTTGTTTTTTTAGCTTTTTATGTAACATGAATTTATTTGTTTAATATTATTGTTTTTAATTATTTTTATCTTTAGAAGGAAGAAGGAGTTCCCAAACTTACTTTAAAATTAGGACCAGCAGGAGGCTCTCCTCGACCCCCCACACCTGATAGTGCCTTAATGAAGAAAATGTAAATATAACGGTAACAAAAATGTATCTTAAATGTTAGATCATTCATAAAGTTATTGTTTCTTACAGAACGATAAAGCCACCAAAGAGGCCAGAGGACGAGACGAAAAGAGAACTGACTCCGGAGCTTGCAAAGATATCAGCTCTGGTGACGCGGCCACCTAAACAGAAGTCAAGTAAGAAAGCGGAGGAAGGGCACTTAGAGGCCTATGCCACTCTTCCTTCAGAAGCTTCTTTCTCTAACTCACTTGATCCTAATCCTAAGATCAAGAAACCTATATTCAAAACCTTACCTCTTCGAGAACCATTGCCTGTTCCTTCCGCTTCTTCCTATATCGATCCACATACCTCACAACAATTGCAACCTAGGGGAGACATGCCGTATTGTTACACCGTAAGTATTTCAAGAGGAGATTTATACCAATGTGAATGGACGATGGAACTATTTTTTTCAAATAATATATTAAATAAGGTTTTTAAAAATACTTTGAAGGAGGCTGATTATTATTAATCAAGTAGAAGTAATTTTCAATATTTAAATACTATTAATCATTTGCGAATTAACAATGAAAATTTACCCAACGAAATTTTATATTTCACTATAAGAATGCAGTAATATTTTATTGTTATAATGAAAAATGCAATGTTCCATCTAATTCATATAATCAAGACAGCTCAACCCATCGAAAAATGTCAAGTTGAGCAACTCTGAAAGGCAGAAAGTGGACGATTATCCTTTCCATAATCCAATATTCATCCCCATACTCACCGTTTTCTACTGTCATTGTATTTTCTGAACTTTTTCTCGTCTGTTTGTCTCTTTGTATTTTCTACTTCTTTTTTCGAACCTTTTTTAAAGGTGATGGTTTAGTTTTCTTTTCTTTTCTTGGTTGACGCTTCCATCATATTTTTTAAGGCTTGCCGGTTCACTATGTTCTTGATCGTTGTTTGTAAGCAATTCTGTTGCTGGTTGCTTCATTTTTTCTTTCTCATCATTCTGCATTAAAAAAAATTTCTACAATGATTTAAGTTGCATTCTCATTATTATTTATTGTCATATTATTCAATTGTATTGATTTTATGCATTAAGTGGAAGAAATGACTATTAGAAAATACGATATAATATAATATATATTATGTGACCACCAAGTCTTCGATATACTTCAAATTGGCCGATAAACCGGCTACGGCTAAATTTTTGTTTCATATTCTTTTCACTTTTAGTTTTATGCATTCTTTATGTTCTTGTAGAGCAATGAATATAGTTATCTTCTTTAACAAATGTTTTTTAAAGTTGATTATTTTGTGCACGGTAGTTTAAAGCTTCATTTCTGTTATAATTGCTTAATTCGGATCTATATTCAATATGGAACATTGATAATTGTTTCTTAGTAATATTAATGTAGTTTGTCTAAAATATTCACAATTAATCAATGTAATTTAAAATATTAAATATTGGGATCGTAAGTACTATTAAATTACAAAAAAAAACATGACTAGAAAATAATTCAATTCGTTTATCAATATTTTTTCTAAACATTAAATATGTTGAGTAATTTGCATGTATATTTGCACGTTTTTCTTTTATTTGAATTTATTGAGTACGTTAGTATAAACAAAAATCATTAGTGTTAACCATCAATTTTGATGGCACAGAACCAAAAGCAGAAGCAGTTCCTAAAAAAGAAGACAGTAAGGAAGATAAAGAAAACGGTCGGAATGCATTAACTGCAGTACCAACTACTGTGACTACGGTGAGTAACCGGAGCTTCACAGTAATGATGAACATTTTTGTTTTGGTGTTAATCCTTTCAATATTAAAACAGATAAAATTTAACATATCATTGGTGAGAGGTTGTAAAAGAACTAAAAATACCTTCATATTTTTTCGTTCCACAAAAATTGATTTTATGTCATGGGTTAAATGTGCGAGAGACTCATGTAGGAATCCCTTAAAAGAATTTATTCTTCATTTATAACAATTTTGCTTATCTTGTTGACTGATGGAAGATTGAGGTACATCGTTTTCCGATCCTGACCAAGATGCATCTCTTTAAAAATGCAAGCCTATACAATCTGTTTGACTCATCTTCTATTATTGCATAATATCTATTAATGTGCATATATATATATATATATATATATATATATATATATATACGCATACATACATACACACACATTCATTCATAAAATCATACTCATTATCGAATAAGAATGATAAAACTGAATAAAAACAGATTGCCTTTGGGTAAAAAAGAAAGACCTCACCTTTGCAAAAGATGGGTTGTGCTGAACTTATTTTCACCTTTCATGGTATATTACAACTTTATGAGTGTTACAGGATGCTACTGGCAAACAAGTATGGATATGCCCAGCTTGCGGAAAACAAGACGATGGTTCACCTATGATAGGTTGCGACGATTGTGATGCATGGTACCATTGGTGAGTTTTTAATTTCAAATAATGTTGAAAAAAATACAATCAAATAATCATTACTTGTTTTGTCTGACTGGTAATTAAAATTTTCAGGGTTTGTGTCGGAATACAAGTGGAGCCGGCAGAGAACACCGATTGGTACTGTCGATTCTGTATAGCTAAAAAGCAAGAACAATATCACGACAAAAAGAAGAAGAAACGTAAGAAAAAAAATAGAGAGGACCCTTAGTACAAATTGGCCGGGCCAAAAGCGAAGCCCGGTTTGTCAGCTCAAGCTTTTGCGAATAAAGTCAAGTCGGAAGGTTTGAATAAAGTTAGAAAGATAATCAAGAGTGCAAAAAAGAAAAAATTGTCGACGAGCAAATTGGCTAAAAAGCTTGGCAAAGGCAAATCCAAAGACAAGGAAACCGTGCTTAAAACTTCGGACTTCTTCAAAAATAAAGACGAGACGATGGATCTTCAAATATGATTCTATCGTGTTTTTTGTGATGATTTATAAATGCGTCGTATACATTAATAGCTCAATTATGTAATTACGAGAGAATGTTAAAGATTAAATAGTTGTACATAAATGTTAATTATATATACAAAAGTTGGAAGAACACGCTATTACGAAATCATTATGTAATTATACATAATGAAAGAATTATTGTATAGACAAATATTGTAGAATTGAGACATGTATTTCGTAATTTAAAATCTCTTTCATTATTTAGGTTTTATATGAGTATATGAAAAAGAAATTCTGTATTTTATGTGTATATATGGATTTTGTATGTGAATATAAAACGGTAAAATTCAGTTTTTGCAACAATCCATTAATAATTATTGCAAATATTTATGACTTTTCTATTATCAGTAAACAACACTTATTTCAAGTGAAAATTTTATCTCACGACGAGAAAATTGATAACTTCATTATGGACGCTAACAATGTTGTACGTTAAAAGTCAATATTTATGATAAAAATAATACTTTATTGTGATTCATTGTAATTACTATTAATGCTTTTTGGTATTTTCCATTCATAGAATAAGAATATTTATTTTTATATCATTATTTGAAAAACGTATTCAATCTTGTTTTTCCAATTATATTTTGTACAACAATTCTGTAAACTTACGTTTTGTCAAAATTAGTTGTGTTCTAATTTGCGTAATAGAAGTCTAGTTTATTTAGTCTTCATTGGTAGTTTTACAAGAATTCACATCATCACTATCCACTCTTTTTATAAAAATTTTATATCATATTTTCTAATGGATAATAAAAGAACGATAAAAATAATATCCAAATAAAAATGAATTTTTAGATACACAGGTACAGATTTCACAATAAATTTATATTTAAACATTCTTTTGAAAAAAGTTATTTATATTTACAGCATATTCTATACAATACAATTATGTATAATTGATCAAATATTGCATTTGATACATTTTTACAAAATAATATTTATTTCATATTTCATTGAGTTCATGCTCACAATTTTGAAAATCAATTTCAACATATATCTATTTTATTTTTTGTTGTGGGTGTAGAGTTTAAACCTGCTGTATCACCTGATTCAAGTTGTTTAAGTAAACGAAATAATGCAGCTGCTTCTCTAATACGACTAAATTCTATACAAAATGCTTGAACCTCAATAAATAGTTCTTGGACATTAATTATTTTATTCCTAATCAAAGACTGAAGAAAAACGCATACGAGTCGTACTAGACGGTTTTGCATATAACGATCCTTAATTGTTTCACAAGTTGATATACAGTTACTTATGTAAAGGTGAACAAATTCTGTAGGCAAGTCCACTGTTGTTGTTAGTCTGTTAACAACTTCCATTGAATGCAAAGACATTTCCATATTAACAAGGACACTAAAGTATTCAGTTATTTGACTGGATTGCATTAATTTCAATAAAACCTCTATTGCAATCAATGGATTATTTTCAACAAGATCAGGTAATTTTCCAGGTGTCAGTCCTATGTGATAAACAAGTTTTGGATCTTTATGTAGTTCAGTTACAAGATGCTGCTGTTGCTGTAATGTTAAGACACTTTTGAAGGCTCTACCCATAAGTCTTCTTGCTTCTGCTCCAGCACAATTAGACACACACATACTGGTATCATATTCTAGTTTGAATTGACTTGGTTCTGTCATATTCATCCAAGGTACTTCATTGAGTGTAGATCGATGAACCGGTGGAGCTGGCCTTAAAAATTCTGGCTGATAACTTTGGGCATATGCTGGTGGATCCCCTATTACAAGGGATTCTAAAATACCTTTACTAAGATTTTTCATAGTATCTACATCATTTGTTGTTCCCACTTTTGGTCGGTCTACTATGTCTGATATAATGACTGGGTTACCGCATTTTTCAATTGCAGGAAGTTCAGATTGCCGTTCCACTAATTGCAATTGTAAATCTGTTGAATCACACGGTGGTGGAGTAGTGAGAGGGTATAAATCTTCAATAATTTGTCTAGGAGTTTTCTTGATCATATCTTTATAACTGTAGCCCATTAAACTGGCTATTAAATATTTTTCACAACGAGACAGAACTGGAATATGTCCTGAAAAATGAGATTTTTCAATTTTCTCTCCAGGTGTTTTCAATATTTGCACAAAAACCTGTAATGAAATCATTAAAAAGCTTAGTTTTTCTTAAACTATGGTCTTGAAATGGTAAATGATTTAATAAATATAATTACTGGAGCAAATGGTGAGGAGGCTAAAGGCTCTCCTTTGTAAAGATCAAAAAGCATTGCTACAGCTATTATCCTCTGCAATTCTTTTGGCAATAGATCTACATGTTGTAGCAAAAGTAAAAGAGTCATTCCAACCTTGAAACGATCTTCTCTAGGAAAATTCATATGAAGTTGATAGGATAAGTTTTCCAAAGATGTGCTTGCATTTTCCTCGTCTAGTAGCTCCAATAATTTAGTTAAATCTTTTGCAGTTAAAGACATTATAGATAAATGCACATTAAAAACGTCGCAATACTTTTATTAATAAATAATTTAGTCTTCCATCGAATACTGAAAAATAATTTTCAATAAAAAATGATTTTCTAGATTTTATAATTAAATAGGAATATTTAATAACCTTATTAACTACTTCATAACTTGAAAGAGAAAATGAACCGTTTGCCCAAAATTTGTTACAGTGTTATCACTGTAACAAATTTTGCTTGTTTATAAATTTATAAATAATTTCACTTGATTAAATTACAATTACATCTAATACAATTAAACTATGTTAGTCAATAACGTTAAACTAAAATTCCGGTTTATACATCAACAGCTGATGTAAAAAGAGGTTATAAAAACATAACGCATGCGCACTAGCTACCTGCGATTTTGCATGAATTTGAAAAAGATAAACATGTGTCAATATAATAATTTTAATGAAAAAACGACGTATTTATTATGTAACCAACTATTCCATTAAATTAAGCCATTTATCAGTGAAAAAGACCTTTGACAAATCACTACCCTACCAACAAGAATTATTTCTAAAATGTTACCAAAACGTTTTTCTGAAAACATTGCAACTTTTCCGGCAACCGTAAAGAATATTGCAATTATATTTCCAAAGCGTAAAATTGTTCCCCTTTGTTTATTAAGCCAAATGTTGCTGAAATCAGTTTTCCGAATATTGTTACAGTGTTGTTATAATATATATTTGAAAATCTTTTAGCATCATTTAGGTAACGTTTCTCAGATATTACAGAGAATTTATTTCAGTCGACTAAACTGTTGCGGAAAAATTTTTACAACACTTTGTCAACGTTTTTGGGAACGTTCCTAGAACGTCATTAAAACGTTTTGATCTATATAAAGAACTTTAAATCGCGGCCAGAAAAAATTTGTTTAATAATGTTTTAATAATTTGTTTATCAATGTTTTAATAATGTTCTAGGAACGTTTCCAAAAATGTTGCCTGATCCGAAAATGGTGCCAGTATGCTAATTTGTTAATTCTTTGTTGATCGTGTTAAAAAAAAATTTTTTGTAACTACTTGGAAAATATAGTTTGCGTCAGTAATAAAAACAAAATAACATAATTAATACTCCAAAATAAACAGCTGATTATAAAAAGGATTATTATATTGCGCATGCGTTTATACACACGTGCGTTGTAACACATACATAAAAGTAAAATTGTATCAGCTCGGTTTCATATGCCTGCGGGTACCATAAGCGGTATCGTGCTGTAATCCGTTAGAATTACACATTTTGTGAATGATTTTTCTAAAGCATAATTAAACTCGCAATGATTCGCGAAATACCACGGCTCACTCGCGCTTTGCGAGCTTTTACGGATCTCGACCGAGAAGTCAACAACAGAGAGTCTAATGACTTGAACGCCAAAAGACAAGAGCTGACTACGAAGTTTAAGAGGTAATTTTTTGTAAAGGTTACTTTGTTGCTACAAATTTTGTAATCGTCATCTTTCATAAAAAAAGCAATACATTTTAATAACATTTCATTGTAAAACGTGTTTTTTAGAAATGTATGTTTTGTATTATTGACTACTTATAAAATGTTATTAAGTTTTTTATAAACCCCATTGAAACATATCGTAATAAATGAATTTAATAAAAAAGATATTCTACATAAATTTATATATTGTCTTGTAGAGATTTAAATTGGAATGAAATATGCAAAGAAGTACCAAAAGATGTAATAGGAGAATTAAATAAAATTCATCGAATCCTGGCTCAACTGTGTGGTAAAAATTTGATTATATTTTGTCCAATATATTTTTTAATTGGTTTTATAACACTTACTTTTATCAATAGCTGGTCAGGGAGTTGAAGTAATTAATGAAATATCCGTTTATGTATTGAAACTTTTGATACAAGAAAAGGTTGTAAGTCATAAAACTACAAAAGAATTGAAGCAGTTGCTTGGTACTGTTGACCAAAATTGTATCAACAATTTAACGCAGGTAATGTTTTGTAATGCTATTATTTTTGTTTAATATGCGAATAATAGATTGATTGTGTCTTATTACATTCTTTGGTTAAATTTCTCTAAATCATACCTTGTAGATTGTTTCTGATATTCGACAAAAAGTGTCAGAAGAGAAACTAGAGTTACTTTTAAATCTATGCAATAATAAAGAAGATGACGATCTTAAATCAGAACCATTTGGCCAAAAAATTCCATATCAGTCAGCAACAGTTTCTTGGCCAAACACTGATATTCTTCATGATATGAATTCACAACATGCAAATAATATAGCGGATAAATTTGAACAGCTAATGAAAATATCTAGTCATGTTGAGACAACAGTATTAAAAACTGAGGTTGGTATTCATAAATATTTAAAAATACATTTAATTAAAAATATAATTAACTACAATTGAAGTCGGTTTCTAGTTTGATAAACAACAGTTCAATAGAAACATGAAAAGAGCATTTGATAAGTACCAAGCAGCTATGTCATATGATGAATTCATGAATATTGTCATTAACAAAATGAAAGATATAAATTCTGCACAAAGTGAATTATTTGATTTACTAGGATATGAACATATAGAATTCATTAAATATCTTATTGAACATCACAAACAAATATTAGCATGGCAAAGCAATCAAAAGTTGAACAAAAGTTTTGCATGTGAGTTAAAAACAAAATTTGAATATACATTGCATAGAATTAGGAATATTAAATTAAAAATGAAATATTACTTTTAAAAGCTATGGAAAAACAGCCACAAATATCATCACAGGTAATAGTACAATCAGAAAAAGAAAAGCAATTAATGAAACAAGTGCGCAAAGAAGAGAAAAAGCTTCAAAAAGTCATAAGTAAGATGGGCATTGATGATGAAGAAGATGAGGAAATATTCAATCCTATAGAATTACGTTTAAAAAGACAAGAAGCTTTGACTGCAAAAGCTCAACCTTTATTTAAAAAAAATAGAGTAGGCATATCTACAACTCTACAAGAAAAATATCCATTTGTCTTTGATTCAAAATTGAATGTCAAGGCTAGTACAGGTATACAAATTTTCTGATCAAATGTCATCAATATTTTGTATTTAATAATTGTATGTTTAAGTGAGTAAATTGCGACATGTTTTTTTGTAGGTTTTATTTCTGGGAAAAGAATTATTTTACCAGAAAACGTGAAAAGAACTGACTCTCAACTTTGTGAGCAAGTGGACATTCCTGTTCCAGATTTAGATCCTCTCACAGTTGGAAATAATCGTGTTCAAATATCATCATTAGACGAAGTTAGTAGTATCAATAACAATATTTTCAAATGTATTGTTTGTTTTTGTATATAAATAGTAATATTATTTTCAGATCGGTCAAATGGCTTTTAAAGGAGTAGAATCATTAAATAGAATACAAAGTATAGTTTTTGATGCCGCTTACCATACTAATGAAAATTTACTTATCTGTGCACCAACTGGTGCTGGAAAAACCAATGTAGCTTTATTAAGCATAGTTCATCAAATCAAACTACATATCGACAATGGTATTCTAAAAACTAATGACTTTAAAATTGTGTACATAGCACCGATGAAAGCTCTAGCAGCAGAAATGACTGCCAATTTTAACAAAAGGTAGTTCACAAAATCAATAATCGATAACTTTCTTTTATCTTTAGATCTTTTTATTCAATTGATAATCTTAATTTTTGTATAGACTAAGCAACTTAGGAATAGCTGTACGTGAATTGACTGGTGATATGCAGTTAACAAAAGCTGAAATTCAACAAACTCAAATGATTGTTACCACACCGGAAAAATGGGATGTTGTTACACGTAAAGGCACAGGCGATGTTGCATTAACGAGGATAGTTAGGCTTTTAATTATTGATGAAGTTCACTTACTTCACGGAGATCGAGGCCCTGTTGTTGAAGCTTTAGTTGCAAGAACTTTAAGACAGGTAATATATTAATAAGATTCGAGTAAAAGCAATTATAGGAAGTATATTGACAATTTTTTTTCATGAATATTTTAAGGTTGAATCATCACAAAGTATGATAAGAATAGTTGGTCTCTCTGCCACTTTGCCAAATTACGTCGATGTTGCAAGATTCTTAAGAGTAAACCCGTATAAAGGTCTTTTCTATTTTGATCATCGTTTCCGTCCAGTGCCCTTAAGTCAAACGTTTATCGGCGTAAAAGCAATCAAACCGATGCAACAAATGAGTGATATGGATACTGTATGTTATAATCAAGTAGTCGACATGGTTCGAAAGGGACACCAGGTAAATTTTCTGTTGAAATATCTGTTAAAATTAAGATTATAATATCGAGAAAAATATTAAAATTGTTGTCATTGACAAAAAGGTGATGGTATTCGTGCACGCACGAAATGCAACAATTCGGACAGCAAATTCTCTGAAAGAAATGGCTTTGAATAATGGAACTCACCAGTTCTTTTTGTCTGACGAGAGTATAAAGTTAGCACAAAGAGCTTTCAGTAGATCTCCCAACAAGTATCTTCCAGAACTATTCCAACATGGTTTGTCCGTTCATCATGCTGGTATGCTTCGTACTGATAGGTAAAAAAATACGTTTTATGATGCAAAATTTTACTTCATTGACTTAAATTATGAACAATAATTTTTAGAAATTTGGTTGAAAAGTACTTTGGTGAGGGTCTTATAAAAGTACTTGTCTGTACTTCGACTCTTGCATGGGGTGTTAACTTACCGGCTCACGCTGTCATCATTCGAGTAAAATTTATTTTTAGCATTATTATTTGTTTTATATCTTCCGTTGAATGTATTATTTATGTTTTAGGGAACGGAAATCTATGATTCGAAACATGGTTCTTTTATAGACTTAGGTATTCTGGACGTTCTACAGATTTTCGGTCGAGCGGGTCGGCCGCAATTTGATACGTCAGGACATGCTGTCATCATCACATCACACGATAAATTGTCACACTATTTATCCCTATTAACAAATCAATTTCCTATCGAGAGTAGCTTTATTAGATATCTTGCCGATAATTTGAATGCTGAGGTAAATATTACAAATCGTCAATTAAAGTTGAATTAAAAACTTTGATAACTTAATCATTAGGTTGTTCTGGGCACAATATCGAATGTGGAAGAAGCGGTTATGTGGTTGAGTTATACATATCTTTTTGTACGAATGAGACTTAATCATCTTGCCTACGGAATAGATTATCAAACAATAGTTGATGATTCAAATTTGGAACGAAAGCGAAAAGAATTGATACATACTGCAGCTATGGCTCTGGACAAGGCCAGAATGATTCGGTATAATACGAGTACAGGAGATTTGAATGCCACTGGTATGTTTAAAAAGAAATTGGAAATTTTATTATCAATGATAAAAATAAGTTCAATGTTCAATTATATGTTTAGACTTGGGCAGAACAGCAAGTCACTTTTACTTGAAGTACGATACAATTGAGATTTTTAACGAGTTAATGAAGCCGATTATGACGGATGCTGATATTTTGGGTATGATATCGCGTTCACAGGAGTTCGAACAGCTGAAAGTTAGGGAAGACGAAATGGATGAATTAGATAATTTGCAAGCGGACTACTGCGAAGTTATTCCACAAGGTGGAAAGGAAAATATTCACGGTAAAGTTAATATTTTGATTCAAACTTATCTTTCAAGAGGACGCGTAGGGTCATTCTCACTGTTATCAGATCAGGCATTTATTACTCAAGTAAGCTTTATATTTTTGTTAACTATAGTATTTTTTCATAAGGCTTAACTATTTATCTTTTGTTCAGAATGCAATTCGTATATGTAGAGCATTGTTCGATATGATGCTCCGTAAAAACAATGCGATTATGACTGGTCGAGTTCTCAACATGGCAAAAATGTTGGAATTGCAACAGTGGGATTGTATGAGTCCATTGCGTCAGTTTTATTGTTTACCTAGTGAAGTAATTGCCAGAATCGAAGAACGAGATCTTACAGTTGAGAAGCTGCGAGAAATGGATGTGAAAGAGATCGGTTGGTTATTTTTTTTTCTAAAAAATATATATTTTAGATTTTTAAATATATATATTTTATATATCTTTTATATTTTTTTTATTTACTTTATATATCATAATAAATCCTTACTATTTGTAGGAAATTTTTTGAGAAATCAAAAATACGCAGCTCTCGTGAAAAAATGCTGCGACGAGTTTCCAGCTCTCGATTTCGATGTCACATTACAGCCTATAACACGCACAGTTCTTCGCATTCGTTTGCAAGTTATTCCTGAATTCAAATGGAATGATAAAGTTCATGGGAAAAATGCTGAAGCATTTTGGTTGTGGATCGAGGATCCGGACAGTAATTATATATATCATTATGAATACGTACAGTTGACAAAAAAACAAGTAAGTGATAAAAACTATAGATATTTCTTAAATCAATATATAACAATGAAATGTTTGTAGGTCATCACAGCGAACGGACAGGACCTTGTAATGACCATTCCGTTGAGCGAACCATTACCAAATCAATACTTTGTGAGAGCTATCAGTGATCATTGGTTAGGTTGTGAATTCATGCAATCTTTAAGACTTTTTGATCTAATATTACCAGAATCTCATCCGCCTCACACAGGTAACGTTAACTTATTTTCTGTTAATTAAGCTATAACTGAAAGCAATAATTTATAAAAGTAATTTTTTTATTGTTAGATCTTTTGGAACTGCAGCCTTTACCCATTACAGCTCTGAAAGCAACTGAATTTCAAAAACTCTACAAATTCACTCATTTCAATCCTATACAGACTCAAATATTTCACTGCCTATATCACACAGACCATAATGTTCTTCTGGGAGCACCGACTGGTTCGGGTAAAACTATTGCTGCTGAAATTGCTATTATGAGAGTTTTTAAAACTGAGCCTGATAGAAAAGTTAGTTATGACTATTGTTTTTCTGTCAATTAAATGAATTTCTTTAAGGCAAAATATTTTTAGGTTGTATATATTGCACCTTTGAAAGCTTTGGTAAGAGAACGAATGAAAGATTGGACCAAACGTTTAGGAGAAATTTTGGGAAAAAGCGTTGTAGAATTAACAGGCGATATAACACCTGATATCAAAGTAATTTCCACATCCGACGTTATTGTTACCACGCCTGAAAAGTGGGATAGTATCAGTAGAAGTTGGCAAACGAGAAATTATGTGCAAAAAGTAGCGTTAATTATTATTGATGAGATTCATCTGTTGGGTGAAGATCGAGGACCCGTATTGGAAGTCATCGTGTCGAGAACCAACTTTATTGCATCACACACATCAAAAACTTTAAGAATCATAGGATTGTCTACGGCTTTGGCGAATGCTGTCGATTTGGGCCACTGGCTTGGAATAAAAAGGGTTTGTCGTATTCAAATATTTTTTGTTAAAATTTTTGCGAAAACTATTCTTTAAAGTGTGGTATTCGAGAAACAATATTTTTAATTCTAAATTTGATTTAAAACATTAAAAAAATTTGGCTGAATGAATACAAGAAAACTCATTTTTAGAAACTATTTTTTCTCTATTTTTCTTTTTTCATGTGACAGAAAATAACATTTTTTTACCTAAATAATTATTTCAGATGGGTCTCTACAATTTTCGTCCATCGGTGAGACCAGTTCCATTGGAGGTGCACATAGCCGGTTTCCCAGGCAAGCATTACTGTCCACGTATGGCCACAATGAACAAGCCAACCTTTCAAGCAATTCGTCAACATGCTCCCGTTAGTCCTTCGCTGATATTCGTGTCATCGCGACGACAGACACGACTGACGGCTCTCGACTTAATCGCTTATCTCGCCGCCGAGGACAATCCCAAACAGTGGCTTCACATGCCTGAAGAGGAGATGGATAACATACTCGATAACATCAAGGACGTCAATCTCAAACTCACACTGGCGTTTGGTATTGGACTGCATCATGCTGGTTTAGAAGAAAGAGACCGACAGACTGTCGAGGAACTTTTTGTTAATAATAAAATTCAGGTAAAATTATTAAATTTTTTTCAACTTCCAATATAATTCATAATCAGTCCATGAATAATAAGTAAATATTATTAACAAAATTACAATAATTGGATTCAAAAATAATATTTGTTATAGTTTACATGAAAGTACTTCACCATTGTGCACGTGCGGTAATACCGTGCTTATTTAGGCATGTTCAATCGGTGTTTTACATTTTTTTTATTTTGAATCTATTGGTGTTATATGCATCAACTTCATTATTAATCGATTTGGGTGTTCCGATATCCTATTGGTATATTTTTTGCAAACTGCTTTGATTTCTTTTCTTACGGACGTTATATTGACATCTTTCTTTATATATTAATTCGTGACAAACCAGGATACATTAGTGATGGATTGTAGTGTTTTATTTTTAAATATTTCTATTATATCAAGGTGCACTCCAAAATATTTTGCTTTGTCTCCCCATGGGATTGTTGGATTATTTATGCATGGATGGACAGGATCCTTTTTTTTGTATTGGTTACTTGTATTGACTTTTTCATTTATCATTAACGTGTGATATTAATATAGCTATATATCGTCAGCGTACGTGGCGATATTCACATTTTCCGTGGTTGGAAGATCATGAGTATATATTAAGTATAATATGGGACCGGGAACGCTTTCTTGAGGGACTCCGGCTTTTATTAGAGTAGAGTTCAGTTGTTTCATTATTTATTATTACCTTAAAAGTTCTAGAGCTTAGGTACGATTTTATTAAGTTTATGTAGAAGTCCTTTGTGCCATAATTTATCAAAAGCTTGAACTACATAAACAAATACTGCATTACAGTATTTATTATTTTCAAAAGTATTTCTTATTTTAGTAGTAATTATATTTGTTCCATTTTAGAATAATTATTACGGAAACGGAATAGATGATTAGGTATTACGTTTTGTTTTATTAATATTTTATTTAATCTTTTAATTATTATTTTTTCGTAAATCGTAGATAGTGTTGGAAGCAGACTGCTTGGCCTGTAAGACGTATATGAAGTGCTAGGGCGGTTTATCCAGTTTTGTTATGAGTATTATTGTTATTTTCCATGCAGCAAGGAATTAGTGTTAACGAAGTATTGCATTTCTCACGATAGTTATGTACCTTACTCCTTTTATAGGAACTTGTTTCAGTTTTTGGGATTTATATTATCATAACCAGGGCTCTTTTTATTTTTTTAACTGATATATTATATGATTTATTCCTTTTATTTTGATATAATTAGTTGATTATTTATTACTATTATAACTTTTTGTGCACTTTAGTAAGGTTTGTTTTTTTTCTTCTGTTATTTTTCACGGTGAAGGGTTGAATATATTTTATAAATGTGTAGCAAATGCGTTAGCTTTGTCAATACTTATTCTATTTATATCATATCATTTTTTAAGATAGGAGAAGAGAATTATTGTGGTTGGTTTATTGTTTTAGTTGTTTCTAGAATAATTAGTAGCCTTAGGTAGAGTTGGGTTAGTTAGATAGTTATTCATATTTTTATTTTTTTCACCATAAAGAATTTATTTAAGTTCTTTAGTAGATCGATTATATTTTGTTTTACCAATTTGTAATCTAGTCTCCTGCCATATTTACCTTAACTTTTTTTTTTCTTTAATTTTATCTAATACTGTTGTGGAAGTAGTTAAATTTACGTTTTGATTTATTGACTACATAGGAGTTGCATTTTTAGTGGCTTTATAAATGTTGTTATATAAATTTTTAATCGTATCGATATTTTGATTTGTTTTTAATGGTATATTTCATGAAAGTTTTTCATTTATTATTGCTCTGTAAAGTTCCCAATTTATTTTTTAATTGTACAAAGGGCTATTTTTACGTTTGTTTTAATTATTGAATTCAAATTGATAATTATTGGGGAATGATTTGATGTTAAATAAAAGCATGATTAAGTTGTTAGGTGTTTAGGACATACGTCTTTAATGATTGCCAAATCTATTAAGTCCGGTAATTTATTTATATCGGAGGGCCAGTAGGTAGGTTCGCCTGTTGATATCGGTGTTAAATTTTCTTTTTCCATTACTGCATATAGTTACTTTTTTTGGATTTGGAGTTAATGATCTTGATCCCCACCGTGGATGTTTGGCATTATTATTTTCTTCCGCGAGGAAGCGATTTCCCAACCTACCAAAATTTTTTATATTGTTCCTTGGTTATTATGTGTCTTGGAGGACTAAATAATGCTGATGATACAATTTGACCGTTATTATCTGTGGTCGCGACGTTTGTTGCTTGTAAATAGTTATATTTGTGTGCTTCATTTTCGTGACAATTAATAGTGTTTTTTATTACTATAGCCATCCCTCCCATGTGCCTTATCACCATGATGATTTATGCTATATAGTGTGTATTGTGGAATTTTTAAAAAGCTTTTATGTGCGATGTGCTTCAGATATTAATATGATATCTATATTGTTTTCAATAAGAAAAGGTTTTAGTTCTATGCTTCTTTGCGCTAAACCGTCAGCGTACCAAATTGCTTTTTTTATTTCTGACTTCATTTAATCTTGTTTGTGTTTCCATTACCACTTATAACCTGCGCATGTGATATATTTAGTCCAACGATATTTTCCGTATTTATTATTTTTTTGGTCTTTGTGTTGCAAATAAGGTTGTTTGAATTACTTCTTTTCTTTTGGTTCATATTTTTCATAGTTTGACCAAATATAGCTTTTTTTTATTTTACACAAAATGTACTTAATTTTATTCAACTAATTTTCACTGGAAAATAGTAATTAGCCATTTTTAAAACTATTTTAGACAAGAATTATAGTCTATCGGATTAAAGAAGACAAGTTTTTTTTTACTGTATCAGTATTTACATAGTCGTGGAAAACAAAGTTTCATACAAGATATATATGTTAATGTCTAGGTATTGGTAGCAACAGCTACGCTAGCATGGGGTGTGAACTTCCCAGCTCATCTGGTGGTGATCAAAGGTACCGAGTATTACGACGGCAAAAGTAAGCGTTACGTGGATATGCCAATAACAGACGTACTGCAGATGATGGGTCGAGCGGGGCGTCCGCAATTCGATGATTCCGGTGTAGCTGTAGTTCTTGTGCACGATATCAAAAAAAATTTTTATAAGCAGTTCCTTTACGAACCATTCCCCGTTGAGTCCAGTTTACTCGAGGTACTTCCGGATCATATCAATGCTGAGATCGTTGCTGGTACGATAAAGAGCAAGCAAGAATTTTTGGATTACCTTACCTGGACATACTATTTCCGTCGACTAATGAAAAATCCTAAATACTATAATCTTGAGAGTATGGAGCCGGAAGAAGTTAATAGTTACCTGTCGAGGCTCGTTGATGACACATTGGTTGTGCTTATCGAGTCTCAGTGTGTTTTCAATGACGAGGTGAGCAATTGTCTAATTTTTTGTAGTTTAGAAGTATATGCGTTTGTAGACTTTTGTTTTGAATTAATGAATTGAAAAAAGTTGTAAGTTGAACCGAAGAGATATCATTAGTAAGATGAACCGATGAGTATTGATTTCGTGCTTCTAGGAGCACCAATGTATAGGACCATTGCCATTAGGAAGGATAGCGTCATACTATTATTTATCACATCAGACTATCGCAATGTTCAATGAGACCTTGTTGGATGATATTTCATTAGAAAAGTGTTTGAGGATAATGAGCAATGCTCACGAATACGATGAGCTTCCTGTGAGACACAACGAAGATTTATTAAACGAGTAAATCATTTCACCGCAAATTACGTAATTTCGTATCTGTCCAATTACATTAATTTACGTTTATATTTTGTTTTAAATTTAACAGAGAATTAGCGAAAATTTGTAAATATCCAGTGGAACGTTTGTCTTACGATTCATCAAACACAAAAACTTTTCTACTTTTACAAGCGCACTTCTCCAGACTGCCACTGCCGTGTGCTGATTATTATACGGATTTAAAATCTGTGCTCGATCAGTCAATAAGAATTCTACAGGTTTGGTTGAACACATTTTAAGAAAAGAAGATGAAATAAGAATTTGCGGTGAAAAATATGATTTTTGTATAGGCTATGATAGATGTAGTGGCTGAGCGGGGATTTCTTTCATCGACTCTACGAGTAATGCAGTTACTTCAAATGGTTCTTCAAGCAAGATGGATCGACGAACCGGCTGTGCTCACTTTACCGTACGTAGAAAAGGAACATTTACACTTGTTCTCGGATTTTCCAAAGTGCCTGCCCTGGTTTTGCTCAGCTATTGGCAATAATTACGGCCGATTGTCCAATGTCTTTTTACAAGAATTTATTGATGACCATGTTAGTAAAGTAAGTAAAGATATAAAAAAGTATATAATTTTACTAAGATCACGGAAAAAAGGAATAGAAACAATTATTTTACCTTTTTTTATTTTACAGATCCATCAAGTTGCCAAAGACATGCCAATTCTATGTATCGATCTATGTATACAAGGTAATCTAAAATCTGGCGGAGATGAGATGAAAATCGAAATATCATCCAAGGCAAGTGAAAAATACATCGAACTTCAACTTAATGAAGAATACACACTGATCGTGGGAACAAAGCGGAAAAATTACTCCCAAACACTCAAAGTGCACTGCCCAAAGTACCATCGTACCAAAGATGAAGGATGGTTTTTAGTTCTCGGCGATATTCAGCGTCGTGAGTTATGGGCGTTAAAACGTGTGTCCGGAATCAATGGGCCGCGAAAGACTCATTACTTGCAGTTTAACACCCCGCCGAACTCAGGTAAGTCTTCTGTCCATTTCGTTACCAATTCTTCCGGTTAATAAACTTTTCTCTGTTGTAGTCGAATAGAAATTGATGTTTTTATATTTTTTATTGATGTTCAACAGAGTGTTCTTTTCAATCTGCTCTTATATGTGTTGTTTTTATTGTAATTTTTACAGGACGAATGAAATTGCAATTTTACCTGATGTCAGATTCTTACATGGGTTTAGACCAACAGTATACTATTCCAATAAATGTGATATCGTAGATTTATATTATTTTTTGTAAAATTTTCATAAACTAATTGATGGACATTGTCAACAATCGTTGTAAAAAATGAATATAAATATTGTATAGAAGTAAATATTTGTATAAGAGTTTAACATTTTGAATTTATTCTTTGCCATTTTATAATAATTTTGACATCCATTCATTGAAGGACGCAATGCAACAATGAAAAGATTCACAATTGAACAGTTACAAAGAATAGAATTTTCATTTTCAAACGTTGTTGCGCACATTACAGTATTTGAAAATCGCTTTAAAAAATTATCCAACATATATCTCCATTTTTACATGCTTTGAAACATATAGCAGTATGATTAAACATAAATGTACACAGTTCACAATTAGCTACCTATATAATAATTTGCTATATTTTCACATATCGTAGGAACCACGTGTTAACACAAGTCTCCGCTTTTTTATTACTGTCAGTAGTGAAATTTAATACATAAAATTTGCAATGCTGTAATCTAGTTGCAGCTTTATTATATATACATACAAAAAATACTGTTTTGCTTGTTTCCAATATTCAAAATGTTTTATAAATAATGTTATTTTTCTTTCAAAAAATCACAATCAATGACTTTCGTGCGATAATCTCGCAGTCTGTCAACAGATTTATAGAAAATGAAGTACTTTATGTATATCATCATTTTGTTGCTTGTAATATATGTTTCGCTAAAGCAGTATTAAAGCCATTGGTATACACATCAAATGATATAATTGAAGCGCGACAAGATATAATGAGGTGTCGGATGTTACTTAAGATTTTTAAACATGTATACTACGATGTAAATCTTCTTAGATATTTTTATTTTCTAGTAATTACAAAGCTACACTGAATACTTTTTTAAAATACTTTTAAAACTGTTATTTTATTACTTAGTAGATTTGTCTAGCTGAATTCCATTTGAACACTTTGAAAATACAAAACATAGTTTTGTTATAATAAATTGTGATCTCAATCATATTTTATATTAAGTCGAACTGTTGGTAAACTATTATTATCAATAGTTATAAAAGTTGAAACGATCACTATCATTAATACTTTATTGTATTATTCTTACATATAAATAAAAATTACTTTTATCAAAATGTTAATTCATTCTTAACGATAGTTTGATCATAATAAATAAGAAACAAATGAATACGTAAATTTCTAATGAAAATGAGATCTTGTACATCGCGCTTCAATTTTATTCGTAAATAAACATTTCTTTTTCTATATTTAAGAGGAGAAAATTGTCTGAATATAATGCACTGAGCATCTGAATAGAATGTATGATTTGGAAAGCTTTCGAAATTAAAGCTTTTGAAACACGACAGAAAAAATTACATTGACAATTTCACGGTTTTAGCGAACTGTGCGCGCAAATACGATGACGTCTATTACGATAACTTTGCCCTGACAAACTGTTAAGAAAATCAAATAAAGTTGTTCGCTATGACTGCGTGCGATATGGACAAAAATACCTTTGTGTACACATAGATGTTTGTGTGAGAGCGTTTTTTTTAAACAATGTGTTATTTGCTTCTTGCCTCTCTTGTGAGCATATCATCAGCGCGTTACAAGCTGTTGAAAAAAGAAAATCACATGTATCGGTTAGTTTGGTAGTCTCGCAGACAGCTTTCACGCTATCTGTCTAAAATACAAATGTATTTGAGAAAAATCCACGTGCAATTATATAGGCAACATACATCAAACGTGTTCATTCAAAAATCAATTTCCTACTCTGTAGGTATACTTAATACGTTTGATACCTTGGCCATTATTTAGTGACATGCAGTGTTATAGATCATGCTATGTTGATGCATTTGTCGTTAGTGGCTATAAGTATTTCGTGTGCTCTGATCTGCTTGTATACAACAGAAATCAATTCAATTATTGAAGATAAAGAGGTCACATTCAGGATTGGTAACATATTGCATGCAATCAAATCAACTACCTCTTTAAATGAGGGAAGTAATTCAGAACTGACTCGGAAGTAAATAAAAAGGGAAACTTATGTTGTCGTTTTAAGGCGTTAATTATTTTTAAACTTAATTAGTTAGAATGCAATTCAATACCTATAATTACACATAGAATTGAAGAAAAATTACACAAGAAAAAAAGAAAATTTGGGCAACGTTTTGGGTGTAAATAATTTTTTTTCTAATGCACAGAAGAATTTTAACAACAGGTTTCAAAATACCTAAAGTATTAAAAATACGTACACGTACAAGTGATGTTATTTAAAGTGCAAGTAAATAATTTATTTACCATTTCAAGTAATTTAAAAACTGACAATCTATTTTTAATTATTTATATTTTATGCACTTTTTGTTCTGGCCCATTTTTTATACAAAAAAACTGTCATGAAAGCTATAAAATGAAGTACCAATTAAAGTACCTGGCAGTCGTTTTTAAGTATATCTGAACAGTGTAATGAGTCTTTTCAGTTGTGAAATATAGCAGCTGTATCAATTGTCATTTAGTACTGAATAAAACCAAGTTGTTTACTAACGTAGTTTGAAAATGATGAAAACATTTTAAGAAGTAGGATTTTAGATGTTAGATTAGTATGTTTCCGTAACATCTTCAATGAACAATGACGTTGACGACTCAAACATATGATGTCGTTGACATTTATCTTACATCAAGAAAATGAATACTCTTCTATATCCCGTTCTAATTTGAATATTACCGATTATTAATTTCTTATTATTTATTCAAAAATCGTTACTATCTGTCATTACTGAAGTATATTTTTTAATTTTTATCTAGTATTGATGGAAATGTTCATCAGGTTCGTAAGACTCGAAAATTACGCTCTAAAAACATAAACAAAACGTGATAGTTCGAAATAAAAACTATTTTGGTGGCGTAAATAATTATTACAAGGGCTTGTAGTCAGATTTATACAATTGAAAATACGTATAAACTCTTGAAATTATTTTTACACTATATAAACATTGTATATAATTGTCTTATCTATTCCATTTTGATAAGTAGCATTGTCAACATAAAATAATAATAAATAACTTTTAACAAGAAGAATTATTGGATTTAACAACAAATTAATAGAACTGTCATATCTAAAAATCAGTTGTTAGAACGAAAAGCGCATTTTTAGACCATTTATTACAATATTCTACATACGCCGAAAATCTAATCGATAGCATGTGAAGCTTTTTAAATTTTGTTATCGACCATCACAGTGCATTATCAGAAGATAATACTTTGAAAGCATTTAGTTTGCAAGCGTATATTAATGTGAAGGCTTTGAAAGTTTCAAAGTTTTTACGCTTGACTAATGTGATATAATCTTCAAATGGTCTTTAAATTTTTTAAATATTTTTTCATGCATTAAAATGTTACCAGATCTAACCATTATCTTCCTAGTATAATGGAAACATGCTATATATATATATCTAAAATATTTTGTGATATAGAAATGAAATTCAAGAAAACGAAAAAAAAATAATAGTGCTACGATTCTTTTAGAGTAGAGAACATAGGATGGAAGTAGATTGTAAAAGTGTAGTAAAGTGTCACTAATTTTTTATTCAAACGCATACTCACTTTTCGGGTAATATGCGCGGATGACAGAATTCCGTTGGCCACGAATACATATTTGGAAGTGGACTGTCGTAATTGCAGTCGTACATTTTACCGGTGATGAATTCTCGCTTATCCTTTGGTTCTGGATATTCGCTAGCCAAGTTACCTGAAAAAAAAACGTATTATTCGCATTTTTTCAAGTAAAGCTTGTATACAGATAATTTTTCGATACAAAAACTAAAATACAAAAAGATAACTACCATGTCGATAAGCATAGTCAGCAATTTTACAAGCGATGTCAATAGAGCACTCTTGAATAGTACTAAGGGGTGGGTACACACTTCCCCTCTGCAGATCCTCGTTCGATACGTTATTCGCAACTTCTTGAGCAGCGAGCAAAAACATATCCTCGGTGATGTGATGGCAACCAGTTGCAATCACGCCCAACGCAATTCCTGGGAAGATGTAGGCGTTGTTGCCTTGACCCGGTTTGAAAGTCTTGCCATTGTATTGAACTTCGCCGAATGGCGAGCCCGATGAGAATATACACCTACCCTGTTATCAACACGCAATTTTAAATGAATTTATCTCTTTCGGTTAAACTTTTCAGAGTACTAATGAAATTTAAAAACGAAGCAATTAAGTGTATACGTAGTAGCAGCGAATATAAACTTAAGTAAGGCGAGGGTTTGTGCATATCATAATAACCTTCAAAATTAATTTACCTCTGTGTGCTCGTAAGCCGCTTGTGCTGTACACTCGGCTTTACTGGTCGGATTACTCAGTGCAAAGATCAAAGGCCTCTCATTATTTTTAGCCATCTCTTGCAAAACCTCCGGGGTAAATGTGTTGGCTGCGGCCGAGGCACCTATATGCACATCGAAGAAGCCCAACTCGATCAATGTTAAGTGCTATTTCCGTGCATTAATATTATCGCTGCCGATGATTAACCGAAATTGGATTGTGTCACCCTTTAAGTACGTGAGTTATTCAATAACTATAAAGTGAATGATCTTTTTGTTGGCAAACAATGCCTCGCCAATTATAGTAATGTATACGCGGTAGCGTTTTATTTTTATGATATTCAACTATGTAATATCATCTTAATGTCCGATTGAATACCTAATACACTGTTTTTTTCTCTCTCTTTCTTTTTTCGCACGATGATATTTTAGCTAGATGTGAAATTTGGAAGCTTACCAATACAAAATAGTGCCAATGTACATTGAGCGTAGTCATTTACATTTGTCTTTGACATATTTACGTTCTAAGCAGAATTTATTTGTCAATGGATAAACTTTTTATGGTACAAATACGATGCGTATTAGTGCCATAAAAAGAAAAGAAAATGTTTTTCTCGTCGTTCTTTTTAAAGAAAAAAAGTTCGGTTCTTTCTTTTCGAATGCGAGCGAAAATTACCTATGAGAATCGACGGCTTGACCTTTTTAACGACATTGATGAGGCCCTCAATAGGTTCATGATTTTTGGCGTAGTAAATCTTGTGGCCATCCAAATCGCCTTTAGTACGGGTTGTGGTCAGCAGACCGTCGATGTCCAGCATCCAAATGTTATCGCGCGCCTCATCTTCCGGCAGACCGTCGGCTACCATTGCCTTTACGCACAGGTCCGCGATTCCGATAGCAGCCTGAATTTATATCGAACAAATTGTTTTCTGACACTTCTAATCGTTCTCAGATGCAGACTTTTTCAAAAGTTTCTTTGACAGATTCTCTATTTATCATTTTGAAACTTTTGCAATTTCAACGCTGAATGAATTATTAAGATTGATTATTGATAACCCGATTTAAAATTATAAAATTATCTTGTGACGCTGATTTTAAATTGATGGAAGCTCATTTGTCGATGAAGCCGACATGAAAGTTGAATGAAATTGGTCAAGAGCCGACTTGACGTGAACGACATCAGCTCTATATATTTGTACCGCCAGTAGCGAGATTAATAATCTGAGAGAAAAATGAAGAAGCGTAAAAATCCTTACCTCGCCAGCACCAAGGAAGACAAACTTATTGTTCCTCATGGGTTTTTGCGTAAGCCTCTGCGAGGCAAGAACCCCGGCAACAGCTACGGCAGCAGTACCCTGTATGTCGTCGTTGAACGTGCAATACTTGTTTCTATACTTATCAAGGAAGCGGAAGGCATTGTGATTGCCGAAGTCTTCGAACTGTATAAGTACGTTCTGGCCGTATTTTTGCACGCAAGCGGCCATGAATTCATCGAGCAATTCATCGTATTCAGGTCCGAAAGTGCGAGGTTTGTTTAAGCCAATGTAGTGTGGATCGTTACGTAGCTGCTCGTTGTTGGTGCCCACATCGATGGTGATTGGTAAACACTGATGTGGCTTGATGCCAGCCAATGCAGTGTACAATGCAAGTTTACCTACCGGTATACCCATGCCACAGGCGCCCAAATCACCCAAACCCAGGATCCGCTCGCCGTCGGTTACGCAGATCGCGCGTACCGCCTGCTCTGGCCTGATCATGGCAATCATGAATTTTTCATAAATTATCAGCTCAGAATTAGTCTGTCTACTGTTACATAATTATTTCGTTGTTCGCTAATTAGTATATCGACGCACGTGTCGCGCAATTTTTGTTTCAATCACGAGCTATGAGCATTAGTGTTTGCTCCGTGAGTTTAGACACTTGGCTTAGCCATAAAAGTCGGGCTTCTATTGCAATGTATCAAATACTCGAACCGATATCGGATTTTATTTTCATTCCGTTAATCGGATGCTAATTTATTCATCACTGAATGCAAATGGATGGCGCTACCGTTGGCCCGTGATTTTTGCGACCCACATTTTTGAAAATACAATCTTTCGTTTGCTTAATAACGAACAATCTTTACCGGCTGTATTCACGTATGGATCGCAAATAATTCTCGGAAGACAGTAAGCTGAAGCAGTAAATGTGACCGATAATTTGTTTGAAAAGTAAAAACTGAGGCAAAACTAAGCATTTTTGTAAACAGAATTTCTAGGAATTTCCTTGATAATGTAAATGGAGCTTAAAACGAGGTGCATACCAATTGTTGAGAATTTCGTAAACGTGGCCCTTGTCGTAAATGGTAATAAAGAGTCCACGCGGTCGGCGGTAAATAACGCCGAACTTTTGGCAGGCAAGACCGACCGTCGGCGTGTACACGATAGGCATCATTTGCTCGATGTTCTCTTTGAGCAAACGGAAGAATAAGCGCTCGTTCCTCTCCTGCAAAACAAGAGGAATTCTGAAAACTCGAGACTTTTAATATTCGATCGGCTTGCTTGCACGATCGCGTCGGCTTGTTGCGCAAAGCGAACAAGTTTGACGACGAGCTGTACGCGCGCGCTCTTAAGGGTGCGACCTGGGCAATATGGATTTTATTTACAATCCATCAGTAATTCATCTACCTGCAGCTCGACGAGGTAGAGATAACGGTTGAGGTCCTCGGTGTACTTCATTACCGAGGCTTTGCACAGCGCAAGTTGCTCCTCCTGGGTCTTGAATCTTGGCGGCTGCAAGCCGTGGATACCCAGAGCTATTCGTTCTTCCAACGTGAACGCCAATCCCTTTCGAATTTTCAAAGAAAAAGTCAAGCATTATCATTCCGTTCGTTTCAGCGAACAAACAGTGGTTTATTACGCGCGAACCAACGAATAATCGACAACGCAATCATAATTCAATTAAGACGAGGGCCCAAGAATCTTGGAGCTTTCTAGATTCAACTGGCAAATTCCTTTTCTTAAGCGACCAATCGGTTTAATTTGTCGCACACGATCCCCGATATAAAGCCTTAATTAAAATCAATCGCGCGCGCGCGTGCCGCGAACGGCGACAAATTGTCGTGATAATAAAAGAACGGAGGGAGGAAGGGAAGCAGAGAGGCAAAGAGAGGAAGAGAGGGAGAAAGAAAGAGCGAAGACGCTTTTAATCGATATAAAAGAGCGACGCTCGCTTATCGGCGAATCCTCGAGTGCTTCTCACACTGCCAGTCGCTTCTTTACAATCGCACGCACGCCATCTAAAACCATTCACTGTGATCACGTGGACAGTGCACCGTAAACTTTTCACGAGGCTCGTTTACGACATGTTGCACAGACACCTTCGGCAGTCTGCTCTACGTATAGAACGACGTACAGCTACTCCTTTCGTGCTCTTTGTCTTCGCGAGGCTCTTTATTTTCGACAATTTGCAGGTAGAATCAGACAACTCTTTCTCTTGTACGAGTATCTTACACAGACATAGAAATAGAAACCTTGTTGAGACGTGGATCGCGCAGGTGACCAATACCCTTGACCATGTTAATGGGTATGACGTCGCCCTGCACCTCGTGAATATCTCTGCGTTGTTGCTGATGCTGCTGGTCCTTGGGACTTGCTGCCACGGCTGCTCGAGCGACCGCACAGCCGCTACTTCTGCCGCATGACCTGCAAACATTGTTATACGCGTGAATGTTTCTGAGACGCACGCAATTTTCAATTAGAGCTCGAGTGCAGCCTGGCGCGTTAATTTAACAAACCTGGAAATTCAGCAGTAGCTCATTTATGAAAGGGCGCTTGCGAGTTGTGTGTTTACTCGCGATAAACATTTAAGCTTCTGTTGTACTTCGCGGTAAAGTTATAAGAGCACTGGGTTCGCTGGGTCAAGGATTCAGATCATATGCCTTTGCGAATTTCCGTCTTTGTATAATATATGCTATTTCGCGTGTAGGATGCCAATTTGTCTTTACTCAATTTCATTACATCCCCGTAGTTATATAGATATCAACCGACGGACTATAGTCGCGAAAGTAATGATGGCAGTCCACTCAAAGCCGCATTATCTACGTATGTATTTATTAGACGTAATCGTTCGCGCCTTAACTAGCGAGTGATTCTCAATACGCGCATCATTCCACATCATTCTTTACGTAACTCGACTATCGATTTTAGCCTTGCTACCTTTTCTCACCTTCATAGTCGAATAATCATCTCCGTAGTTTGATAATTCGAAGAGGCGCACGAGACCCAATAATTGTCGTTCAAAGCTCACACTAATAAGTTACTATTCTAACAATTACATTCCGTAGCGTTCTGCGGGCAAATTATGTACAAAATGAACTGGAATGAAAACAGTGCTGCCGATACTAAAAATCTATTGGCTACATGAGTAGCGCCATAATCGGCGCGTAACCGGGGCAACAGCGGAGTTACAGTGGCACAGTGTAAAGCGAAAAACGTCGTGTACGACAGAGATAAAAGGCTGCAGTCAATATAACAATTATCATAGCAGAAGAGGAAGAGGGCAGGCGAGTCGAGTCGCATGCACACGAGATACGCGATAAAAGGAACAATACGAAGAGCAAACGATGGCAAAAAGTAGTCATGGGAGAATCGAGGAGCGATTACATTTACCGAGTTTGGTAATGAATTCAGCTTTTCGAACGTTGTTCAAATGAACGGTCGATTGGTGCGCATAATGCGACGGCCAATTGATCGTTGTCCGCCAATTTGTTTACATTTTCGCAGTGTACATTGTATTTAATTTTCAATGTCCGCGCTCGCCGTCGCCAGTAATTGTGCGCAGAGAAATATCGCGCGACACAAGCACACATCGTCATTTATGTGGCCGCTGAATTTTATACGCGCGACCCGTTTGACGAGAAATTCCGTATAATGCGGGCGTACTCGCCGATAAATCTGATTGATTACGATTTTTCTCCAGCGGATATCGGCAAGCCGGCTTTCATCGCGTGATTTATTATTTGGAAGCTGACTGTATAAAATAATGGGCCGAGTTGCGCGCGCCACTCGTGGAATCTAAGTCGGAGTAATTATTTTCTCTCTTCGCGACACTCGCCGATATCATTTGCGATAATTAAGAGTCATTATCGGGAACGGCTAGATGTTCTCGCTATTCCACGCTGCGTGTGTCCTTGTGTCGCTATTCGCGCTTGAACAGTGCGCTTTATTCGACGCGGGCGTTGCGCGAAGCCGCGTGTATTTTGAATAGTTAATAACGTTACGCAACAGCCGCGTAGCAGACGAGCGCGTGCATACGTCAAAATGCCATACGAACGCCAGAAATTCGCGCACCAAAGAACCATCCTCTCGCTCGCTTAGCGTCATGTTTCGCGCGCGAGTGTCAAGTTTTATGCAGTAGCTACGCGGCTCTCGAAATAAACGAGACAACGTCCTCTCCCTCTCTCTCTCTCTCTCTCTCTCTCTCTCTCTCTCTCTCTCTCTCTCTCTCTCTCTCTCTCTCTCTCTCTCTCGCTCTCTCTCTCTTTCATTTCATTTAGTGACCGAAAAAAATAGGATTCACTGCAGTGGCAATATATTTCGGAAGGCTATATTTGGAAGTAAAACTCCAGTAGCGCGCGCACCCCAACACCTGTTCCATTCACGCCAGATCAAATCGGTATCGCCATTATCTCATACACAGCGTGCGAACGAGCGAGAGCTTGCAGCGAAGGCCGTGCGGCCGCGGTGGAAAAAGAGTAGAGTATATTCGCCCGAAATAAAGCGCCCGAAAATATCTCTCCCACTTGCCGTTTCTTCGGATTAGATGCAGCTTTATTTTGCGGATTACGGACCAGCTTGTTTTCTTTCTCGTACCGTGGTTAATTTTCGCTCTCTGCGAGCGACACCCACGAGTTTTTTACGACTAATTGGAGATTCGTCGGTCAGGCTCGGACAAATTGATGGGCGATTACGTAAAAGCTTTCATTGAAGATTTACGTCGCGCATGATGGACGGCCTTCGTGAGAACGTCATTTAGTCTTTGATTGGTGGCCGTACATACAAATTTTTCACTCCGATCTTTCACCAGATTACTTCTACGATAAATCGTCTTACAAGTGAAAACCGCATTCAAGTCGTGATAGTGTACAACGATACGCGATATCCATATTTAGACAAAGTCTCTTTATCTTATGGACGCTATACTATATGTTTTATCTTCAATGTCAATGTCTATCTACGTACTCTGGTTTTACATTACTCGTACAAACGAACAAGAAAAAATAATTACCACGCGAGAAACTAGACGTTCAGTCATGCGAAGCAATTGCGCGTCAATAAAAATTTTTCTCTTTGCATTGAAAAAAACTTATATAAATAGCGAAATTAGAATTTTCGGTGTAGCAGACAGCGGCAAAAAAAAAACGAGCTCGCGCAAGCTTAACTTAGCGTAGCGTCCAAATCCTCGTCTGCTCGTGCCTGTCATTGATTTTTCGTTTTTCGCGACGTTTTTAGTTGGAGTACCTAAAATAAAAAATTGCGGCTTTGCACGAAATTAGAGCGTGATTTTATCGGAGAGTTTATGTGACGAGCAAATATTTATTATGTATAAAGTACGTCGAACATCGAAAGATAACAAATGATTTGTGAAATAGGCGAAGCTTGAAAATTTATTTATCATGTAGCAGTGAAAAATGCACGCAAAAGCTGCACTTGATTGAAAGAAAAAAATTAAATATTTATGTCAAAACCAAATGTAGGTATCGTTAAATTGCTAAAGTGGATAAAAAAATGCCGTCAATTATGAGTGAAAAAGAAACAAAGAGTCTGACGGCTTTTTCTTGCGGAATAAATTTTTTATTTGAAAATGGGAGCAAACAGAGTAAAGAAAAAAGAATGAATAGATGCTCAAAGTTGCGACATGTCAGTTTTAGAGCAACGGGCGTTAACGATGACTTTTTCCAGCTGAAAACCGTATTCCGCAAATAGCTCGGGCATCATTAACTAACGCCCATTCAACAGGTTCGCAGCAATTAAAAAAAGTTTTCCTCGAAGCGCATATGAAATCTTTTGTTCTTCTACGTCAAATTCTCGAAACATAATTGTTTTTTCTAGGCCATGATTCAGTTGATCGGCGTATCCGCACTACGTTTCTTTCTTTTTTCCCGAACAGATTTTCAATATCAACCGTCAGTCCGTCTGTCGGAAGCCCTATTACAGTAGCAAGTACACGCGGTCTTAACCCAGAAAAAGAAATTGTACATCTTGAGTTCCTTTTCACAGCCGCGTATACAAAATAAAAAGCGAACGATACGCGCAAGGCTGTTGTTTTATCGATCGTCGCGGTGGCTGCTGGCAAAGAAAGAGCTCCTCTATGCACACACGGCTACCCCTGCCGAATGTAAATACGCGTCATTATGACAAACATACCCTTACAGCTTATCTTGAAGTCGTTATCATTAACGAGTTTATCGATAAGTCCACGGGCCGAAAAATGCGCGGTGTAGCGTATGCCTACCAAAACAGCGATGCCCTCGAGAGATAGAGCAAGAAGGTTGGCTAATTAGGGCTTAACCTCTTTTTGGTGAAAATGGGACGCGACGAGGGACAAGGTGAACGGCAGCCGAGTGCACATACTTGCGCGTCAATCAACCAGTATATTACTTACAGGATACTTCTCTGAAGTGAGAACATGATGACGACAACGATGAGTAACAACCGCGCACAATGACAAAGACGATGAGGAGCACCACTTTTTTTCGTATCACTCACGCGTGCTCTGCTCGGCCCAGCAGCAGCTGATCACCGATTGCGCGCGCGCGCAAACCCAGCTGATTCGACTCTACCTCAACCACCGAGCGCGACTGCGCGATACGCGATACCTATATGTACCTCGTCACAGTCCACACTCCACAGACAGAACGAATGAGCAGAGGCGTGAGGTGTCACCGTCAGACAGTAATTTCGCATTAGTTATTTACGCGCTTTGGCTCGGACATTGCGTTTAATAAATTGTATAATCTTCGTGAAAACGTATTCGAGTTACATATAGGTGGCACTCAATTGGTAAATGGATGATGTGTGACGTAACTTCTCGCAGATTTACCAGTTTTTTTTTATTAATTTTACAGTACATCGCACAATGCGACATGCATTATTGACAGTTATTCAAGTCACTGTAGTACCTTTTTATTAACATATGATCCACGTGGTAGACCGATATACCGACAGCCAGCACGGCTGCTATACGGCTGTGTTGGACTACATACATATATATAGCTTAGCAGCCAAGCCATCCCTTCCACTGCCTCCCCAGCTGTATAGAAGTGTCAAAAGTCTAGGCATGTAGCCGATAGGTGCTTCTCGCGCATATACCACCTATTTACTGTATTTACCGACTGAGTACCCCCTGCGCGTACTATAACTCGAATACTTCTGCCTATACTAGAGTAGTTTTTTACGTACCTTGGGAGAGCCAAGCGTCAGTACAGTGTAGGAAGAATATTTGTGACGCTGGATAGTACAAGCCCTAGGCGGCGAGAGACATGCAAAGCTTGTAGTTGATGCTAGTTACTCTCAACCTATATCAATAAGTAATGTAGATTGCGCGCTATGTACATACTTATAAAGTTCACGTAATTTTAAGGACAACGAAGATTGATTTTATTAATCTTCAATTACATGTTTGTGATAGAAATTATGATGATTACCTAATAGATAAATGTAAGTCTCCGGGAAAATACTTTTCTGAAATATTATTTGAACAACATTTGTAAGCGCGATCACCGAAACTTTGATACAAATGGATCTGATAACAGATGAAAAATGAAGCGAATGCATCGACGGAAAATGCTTTGTAGAGAATCACTTGTAATGGTGACGCAGTTCCGCGATCGTCTGCTTTTAAAAAGTCGTAATGGCGAGTTTAAGAATATGCCATTGGAGTTTCGTACATTGGAACATATTGCAAGTCCGAGCTTGGCGAACTAGAAGCATAAATGCCTCAGGGTCGTAAAGTCGAGGAGTCGAAATCAATTTCGATTATTTGAAGAGCGGGAAAAGCGATCGCTGTTTCGGCGCAGAAAGCGAGCAGCAGTAGCAGCTTCTCCTATTTAATTTTAACGTCCGACTATTTGCCCTCGACGCGCTTCTATTCTAGCTGAGTTACGGCGCGATATTCACTGGATCGCTTCAATAAATCTGTCGTCGAAGTCGATAACTATCAAGCTTCACTCCGATAAAATGTATCTTTCGGCGTCGTTGAACTTTATTGTACCTTTTGAATTTCCCAGCGATGATTCAATCTTGAAAATTTCAACTCGTATTTTCGGAGGGGAAAATTCGACAATTCGTTCTGAAAATAAAGTATAAAATATGGTATATATGGCAGGATTGTAGAGGGAGCTGGGAAGAAAGAATAATCCGTTGTATCAGTTTTTTGGTTTCATTGAATAGTGCACGTAATTGATACAGGATGAAAGTTTATGACAATCTTTCGTGTAAGGTGACAGTGACAGATGATCGAAATATTCGCTCTTTTGACTATTTACAATACTTTTAACAATCGTACCATTTTTAAATCTTTCCTCCTTTTTTAATGGTGTCGTTATTATAAATTTTATCGACGCTTGCACTCGCGCATCGCAGTCGAGAGAAAAGAAAAGAAAAGAGCATTCGAACGGTTCTCGCATTTTTCCGCCTAACACTCGCGCACGTTTCAACGCAGGAAAAGCTCGACGTGTATATTATGTATACCCATATCTCTCTCACATTCAATCGATTTTCCATTTTCAATTTTACATCTACGTTGTCGAATATTGTACATATTTATACTTATAACATACAATTGTCTCTTGCATCATATTTTCAAACAAATGTTTTAGCTTTACTTTGTGAATAAACAATATAATTTGTGAACCAAAACCTAACTCTTTTCAGATTTTTATTGAACAATGAAATGCACGCATAACAATTGAACTTGGATATTTTCATATGATTCAATTGATTTATATATGACAAATGACAAACTGCTTGGTAGAATTTTTCATTTATCCATATTTTTCTACTACTGAAAAAGTAAATTAATAGGTATAATATGTGAGATTTATATTGGAAAAATATACTCGTATAGTTGTTATATCTACTCAAAAAAATGAAGTCATCTTTTAGGAATTATCGTTGTGAAGAAACTATTATAAATATTTATTTAATTTATACAAAAAGGATGGTAATCTGAATATATTTTCTAGGTTTCTATCACTGAAATAATTGTGAATCGATATCGAGCGGTCGACATAAATTTGAATTTAATAATAACTTGCTTTAATTATTCTTTCAATAAAAATATAGAGGAAAGTCTGTTACTTCAATTCCAAATAACATAGAATAGTAGTGGTGCTTATTTTATGTGTAGTTATTTATTGAAAAGTGCTTTTTTCATAAGGATTAAAATATTAAATACTATACGGTTATAAACAGTATAAAGTATGAAATACTTCAGGATATTTCCTTTTTCGTCAGTTTATGAAAGTTTGGAGAAAAAATGATAATTATATGTACATAATTGGTGTACAGTTTTCAAAAATATCATTTTCATTCAAAATAGTTTAGTTTAAATTTGTTAATATTGATATCTTACTAATTATTCGGAAAGTTTAATACTCAAATATTATTATGTATAAAAGTATCAGGTTTTTACAGTTTGATACCTTCTTTTATCAGTACTAAAATGTATTGTAAAGAATCAAAAAACTATCTCTTATAAAATAAGCACTTATTTAGGGTAGCTTACATTATTCAAATAAAATCCACTTGAACCTCGATTTAAATTGGTATTTATCAATTCATCCTTGCATTGCTAAAATACCTAACGGTTATCCTAATATTAGGGAATCAGTTTTATTTGATATACTAATTAATGTATGAAAACGAAAAGTCATAGTGTACAAAGTTTCGCTCTATTTCACATTAACTATATGAAACGTATGTATCTGGTGCATCAGAAGATAATGAGTGATGATGTTTTTCTGACAAGGCTTTATTTCGGTATAAGTTAAAAATTTTCATAAAAATAACTAACGTTTGTATTATAAAAGCAACAGTCTCATCAGCATAAGTAACAACGAAGAAACTCATATTTTCTAGAAAGAAGTTGCGCAATATAAGTATACGAGCTGTCTTTCAAAGGGTGTGCGAAGCTCTCAATTCAGCGCCCCCCCCCCCCTCTCGCCCCCCAGTAAATACGTAGGTAGCATAGCTGCGTCGTATATACGTGTGTGCAGAAAGATTGATTGATTTCTTTCCGCGCGATGTCGACTTTTCTCACAGCGACAGAACTTTGTGTGCAGCTCGCGCACATGCAAATAGCGTAGGTGCGATTGCTTCTCGAAGAATCCGTATCGTTATTAGCGCTGTCGGGTTTCGCTAAAAGGAGCTTTTTTCTCCCTTCCCGTGAATAGATAGGTTTATAGCTGTGATATAGAAAAAGAGAATGTAAAAAGTTCGAAATTGATGTGGGAAGCTCAATCTGCAAAGATGCTTTTTCTATATTCAATTTTCTTTTACGCGGATATCAGTAAATAATTTTACATTAGGCTCGAGGTTTAAAATCTGCAGTTTGAGTTTTTTTTAATGTGCATGACATCTGTTACAGACCGATATTTTATCATTTTTTCTTTTGAACACACATATATATATGAGACTGCTGACGGTAACAGTGTCATGAGAATAAAATATAGGGTTACAAATGATCATATATTTAAAAATTTATTTTTACATTATGGATTTTTACAGGGGATGACGAGTTGCCATAAATACATTAAAAATCTTTTGCAGAAAAACGATTGCTTTGTAAATTTGCATTAAAATGTAAATATTTTCAGAACCTGAATAAAGTTGTGCAATTATTGATTTGATAAAAGTTTCCCACCCTATCAAAAAGTGATGCTTGTAGTTATACTAACACTAAATAACACAGTTGTTTTATTTTTTCTAATGTGTCGATAAATGAGATACTGCTCAACTAATGGATACATACTTTTCTTTTTCTTAATCCGCTCTTTGTAGGATACGATTTTCTATGGTGTTTGCCGCCGCAAAAAATTCAATTGCGTTATTTTCATATAAGAAAATATATCAGTGGAATGAGATTGAATTATTATTTATCTACACGCTCATTCTATTTGTCTTTTTTATAACACTCATTTCTATATAAACAGTAGTGGTTCACACTTCCATCGCGACTGACTTTATATTCCAATTTTTCTCCTCTTTTTTTCAACTTTAACATTTTTCCTAACATTTTCCCCGAGTCATTTCAAATCAAAGCTCATTCGCGTATCTATTTTTAACGAAATGTTCTTATAATAAGCCCGATCGCAAATATTCTTCTAATAATCAATGACAAAATTTTCATTTCGTAAAATTGTCAAGTAGCAATGATGCGCGAAATGAAAAACGCAACCTCGCGTTAACAATCGTAGCTTATTCGTCGCAGCTTGATCAAATATTCAACATTGCTCGTAGTATTAGTAAACAACCGGCGTGCATAATGACAAAATCACAGGTCACAACCAATTAGTCAACGAAAAAAAAAAGAAAATAAATTAAAAATATTCCACACTATAACAATAGATTCAAACGCAACATTTATCCTTGAGACGTACATACAGAGACTACCTGTAACGAAGACTTGTCTTGAAGCAAGCCTATCGAACGAAAAGCAAATAAACCGCAGCAGTTCCTGCCCCTTCCTCTCTCGATACACTATTTATACGTATGTATACAGGCTCAGCGTTCTCGGGGATATCCTTCCTCCTCCATCACCTCCATTCCTCTAGGGTCGTGTTAGTATCAGCAATGCCAGTAGCAATAGCAAGTAACAGCAGCAACAGTCTGAAACACAAACCGAACGAGAGTTGGAAATTAAACCCACAAGCCAAGTGCATAGTGCGACCGCTAATGACGAGCTTCTCTCTGTCTCTCTCTCTTTCTAAGTTTGGCTTTAACACGCCTGATAAGGGTTTGACAAACTGGAAAATTGTGACGTGTACGGTTATTTCACTTTGATATCGAGTATTTTAAGTAGATATCTACGAGATAATTCATTAATCTAATTTTTACGAAGGATAAGAATCTACAAAATATTCTTTACAGAAATATAAAATTTCTTTGCAGAAATATCTTATTGAATTGCATTTAGAAGAGAACCCTGTTCACGGATGCATTAATAGTCAGAATTTTCGTGAAATGCATGTCAATGTTGATATCGGCTAGAACTTCCATTGGGATGCAGAGAGGCACTTACAGTCGATTATCAGTCAAATCCATGTTAAAATCTAATGTAATGGAAGCGAAAAAAAATTAGACAGCAGCGAATGAAGGTTAAGATTTTACATGAGGCGTGAAATTGACGAAATGCTCTTGGAAAATTGTTCCAATAAAAAAAATATTTCGCAATAACAACAGAAATAAGCTGTAGAAAGCCGATTGACGGTATGTATAAATAGAGAATGGGTTGGCAAAGCATATGCATTGAGCCATACGCCGACATTACAAAGTTCGAAAGGCGTATAAGCGGCCACGTAGAGTAAGCAAAACTTTGTTTCCACGCGTTTAAGAGGAACACAAGGAGCATCCTCTCTCTCTCTCTCTCTTTCTCTCTCTCTCCCTCTCTCTTGGTCTCTCTTGCTGGCACGGCTTTAGGCCAAGTATATACACATGCATGGGTAGAGGTTACGGAAGACGTATTATCTCTGGCTTTCACAAAGGAGCATTTCGCATTCGCCTACTGAGAGAGAGAGAGAGGGGGGAGAGACCCCTTGTTTAAACTTGAATCGTTCAAGCCAAAAGCAGCAGAAGCAGTAGTAGCATCCTTTGATCGTAACGGCGGCACCATTAACCCTCGAATCCTTTCCTTTTCTTTTTCTCTTTTACGGTGCTTTTCCACCTTTATTCGTCCTCTTTCCATTTATTTCCCTTCCTAAGCAACCATTTTGATAACCACCCTGCTCAGAAAGGAATACTCGATGAAAGGAAAGTGAGATAGAACATGTACTACTAATGCAGCATATATTTTATGCAAGAGGTTCCTTTTAAGCACGTTGTTGATACCTTATACATTGCAGCTTCCAAAAATGAGTCGAAAATATGCGATACCTCGGTATTTTAAACAGAAGTCAAAATCGAGCATTTATCAATATTATGGCAAATCTCATATAGTTAGATAAATCTTTTATTATTCTCGTGTATCAATGCCGGAGATAATCTTATTAAATATTTATCAGTACAGACAGCGTCTCAAAAGTTCCTCACGCAATTTTTTCTCTCAGGCGCGCACAGCTCGAGAGAATCGTTAAATCGTAAAAATTTGCCCATAAAAGTCCTCATATCTAAGATTGAAGGCACATAAACATCGAGCCGCATATAAATGCATAATGCAGAGCAATTTTTCTCTTTTTTTACCTCGAATCGCCTTGGCTCAACTTCTTTTCATCTCTATTCGCTTCGATCGAAGAATGAAAAAAGCATTTAGACGAGTGATCATTGTACCTTTTAACTTTCAATAATGCTATAAATTATGGAACTCCGTTTTTCAGTTTATCGAAGAATGCATTGCTCTATAATGTGTGCGGTAGCTCGATTGCCTGTGGCGATAGTATATTGTCTATAACAAGTTGATCAAATCGAATATTTAAAGTTAATAATACATTTAATAGATTATTCAATGTGTAAATGCTCGTTTCTGCAATCAATTATCATAATAAGAACGGTTATATGTTCGAAAGGCAAATACCTTGATGGAAATATCGTATGTACGAAATATTCGCATTTTACGAAACGAATATTCCTCAACCCATCTATTTCGTTGATAGGAGCTCGCGGCAAAATTACAACAATGCAAACATCGCGTTGAAATATATCATGACAATGTAATTTCAAACGAAAATACTTTCACAGTCGTCAATTCCTGCGTGACAAATAAGAGGCAAACGAATTGAACATTGAAATTTTCGTGCAGTTGTACGACAAAGGATTCTAGAGAGAGCCGCAAATTAAAATTATGTCATCAAAATATCCAATTAACCTAGAGAACTATGAAATTTTTAGAATCTCGACTGGATTGGCAGTAGGTAGTTAATTAGGTACCTAGCAATACGTTCGCAAAATACATTCATTCAAGCACACATAATGCGCGTTTACGACTTCAACGGAAAGGGAGGTAGTGTTGCAAATTAAATCGCGTTTGACTTGCGAGAGGATCAAAGATGCAGCTTGTTTTTGGAAAGCAATGAGACTGAAGAGGACGCAACGAAGCGCAAATCGGTTCGAATTGATAATGCAATCCTTGCCAAAGCTTCCTTCTTCACGTTTAAATGTTTTTCTCGGGGACTGCTCGTTGCTTTTGGACCATCGATTTTGTTTATCTCTCTGACAACTCAAATATCATTGGTTGCTAATTTATTAGAATATTTTTCAATGTTATTTTTCATTCACTAACAATGAGTGGCAATATTTCTTTGGTGAAGTGCCGAATAATATTCAAGTTGTGAAAGCAAAACGGCAGTTTATTTATATAATTAGCAAAAATTTGAAAGCCTTTGCTAGAAAATAATTATTCCAGAGTAGGGAAAGCAACACGTAATGTAAAGAGAGATTTTCATATGAGCATACGTAAACGTCAATTTAATTTTTCAAGCTACGTTTTAGGTGCGCGCAACGAAAAATGCACGCGCGCCACTTCATGATTAAATCAGAATAATTTATATACTCAACAAGCCCGTTAAATCCTCGACAAAAGCCTCTCCATTCGATCATCCGAAAATCATTAGTTAATCTTGCATGAGTGTTCTAATTCTGACGGCGATAGAGCATTACATATTATACTTCTGAAAATTATTTGAGCATTCATTAGCACGCTTATTTATTCACCGAGCCTTGCGCTCGAGATAGAAAACAATATAAATTCGTCAAAAGGCTTGTCACGCAAAACTCACAATACAACATTTCCTTGGAGGTAAATTAAATCTCATGTTTAATGAACTTTTCATGCCCGTATTCACATCTGTAAAGTCAATTGGTCTGTTAGCTAATTGTCAAACGTAAAGCGCTTTCGTAGTTTTCAAGCAACAGCACGCTCAGTGGCCGAGAGAGAGATAGAGAGAGAGAGAGAGAGAGAGAGAGAGAGAGAGAGCTTATTTTTCTCTCCAACTGAGAATCCTAACAATGAGTAGCATGCAAACGAGCGAACAAGAAAGTCATATTCATAATCAGGCTCTCTCTCTCTCTCTCTCTCTCTCTCTCTTTCTCTCCAAAATGACGCATTGTTTGTAACTCAAAGCACGGTCCTCGCTCGATTTCACCTCAATCCGAGTGCTTTTCCCCTTTGAGTTTACCAATTCTTGCTTTCTTTCGTCTTGCGACAGGCCGATTGAAAACTGCATAATCTCTCTAGTCCAGTCGATGAAAGAAAAGCGTCTCGTTAAAAATATCAAACGTGAATGTCATGCGATAATATTGAATTTCGCGGTGCTAACAGTTCGTAAGCCACACCCGCAACTTCGGCGAATCCCGTTGTACAATGGCTCTGATGTGATTTGTTTTTCTCAGCTTGCTCGTGCTCGCCATCACTAGAAGCTTGAAGTATCGTTAAGCATGACTCGATAGCTGCAACGAGGCAGGCAGAATTTGCGATTGTGATTAAAATTTAGTAGCGTTTGAGGTGTTTGCTTCAAGCCAGCAGACCGATTCGAGGGTTTTTCATAATTAATTATGAATAGTTGTGGTAATTTAGAGCTCACATTCAGAGAGCAGATATATGGTTTGAACGATAGCTTGAAAAATTAATAGAGCTTTTTGCGTAAAACACACGCACTCAAGTTTCCCTACACGGATAACTTTCGTGCACGTTAAAATTAATCGCAATTCTAAGCTGTCATTTTACTCAAGGACAAAGCAGTATTCGTAATAGAATAGAACTCCAATATAGTGGTATAAGTTTGTTTTGCTATGGGGTTGTAAACTGAATCTTGCGATGTCTCTAAGGATCAGCTCTACTCCCATGACATCGACTCGATGTCTTACAGCGCAAATGGAATAATTCGATTTATACGTCTGGGCTCGTAAAATGATTAAATAATATCGTTCGGAACGTATATCTTGGAAATAAAATCGCGGAGAAATTTTACGGTTGATTCAGGTAATACGGAAACTATTAAACTAAAGCGCTAACGGGAGCTGAAGATTAAAGCGTGCGAGTTTCAAAATTCATTCGGTCGCGCTTTGTGTGATACGTGAAAAGGAAGCTTCGAAATCATCGTGTGCTTAGGAATTAAATTTCAACGATTCAATCGATTAGCTAAGACGGATTATGAGATATCGAATAGATTTGCATCGAGAGAGAGAGAGAGAGAGAGAGAGAGAGAGAGAGAGAGAGAGAGAGAGAGAGAGAGAGAGAGAGAGAGAGATAGAGGAGGGGGAGAAGCGGTTGCGTTGTTTCTTTGTCACTGAGTCGCTCGCGTGTTCGATTCAATATTGATGGAGCAATTAATATGTAAAAGCTCGGGAGCTCTGTTCGATCACAGCTCGTATATTTTCCGTCTCTTTGTATCACATCTTAAATTATTTGGTGTTTTAATAGATATACGCACGATCAGATTGTATAGCTAGCTCATCAGCTGTTGTTTATCACCGATGCATTTTCTCTCTCCGACGTAATTAAACGCTGAATTTGTCTCTTCGTTATGTTGTCACGAGATAAATACGTTACGATTGATGTTGTCGGTGATGAAGCTTTTGTCTCGTTTAGTAACGCAACGAAAACGGCAATGAAATGGTAATTGGTCGCTACAATTTCTTTCATACTTCTGGTTCGAATGATTTATTTTCTAACATTTAAAAGTCGCGAATCGCCTCCGATAAAGCTTATTCTCGAACAACGTGGAAAAGCAATCTTTCGGTGCATAATCTGACCTCGCACATGCCTGCAGAAGGCACGTCAAGGAAATACAGCTGGCAAACTCTCGACGACGAAATGAAAATCAAGAAACTTTGGCCAATCCTAAACTAAAAAACGTCGCGAGGTAGGAGAGATAGAAAAAATATGCAAGTCACCTGTGAAGTTGATGGTAGTAGCAGTGCTAAGAGGTGTTCTGACGGTGTAGCTGTCTTCCTCGCTGACAAAGATGTAACTGGCGTTGAAACCCGTGCCGTCGAGTCGATCGTTGCTTTTGAATGTCACACGAAAGAACGAGCGGTCCGACTCGACGTCGAACTCCGTCAGCTGGCCACAGTGCCGCGAGTATTTGCGGTCTCGCGACAGATAGTTCGAAAAGTCCACATAGTCACTTGCTGATACTGCATCACACCTGCAAACGTTACAAACATTAACGTACACATGTGCTACTTTCAGCTTTGTGTACGGATGGTTTTCTGATTTGCAGTTAACTTTTTAATCCAACATGACTATGTTTTTTGTAAGTATTACGCAATTCGAAAGGAATTTCAACATTTTAAAATCATAGGAATGAAGATTAAATGGACTTTTCAATCGCTTACTAAGGATTGTAATTTCATTAAATGTTCAAAGGTAGTGTAATACATTGGAGGCTCGATCGACAGTACACGTACAAATGGGAATCTTACAGGCAACAGTAAAATTCAAGTAGCTCGCTTTGAAAAGGCAAATCCAGTTCGAATAGTTTGCAATAGCACAATAACCCGACTCGTGACCTGTTTACTATTCGACAACTACAACGTTATAGGATATAGCGTTCTCCACAGAATAAACAATGATACTTACGGTAAAACGCCTTCTACATCGAAGTAGTAAAAATGAAGATGAACGCGCTCCTTCGACTGGCCGTTAAAGAAATAATGACACTCTGTGTCACGTGGATAGAAGCCTGGATAATTAGGCGACGTGAACGTACCGTTGAGCGTCTCGTTGCTGTTGAACACGAAGGCGCACGGATACGACGACTCCTGACGACCAGTTGTTATTCCAAAATCTTTGAAAAGTCACAGTTATACTTGTTTAGTCATGTCCAATTACGTATGTTTATTTAACTTTGCAAGCAATTTTATAATTTTTTATAAAACACACATTTCACAGTTTACAGCCAGCTGTAATTTAAAAATTAATCGATCGTTGTTTGATAAAATGACGAAGATCGAAGCCTGTTCGTGACTGAGAAGCCAACATTCACAGTATCATTTCACGCGATGTTTTATTGTTGAAATTCTTTGATATCTTTTCTATTAGCAACTCTCCGATTTGCTGATCGAACATATTTTTTATTTTCGAATTTTCGGTTTTCATTAATTTTGCAAATAGATACATTGCAAATTTCATAGAAAATCCAAGAACTATCCGAAGTACTCAACTATGAAGTGCGTTTTGAAATAGCTCGAACTGATGTAATTTTTTCTTTTTTTCAACAAGTCGAACGAAATCAATTCCTTCAGTTACGTCAACGTCGAATAAACTGATCAATCACCGAACGTTCGATTGGGAGTGGGTGCAGGTTGCGCTATTTGGACAAATGCGTGCACAGGCATGTGCATTAATTTCACGCATACTCTCTTCGCATTTCCCTCTCGCGTTTCGGCGAAAGTGCGTGCACATCTACATACATGCACTTTCGGTGGGTATGGGAAGCGACGTTGGTTCAGTGTAAACTGTACGCGCCAACTGCTGCGATATGCGCACGACGACTGAATTAAGCGATTATCGCTGATCTATGACTACTGATTTCCGCTAGCATGCTCTCGTCTCTACCTCTCTCGCTATCTTTCGCTTTATTTTGTGCAAATGATGCGCGGTGAATGTGTTTCGCTTATCCGCAACTCAGTAATACCAATAAAAATATGCAAATACATAGTATATATAAATGTGATTTTTAATGATATATGAAGAAGAAAAATGTAATTGTAGAAACAGGAATAAAATTCGATTGGATGGCGTTCCGATATCCAAAAAAATGTCTGTAATAGTTGCACGTATTACAGCACATCGTAGGGAATAAAAAGAATTTCTTTGTATAAACATTTTTGAATTATAAACTTTAATAGTATACGGTGACTTTGTAAAGTGAAAGAGCAGTGTACGGTACTCGTTTATTCGCGAGAGAGAGAGAGAGAGAGAGAGAGAGAGAGAGAGAGAGAGAGAGAGAGAAAGAGTGAAGCGAATAATGCCTCTGGAGAAGAGAAAAGAAAAAGAGAAGATGGTGGTGGTTTACTTAACGAAAATTCTAAGGTTTTTTTCTTCTCCACCTCGTTAATTACCAACTAAAGCATATGCTCAGGCTTTTCTTAGCTGCGTACGCGTGGTGAGAAAAAAGAAATAATTAAGAAAAAACCGTTATAACAAGGGTTGCCTACGCTGGGCGAAAATATTCTTCGAAAAAGAAAGGACCAAGAAGGAATAAAGGGCTAGCCTAGGACAAAGAAGGGGAAGGCGACAAGAGAGAGAAAGAGAGAGATAGAAAGAAAGCTTGCGCAGGAAAGAAAAGCACTGGAATTTCGCGGAAAAAAGCAGCAACGTGCAACGCGTGTTCCTGAAGCATGAATAGAATTCCGCTGGTGTGAATGAAGTGTAGTAGTTGGACTGGCGCTGCTCGCCCAAGAGAGTCGTCATTTCATATTTCCGTCACTATTTTTGTCAATTTTATTTTTCTCGTTTACTCTAGATATATATTATTTCTTATACACATAATTTTAATATTATTTCAGTTGTTTTAACGAACTATTAAGTTCGAAGTAATTAACGATTAATTTACAACTAACTAAACGAATTTGGCAACTATCGTTAAAATGACATCCTTGTTTAATAATCATCCTCTTGTAAATAAGAGAAATTGAAGAATGTAGTAAAATCTGAATTTATATTCTATAACGAGGTTCTTGCTCGGAAGCCTGCGCTTCTACGAGTCGACCGCTATATAAATAAAAAGGGAGAAGAGAAATTGGAAATGCAACACATTGCGGGCTACGCCTGGGTTGAAGTGAAATCCGGTTCGATAGCTTAGCTAGGCTACATGGTAAGATTCGTCTCACTAGGCTCGCGGAGAGCGTCTTGCGTTCAATCAAGAGCTGAAATACGCGAAATTTAATGCGCGCGATCGTACGCAGAATATAGATGAGGATCGGTTTTGAGTCAGGCGCGGTTCGCAATAAAGCAGAGAGAGAAATAGCGAACGAGTTAGTACTTATAACGAGCGAGCTTCGCGGAGGATCAGAATTGGCGATTGCGCTAGTCGCACTGGGACGCAAATAGTCGGCCTTTATTCTAATTTCTTGCTACAATCAACCTCCTTCTTGGCAGTCATATACGCGAGTTATCCACAGTTCCGCAGCTTTGTCCAAGCGTTCGAAGTTAGTGTCAAGATCTCACAATCGCCTCAAAATACTCAACAACAGAAAACGAGAAAAATGGCTTACCTATTCAACGAGCTAATCGAATGTGAATCGCGTAGTTAGAAAGGACTCTTTCCCTCTTTTCTTCTGCTTGTCTTACCATTGTTGCTCTAACGGTCAATAATATACGCTCCGCGCTGTCTCTCTCTCTCTTCCGCGAGCGCGCGCCCGTTGCAATGTATCTCTTTCTCTCTTATTTACTTTATAAACTGCTCCACGGCACGAAAGTAGTACCTTTATCGAGAAATATTACTATGAAAAGGTGCATACTACATAAATACATAATGTAAGTGCAGGAGTAGGAAGAGAGAGAGAGAGAGGGAGAGAGAGAGAGAGGAATATAACGAAGAAGATTTTCACTCGTTATAATTCATTTAACTGAATTTTCATGTAAAATTGAATGTTTCAATTTTTTATTTTTCAAGCCCCATCGTTTATAGAATTTTAACTTTACTGAAAAAGGATTCTAGCATTAATTAGCCGTTACTTGCACGTCTGGTCCACTACATATTTTATTGTTTGTTAGAAGCAGTAGTCAAATTTTATTTTTTTATAAGTTATATTTTGTTTCAATTGTATCCGAAAAATTTCATACAAAATGACGTTCGTAAAACAGTTTTCAGATCAGTACTCCCATGGAATAAATAATTTTCAAATTGACGTATTTCAACGAAACGTAATGATTTTATTCGTTACAGTTCATTTTTCACGGAAATCATTGATGCTGCAGTCAGCGAGGTATCGAAAAAAAATATTTGATCTTGAAAATATTTGGGAGATCAAAGTGAGCTTATAAAAACTCGAACGAGATCAAACTTTTCTATTGAAAGCCGAATCTCTCTCCCCCTCTGCGTTTCTGTAGCTATCTAAAAGGCACGCTTTTCCTCATTCGTCGAGCGAAAGGTAAAAGAGAGGGTAGGAGAGGGGGAGAGAGAGAATAGCGCCCAGGGGTATTTTTTGCGAGTGTTGTTTTTTTTCGTTTTGTTGCACTCGCCGCGAAACGCAGAACGTTCACACGCGCAGAACTTTAGATTGCATCTCATGTACATTTGGTAGCAGCGCACAGAGGCAGAGCAGAGCGTTCGGCGTCGCGCGAACGAGTTTCAGCTGCTGACCGCGGGCAATTCCGTTATTGTTTCTCCTCTGCCATCGAATAAACACTCTCTTTCTCTTTTTATTTATTTTGTTGTTTTTTTCTGTGTCGCCATGTGTTCTCACCGATGCCAAAAAAAAAGATTCTTTTTGTTATTATTTTAGTTTGCCTTTCGGTCGTTTTGGCTTTTGTCTTTTGCTTAACGAAGCTGACCAGTTAAGCTACAACAGGAGATTATATGTTGCTCGTGTGAGAAGTGTAAAAAAATCTCTCCGATTGCGCACAAAGTTATTTTTCGTTTTTATTATTTTTTGTTTGCACTCATGGATCGTTAGTTTTTAAAAAATCCGATGAACTGTGAGAATGTTGCGTATACGCTTACCACATGTATACTTATTTAATGATTGCTCGCAGGGTATCAATATTTGATAAAAAATCACAGAGATCACGATGCAAGGCTATATTGTTTTCTTTTGATGGCAGAGAGAATCCGTTTTTCCAAGGATTACGTTCGAACAAGCTTCTGTTGTGGTTACGCGGCGAATGTTCGATTTTCGCTGCATCCTTATTTTGGGATTTCATGGATTTTTTTTACATTTTAGTTTTTCAAAACCATATCTAGCTCAGTTAACCAAATTCATTTCGAAGCAAACTATTCTACAAAATCGAAACCTTTACAGACTTCCCGTTACGATTTGAATTTAAAATAAAATAAAAATTGATTTCCAAAGTTCCATCGCAGGATGACATAAAAAACAGGTAAAACTGTTTTCGAATATCTTGTGTACGTACGGTCAAGGGAATTGGGTATAATAGAGTTTATATTGTTTGCGATAAAAAGAGAAAAAGTACACACAACTTGCGCATAAAGAAACATCTGCAGCAGGTTGCAAAATGTTCAAGTAGGTTTCCTATCTGGAAACCTTGAAAACCATTTGTCCAGAGTATTACGCGACGTAGCAAAGTCGAGAAAGAAAAACGAAATGTCAAACTCGATACTTTCTTGGCAACATTCAATCTCGCTACGAGTATGATAAGCCATACAAGCCGAACTAATTAAAACGGATCTTCAGGAGATAAGTTTATTGGCAAGTGCGCCGTTCGCGCTTGTGTATTGGCTATACAAGGTGAAAGCTCAGAAAAGCTCAGTAGCCACTGAGCTCCAGCTCTAACTTTCACCGATTCCTCGAAAAGAAGAAAAACGCACACACACGAAAAGAAGTATCAGCAGCCAAGTAAACGCGCGTCGTTATTGAAGGCGTCGCGTCGTAAAATTGATAAAGTTTTGTCGGGATAGAACTTTTATAATACTGCGCCTCAACGAGCTTGTGAGGAATGTTATACTGTCGGTGTATGTGTGAATGCGTTGGAGCGCTGGGCAATTTATAGCCATGCGTGGACGCTTGGGGAATGCCGTCGATTATACGCCCACGAGAGAGAGAGAGAGAGAGAGAGAGAGAGCGCGCGCGAGTGAATGAGTGAACGTGTACGTGTGTTGTTGCTCGTAAATGCAGCGGCGCCGCGTGAACGTATGCGGGGAACGAGCTGTCGTCGCGCGAGACTACCACCCGCCCGACATAATGTATTGCGTCTCTATGTACGCGACTAGGCTAGATTGGCCTAATATCCCCTCCCCCTTGCCCTCTAACAGCTGATTCATTCAGGGGCTCTCGCGACACGTCGCGCATGCTATGCATGTTTCGTCAGTGATGACTGCCGCATACCTCCTATATGTGTTCAGTCATCCCCTTGGCACCTGCCGAGTGGTTTAATACCGCTGTGTTATTACGCTTTGCGTTTTTGGTATTAATTGAGTTTGCTTGTAACATGCATTCTTTCTCGTTGCTTTTACGATGGTGTGACTTTTTTTATGGGCCGTTTGGATATTTTGAAAGCGTATATTACGCGCGTAAATTTTCGGATTTATGGATAAGTAACAATGTAAATGAATATCACTTGTATTGAAACGTAAAGCTGTTAAACTTTCAAGATATTGATCATGTCTTCGGTATTAATAAAATGTTAAACAATGAAAAAATGTGTATAGAGCATAAATCACGAAACGAGTAACGAAAAATGGGAGAGAGATCTGCACTTTATCCATTGGATTGTATTCAAAGGGAAATGTGGTTATACATCCTCGTGAGAATTCGCACGCGAACCCACTATCAAGTAAAAAAATATTATCCCATTGATTTTCGCACATCCGAACCGATATAGAAATATACTTTTACATTTTTCAAGCGTAAACATTCGATCCATTTTCACAAAAGTTTCGTCTCGTATATACGCAGGAAGAGGTGAGAAAAATAAAATTTCAACAGTACAAGGCAAAAAAGTAGATCCCCCTTTGCGGTGGTGTGTGTGCTCGCTCGCGTGTGTATACTACTCTATAAACTTGCTTGCACGAGCGGGAAACTCAATCCGCGTGGTACGCGCGGGTGCTAAGATTCTTCTGTATAGACTTGTTTTTTTTCGCACGCGCGGGTGCATTGACGCATTAAATAGTTAAAACGATTAAAACTTGGCCAAAGTCGCTCTTGCGGCAAAGTTTTCGTCTGAAAACAACGGAAAGTCATTACTGCACGGGACATACCCATGGAGAGTACAAAGTTGGAGCAATAATTTTCAAGCCGCACGGAAGCGGGTCAAAAAAAAATCCCACGCAAGAATGAACTTCATTCTCGCTGTGTTCTATGCGCTTTTTGTTCGTTATTTATCGTTCTTTCCTCTCGAAACGTGAGTTGTAAGCCGGTTAAGTAGACGCACAATGCTTTTTAGTACAGTTTACAGCTGAACGTTGCACTCCTGCGTGTGTACATTTGCCTCCGGCGAGTTTTCGGAAGCTTCCGTGTCATGTTGATACATACATGTACGTCAGCTCTGTCTTTGGCAATGTGTATCAGGTGTACATACATTACTGAAATAATCGTACGCATGCCCGAGAACAAAGAGACACGCGCAATGGGTTAACGTCTCCACGCGCGTTTCACTCTGCAAATGTCATTATCTCTGCCAATGCGTTTGTTATTAGAGGCGCGCACGTCGAGTGCTTTTTCGTTCGTTATTCGTGGACGTAAATTATTCCATTGTGAAAGCCAAGTTCTGGAATTCACCACAATTTCTCCCTTTTTACCCTTTTTTTCTTTTTTTTCAAGATGACATTTCAATTTTAGTCCGCGTCGCCTCATTTTTTTAAAAAACGAGCCGGTCGTCACTTCGCTCGACCCAAGACGTCTTTTTACTCGCTACAGGTCGATTCTTCAAAATTGAAAAATTTGAGAGATGCTTATGCGATGAAATAATTTCTAAGCACGCTGCACGCGCATATATTTGAGCGTGCAACCGTACAATATTTGGTGGAACGTAATTATCCGAAGAATTTCATTATCCAATATTCGCGCAGGACGAATTCTCACGAGCAATGGCATTCCTTTGTATTTAAATGGCGTACACGTGAAAAATCTGTAGCGCGTTGTGATCGCACTATTGCGAGGAAAAATAAAATGGTAAAATAGAGGGGAGTATAGATTCGTGACGAAGCGACCTGAAGCCACACACTGCGCAAACACAGCCAAGGCATCCAGTATTTGGCGCAGGCACGTGCGGGAGAAATCGATTGCCAGGAGTGAAATTAACTCGAGCATGGCTAACTAACGTCAGTCAAGGTGCGCAGCGTACACGCACACAGGCATAGTCGAAGCGTTCGGTCAAGTTATATACTTGGGAGAGCTTGTTGATGTATAGCCCGGAGGGCCGTGCAACGCCGCGGCAACGTTGCAGATATAACGCCTCGCCGGCTTGTTTCCCCGTTTCCCCGTTACCCCGCTACAGCCCCTGCCGCGCAACCCGAAAACTCGCTCGTGTAAACCCATCGCGCAGAAATGTCCCGCTGTCGAGCACGCTTGAGTATATCGCTTCCAGCGAGCGCGCCGCCGGGATAAACTACTTACCTCTGACTGCTTTATTATCGAGCTATTGTTGTCTCTGCCTGCGTCTGTGCGCCGCGCGGTCCCGGCTGTGCCGGAGATCGAACGTTTGAGCTCGTCTTTAGCCAACTTCCAAACGAGTTAATCGAGAGCTGCATTTTTTTCAAGATCAATCCCAAGTGGCAAACTTACCAATCTTTGCTTTTCAATTGCTAGCTTCGCCGGAGATAGCACTGAGTAAGCTTTTCGTGGATTATCTTCCGCGAGCGAAGCCCAAGCTTGCCGAGCGCTGCAGTAAGGAATACTCCGCTAGCGTTTTCCATGATACTTTGCAAGTGGACTGCTAATGGAACTATTTGACTGTACTCCGAGAGGCCGAGCAAGAGAATGTGAGAATATTTAAGGCCCGAGGGTAAAATCCCTTCTAAACTTTCGTAGCATTTGCCACGAGGCAATTAGATTTCGCCTGTTCAGACGTCACAGTCGCGCCAAAGCTCGCGCATTTCGCATTTTCCGCATTTTTCGTAGCAACGTGACCGCGCGCGTATCTCGTGCCTACTTTGTATTCATAAAACAAGTTCGGCGCTGGCGCCGCGATTATTTCTCGAAGATGCGAGAGGCTTGGAAAACACTTCCTTCGTCCTTGAATCTACTTTTCGCCGAAACTGTGCTGAGCTTCGATCTTCGATACAGTGTTAGCGAAGCACTCAGGTGACAAGCATTAAAACGATACACGATGCACTTACTTTCCGTGAACGAGTACACGGCCTTGAAACCGCGAGCATGTCTCGACGAGGTAAGCCCACGGAATTCTAGGAATAATCTTGGTCCATTACTCATGATTGGCCTTGGTGGTGACTCGCCGCAAAACGAGTCGATCTTTTCCATTTTTCCATCTATCTGCACGTAAGCCACCAGTGAATCCGTCGACTCGCATCTAATAGAGAAAAATCCAATTCCATCGTTAATTCGAGTAGAGAAATATTTAATGCCGTCTATATCATGATAAGCCGATTAATGGATTTTCCGCGATGCAGTGTTGTTCTTTGCGGAACAAACATCTGCTTTACTTTATATATGTCGGATTTTTCCATCCTTTTAATAAGCTTTAGCTTGTCTCTTTTCATTTAAATTATTGTATGGATTCGAACTAGGGCATAAACATTCTATAATAACGTGACTTTTAGGATAAACTAAACTTACTCTTTCAGGGCATCAGGAGATCGATAGACATCGAAGTCTTGAAAGATTATCTGAATTCTCTCCTTACCGCGTCCTTGGAAATCATATGTACACGTTGTCCTTGCTGGATACGCGTTCGGGTAACCAGGTGACGTGACCAGACCAGACTTTGTTGTGTCGCTATTGAACACCATATTACACGATGAGGCTGAAACAAATAACCAAACGATTTGCAATTAGCGATAAATTGGGATGGACTTTCAATTCGCCACAAGAAAAATATTTATGTAAACGCTGAAGCTCGATTTCCATTTAAATATCATTTCTCCTTTTCTTCGATATTTTAATTTTCATCAATATAAATCAACTTGCTGAAAACTTACTGAAAAGTCAGATCAATACTTCACTATTTCTCATTGAATCCTACAACATATGGTTACCTCGCAGCTAATATCAACGAAGCTAATTGAAAGTTGATTTACGATCATAAAGTAGTTGTAGAAAAGAAATGGTGAAATTAATGTTCAAATGGGCGAGTTTGAAACGCATTAGTACGCCAAGTGAACTACGAGAGAGTGCGAGAGACGAGAGGGAGAGGGAGAGAGATAGAGAACGAAGTCGTTTACCCACCGATTAGAGAGTAGAGTGTATAGCCGTTGGCGTCGACAAGCTTCTCGTTTCAACTGGCATACGAACGTATATTTATAGATATCTCTTCTGCATCACCAGCAGTACACCAATAAACTTTTTCACGATATGCCTTCCTTTTCAAGTCGACAGAGGAAGAGAGCGAGAACTTGTTATTCTGCTTCGCTAGGCTAGCTTTTAACAGTACTTCCAACTCCAGAATATCAAACAATTTTTATTTGCGATGGATATGTCTTTTTTAACTTTTTTCTTTGTGATGTTACATTACTTTACACGACGAGTTTTACAAAAAAGATGGGACGATCTAATGAATTTTATTGCAACGGGATCAAGATACTATTTAAAGTTTCGTTTGGAATTCGATAGAAATTCGAATCATCATATATTTTCTCTTTCAAATCGTGATACTTTTAATAAAATAATAATACTTATATTTTTTCTTCTCCAACGTAATAACATTAATCGGCATAAATTATACGGAACGCGCACACAAAAGGGCCTGAGCAAAAAGCTCGTGCAAATGTAAATATAACGCAGCTGAAATTCTCATTGTCGTGCTCGGAGAGAAACAGATATTATCATAATGCTCGGGTAATAGGACTTGGCATTGTTGCATCGCAAGTCCGAATACAGTACAGAGAAAGAGAGAGAGAGAGAGAGAGGGAGTGGCGCGTGTCACATAAAGGGAATAGCCGCGTCGACAGGCTTATGCCATTGCGCTGCGTTGCGCACCTGCTTCTCTATCGCTCGCGGATTTGACAATTTCATCCGCTAACAGTTTTAGTTTCAGCGGCAGGCAAATTCCATTACGATGAGATTTTGTCGTTTCCAAACTCTATTTCGTTGAACGTTCGATATATGGATTTTTATGACGAAAAGCTGTTTTATTTCTTTTTTTATCAAATCTTATCTGCTACATGCGTAAATCTAATTAACATACCTATTGAGGTAAAACCTTACAATATCCTGAATTTCTGAAATTACCTATTGATAGTCACATGCATACTTGAATGGTATGATAATTAATTAAATTTTGAGTCTGCTATTCGTTCATCTGCTTGTTATAGAATCTGTGAATATTTTATCAAAATAAACATTTAAGAACTATCGTAATAGTCATAAAATTACTGAAAAATGCTTAAAAAATTAATAAAAAGAAACGAATAATCAAAAATCACAAAAGCATAACACAGTCGATATCAATCACAAAACAAAAGCGCAATATAATTATCGATTGATAGGTGTCCACTGAACAGTCATCTTATCACATCGTGTAGAGACGTGCGAGAAGAGCCAAACCCATTGAAATTCACACGTCGAGAGAGTAGAGAGTAAACGCGCGCTAGTCTCTCTCTCTCTCTCTCTCTCTCTCTCCCTACGGACGAGCGAATAACCACCGAGCTGGATTTATGCGGGTGTGCGCTTACATCTTCGAGTGACAGGCGAGGAAGGATGGTACGTTCTCCCTCTCCGTTGTCGAGTTGAAAAACGCGGAAACTCCCTCGCGATCTTTCTTTTTTTTTTCCTTCTTTCAATGCGACTTTTAATTTTTTTTGCTTTATTTGACTGTGGAGTTTCATATATTCATTGTCCAATGGTAATATTGTATTTCGTGAGTCTGAAAATTTTTCTATTTGATTTATTTTCTTTGGCTAGCTCATTTTTTTTAAAGGGTAAGTAATGATGGTAGAATATTACTATAGTTCGTTTATTGAATACGAAATATACAGTTTTTTAATTATTGGAGGATTTCTTTTTTTCAACAATCTTAAACATAGTGCAAGCACTATAATTTCTGAAAAGTTGCAATTAAATAACCCCCATAAATAAAACCTAACTCAGAAGTACTATCCTTATTTTAAGTAGTAATATCGTGGTTATGTCAGGCGTAATTCCATCTAGTATGAGTTAGATGCTATGCACAAAGCTACAGCACGCAATCCATTTTCCAAAGTCATTTATAAAGGCCATTCGGAGGGGCGATTTTTTTAATAAACGCTATTGCACGCACCACACTCACGTAACTCCACATGTATGCTCGGATATAAACGTGCCATTTGTTACTCGCTCTTGAACAAAAAAACATATTTGAACTAGAAATTAAAACGAATGGAAGTATATAGTAGTCAATCGTTCCTATCCGGATGGAGGAGGGGTAAAGAAAATAAATCAGACTAAGCGTGACTCGTCGAGTTCTCATAAGGCTTTGCTCGCGTGCAATATCTCGGGGGCGCGCGTGTACAGCAAAGTAAAACAGACGGCAAAGACAAAGACTTACCGAGAGGGGCGAGAAATCGCGAAGCCTTTAATTTGCATTCATGAGCAAGAGTCAAAGAGCTTCTGTGTTATTCCTTAGAGAGAGCTGAGGTAGAGAGAGAGAGAGAGAGAGAGAGAGAGAGAGAGAGAGAGAGAGAGAGAGAATGACTGTGGATCCTGCCATTTATATGAGAAAAGACAGGCTGCTTAATGTGCCGCTGTGGGTTATTGAATTTCTAGAGTCATTTGCGCTTCGGTTCCGCAAAGGGAATTGCTCGCGTAATAATGATCGAAAGAGAGAGAGAGAAAGAGAGAGGGAGAGAGAGAGAGAGAGAGAGAGAGAGAGAGAGAGAGAGAGAAAGAGAGCGAATGTATTTTGATGAATATTCGGAATCCCTATTGATGGAAGAGATGGAAGCTGCGCAGCTATGACTGCTCATGTCTCATTACCATAACTTTTTCAATGATTATCAAAATTGCCTTCATCATGCACGTTTATTCGTGTTCTTTCAAGACCATCTCTCTTATATTACTGCAGAATATAATCAATTTCACATATGTCCAACTGCAATCTACTTCTTTCGACGAAATGATATATGTGAATTTGTAATATTATTCGTAAATATATAGTTATCGAATCAGAGATATTTTTATATAAAGCTGTTGCATAATCAAAAGTTTACAATAACTACGTTCCATTTGTAGTAGCAAGCGGCGGGTTTTTTAATCATTCTCACGGAAAATTAGCATGTATCCAAGTGAAAGTTTTTTCCAAATATGTGTCAGAGATAGTGTGCAACATCTAATTATAAACTCGAACACCCACTCGCATCACCCTTTAAAAACTCAACCGTCTCAAGTCGCAGATTATATGAAACCGTAAATTTGACGTAAAATCGACAGTAAACAAATATAGAAAAGTTAGAGACGGAAAAAATCGTCTTAATCAGACAAACAACAAACCGAACTCTGATGAAAAAAAGAGAAAAGCTTCGACAAGCCCGTACGCGAACTCATGCATATAAACATAGCGCGGGGGCATCGAGACTCGCAAACTACGAATCCGAGGCATCCAATCAATGGCGCTTGGCTTTTTTGCGAGCAGCACCAGCAGCAGCAGCCGTGGCTGCGCGCCTTCGGTACAAAACAGAATTCCCAGGGATATGTACATTGATGGCGTGGCATACGTAATGCTGGTTTTGCTTCTAGCCAAGTTTTGTCGTTGTCGTCGTCCTAATGAAAAGGTGCGCGCGCGCGAGAGAGAGAGAGAGAGAGAGAGAGAGAGAGAGAGAGAGAGAGAGAGAGAGAGAGAGAGAGAGAGAGAGAGAGAGAGAGAGAGAGAGAGAGAGAGTTGATAATTCAACGTCGAAATTAATCGAAATCTGTTATTATGCTGTCTCTCTCTCTCTCTCTCTCTCTCTCTGGCGTGAGCGCAGCGTGAAGATAATTATCAGTGGCAATTGGCTGCGAAAACTCGCGCTAGCCTATAATTAAATTCGCGCTGTTTGCGCGAGCGCACGCGCAACGTTCAAATTTAATTAAGCGCCGGAAATTATCGCTGTCTACGAGGATAATTGTTCCAAGAGAGGATGGTCAAAAAGGTGTGACTACTAGCCGACGCAGCTGCGGAACTTGATTGTTTTGGAATTAAGCCGTATAGAAACAACGGTATATGTGTCGAGTGCAGATACAGCGCTTGGGTCTTGAAATAATTGCTATTTTCTTTTACGCGCGCCACAGAAGCGACGGTGTACAGTTTGATTGACAGTTGCGCTTGTTGTGCACCTGAAATTTCAAGAAGAAACATTTTTTCGTTGCTAAATAGTTGATTCGAGAAAATTTGATGATGTGATGAGGGATACCAAACAATAAACTAACTATTATGCATTTGATTGAAAAAAATTTATTCACAGCATAGGTTGTTAAGTTTAGTTTGAAAAAGAGATCTATTGGAAATTTATGATCAGGACGGCTTTTATTGAAATATTATTCATTGATAAGTAAATACACTTGTAATTAACGTTTAATTAATAAGTAATCAATAAACATCCAATTATAGCCGTCGATGGACATTTCATTAAAATATGCTGCTTCGGTGAAAATAATATTTTCCTTATCCCTTGGCCGAAAGTGCCTATTTCCCGGCCTGATTTCGCTCCGGGAAGAGGGACTTTTGCGGCCTGTTTGGGAAAAGCGGCGCTGATTGGCTGTTTGGGAAACGCGGCGCTGATTGGCTGAAATGCTTTTTTCTATCCAGGCGCGGAAAGGCTTCGGAAAGAGTGTCCTTTGCGGCGTTTTTAAAAA